GATAGATAATTATATTTGTCTCCACCATTTGGGTAAATTAAACACTTTATAGTGGAAGATATCAATGTATCAAGTTAATGTCGTATATTTATTAAGTAATTAAATGAATGCAATTATATGTTTGATAAGAAGAATAATTTTTAATTGAAATATATTAGTAATTTCTATTTGTTAGGCACTTCATAAGAATAATTAATTGATAAACACAACTAATTTAAACATTTTGTATTTATTAATACCAGCAGATCTCCATTAATTTAGAGTATCTATACTGAAATAATAATTGAAATGACAAAAGATAAAGTTAAATAATATTTAGAATTGGGTTATATTAATGATGGAATCTTTAAATTATAACATAAATTTAAATAGTGTTGGGATAAGTAATGGTGTTTTCATTATTTATATGATAATAATACTATTTGGTACAGAATTTTACATCCTTTGCTTGTACTCAATGATCCTTAATAGTTTGTTAATTAATTCTATCAAAATATTATGAGAGTTATAGGTGGTTAAATGGATATAGTAGATTTGGACAATTTGGATAAGTTTGTTAAGGAATTAAATTTTGGAGATTATCCTATAGAGATTTTTGTTTAATAGACTAAGTAGATGTATGATGAAATCAAAAAGGAGAATGTGTAAAATTTATTTTTACATGAAAGTCATTTTGAGAAAATTATATGTATAATGAGGGGATGGTAATATGATTAACATGTTGTAATTCAAGGTAGGATTGGGAGTGGTAAGAATTCATTTATTCGATTGGCTTAATTGATAATGTAATATGAATAGAAATATAATGATCTTGGACTCAATGATTTATTGTAAAATTGGGATTAATAGAATCATATCACTTATGTTATTAATATTAATGATAATGTGTATGAATTTATATCTTATCCTATTTAGTATTGTAATAATTTATGTTTATTGAAAAATGATTAAATTTAATAATTACATTTATGTATATTGATAGAGAATATGAAGGAACTTGAAGATTATAAAAGAATACTCTATAAATGTTAAATTGTTAGATTATTTGATTGGCCTAAGATCTTTTAATAGGATATTGCTACTTAGATTCTTAATGATAGATCTATTGATACTAATCTATTTTGTAAGGTATTCGAATAATCATAAGGATATATACAATAATTCATTGATTAACTCTATTTATTCTAAAAATAATATTAGTAATCTAAATCAGAAAATTAGAGATTGATTATTATTTATTAGAAGGTTTTAAATAAGATTGAAGAGGCAAATACTGAATTCAGTACAATAACAGCTCAATATAATAAGTACAATTAGGAATATTAGGAGATTACAAATTAGATGGATATTATAAATAATGAGATATCTAAGGATAAATCAGAATTAGGAGATATCAATTAATAAATAAATAAATTAAATGAGAATATCAATAAATGTGAATAGAAGATAATTAAATAATAATAATAATTAAATTAATAATTTCAATAATATAGTAAATAGAGATTACAACATTTTCATATAATTTAAGAATTCCCATTTTTATAACCATTATCAATGGAATTAGTACATTTAGTTGATTTACCATAATTGGAATTATATTAAATAGAATAGATTAATATGAAATATCCATAATTTTCATAATAAGTTTAAACTATCTATTAGATTGCTATAAATATATGTAATTATTAATAAACATTAATTCAATTATAAAATAATATACATAATGATAAGGTAGCATTAGAAGAGATGAAAAATAAATAAGAATTACGAACTGTTATGATATCATAATAGGAACAATAAATAAATATTTATTAATCAAAATCACGTATTTTGACAGATGAATTAGATAAGATAACAAAGATATTTGAGGCAACTAGAAAATGTTTGAAATATTTGAATAATTATTAAGTTCAATGGTAATAGAATATTTTTAATTTATAACAATAATAAATTTAATTAATTGATATTAATTTTGTATAAAGTATTTGTTAAAGTTATAATTAATAAATAAAGTAGAAATTAATAGATAATTTAAATTTATAATGTAAATTAGATTATGAGAATATGTAATTACTATTAAATTTAAAATTTTAAAATTAGAAGAATATTATATTAATAATTGATCCTGAAAATTTATCACAAGAATATCTATAATAATTCTATCCAACTGCATATGTTAATACATTTCATATAAATAATATTAATGAAATCAAAAGTAATTATTAAACTTAATAATGTTTTATAATAAAAGATGTTATAATCAATGAATTATTGAATTCATAATAATGGAGATCATTTATATTGTAATTTCAATAATAATAGGAAACAAAGATATACTTTATATCCTATTAAATTAAATATGAAAATAAAGCTTAATCTTTATTAAGAACTATTTATTTCAAGAAATAAGATAAAGAAATTGAATCTTATGCTTTATTAAATATACTATAAAAAGAGAATCCTGATATATTTGATAAATTAATATAATAATATGATGAAGAGAATCTATCTCTTATTAATTTAGGATCTCTCTTAGATGATGATCGTCCTATTATGGATTCTCATTATGAATAGTAATTGAGTCTATTGATATCTTCTTAATTTAATAGCATAATTAATCTAGATATTATTACATAAATTCAAGAATTAGTTGATTAATAAGAATAATAAAAATAATATAATGGATAATTCAATTTTGAAATTTATCATCCTTTAATGGTTAGATTCTTATTAATTTATAAAAGTCTCTAATAATCATATGTTTTTGATCGTCGTTATTATATTACTATGTAATAATTATTAGATAAATTAATTCAAGTTATGGATTAAATAAAGGGAGACAGTTCTGAACGATATTGGATTATAAGTAATCATTTCACATTATAGATTATGCATTTAATAGAACATTCATTTAAATTGGAACATCATTTATTAATGAAATTTATTTTATTTACTCAAATAGATCTAAGAAATAGAACCATCTCTTATGATTAATATTAATATATTATAGGTCAATAAGTACAAAAGGATTTGACTAAATATCCTAAATCTTTAAATGTTTCATTTATAAAACAAGAATAATGGGATGATATTAGATACATAATGAGTTTGTCACCATCATTTGATGATTTACATTCTCAAATCTTAAGATATCCTAAGGAATGGTAGAAATGGTTAGATGATACTTTCTCAATACCTAATGAATATGATGAGAAATTGTAAATTTTTGAGAAACTCATCTTAATTAAGGCTTTCAAACCTAAATAAATGAGAAGATTTATTTATGAATACATAAAGGATAGATCAACCAGGCATTCTACTTAAATTAAAACTAATAAGAAGTATTAATCTACTGAAAAATAAATCATATATGTCTAATCATAATTAAGAAAATTAGTAGAAGATATCAATATTCCTATTTACAAAGGATAAAAAGAACTTAATCAACAATATTTATTTATTAATTTATCACATTATCCCTTAGAAGTCTAAGAACAAATTATACAAAGCAAATATCCACATTGTATTATTGAAAATTTTGAAGAAGATCTTTTACTTGATAAAACATTATTGAATTGTTAAAAATCTTTTCTATAATATGATGAATAAATACGTTAAAATATTAAAAAATACATACCAAAAGTTGATGGTAATACTAGTGAAATGAAAAAGTTTACATATAGTTTATGTTATATGCACTTTTTCATTATTTAAAGGAATCTACTCTTAAATTTGACTTCTGAAACATATACAGTATCAGATTTAAATCTAATATTGAAATTCAATTTACCATACTACATCAATAGTAATATCAATAGTATGTTTAAAGTAATAACTGATGGAATATACAATGTTCCACCTGAAGATTAATTAACAATAGAAAGTATTATTTATAAACATTGTAACTAATAAGTAAATACTGAAAATTATTAGTATTTACATTTTCAAACACTTCCAATAGGTAGTGATGTATGGTTAGATGAGATGATTAATCGCATTCCAGATACAAATGATACTTATAGTATAGGTTATGGAAATTATAATTTTGCAATATATAATTAATAGAATTAATAGATAATTCAATAATTCTAATTATTAACTAATAATAATATTGTTTAAAATAAGTAAATTACTAAGGTTAAATTAGTTGAACCACTTAGTTTGATTAAATTAGAATAAAAGTTAACAAGAAAGTATTCATTTTAAAAAAATGATTCAAAACCCTTTTCTTAATATTATAGAAAAACAGCACTTAATATCATAAATAAAAATAAATAAAATATTTAATATACAGATGCTATAGATCAATATATTAATATTTAAATTTAAAAGTATAATATATTGATAGAAGAGTTGAAGGAATATATCAAAAACAATCCACATAAATATAATATGGATTGTCCATAAGAATTATATTAATATTTATGGTATATACCAAAATCTAAATTATTAGTACATAATTTAATAGAAATGATTAATTCTAATGTGTATCAATTAAAATTATTAAGAGATTCATAAAATAGAAGATATTTTGATTTAAGTTACCTATATATTCCACAAGCATTATTGGAATACTTTAAATTATAATTTAGTCGTAAGAATGGTCTCAATCCTTGGAATCTCAATATTTATACTGAAATTTCAAAATGTATTGAAATAAATCATGTCTAATAGTAATAATTGAATGATGGTTCCTATCTACTTGGAGGATTAGAATGTTAGAATTGTTAATGGAGTTTGGATAAACATAAATTAATAGAATGTGGTAATTCACCTTCAACTTTAATTCCTTATATCCTTGTTTCTACTTTGGAAGGTGAATAACCATAAGAATTATAGATACCAATAATGGATAATGATCTAATATTAATGACAATAGATTTATAATCAGATCTTGATTAGGATACTATTAATATAAGGAAAGCAAGAATTGTAATAAAAGGTAGATGATTTTTTATAATGAAATGATTATTTTTATATACACAAAAATATAAGCAATTTCAATTTATTTACTTTAATTTACCTGTTAATTCTAAATTTTTGCGTTTTTCATCAAGATATTTTGCAAAATGATAATTGGATCTTAATGTTTCACTCCAAGTTAATTTTTATAAAATATCCTATCTTCTCATGGAAGCTAAATTAGTTTAAGTTTCTGAAATAGCTTTCATTAATAACTTTTCATTTACAATTGTATCCATTCGTCTTTTTAAAATCTTCTATGAATTATCAACAGCATTAAACCATAATTATTCATCTTAATACATTTTAATAGCTTCATCAGCAAATTATTCATCAGTCCAATTATTAAAACTACCTCCAAATGTTAATTTCTTAGCCATTTCTTCAGTATTATCATAAGTATAGTATTCCTTCATAAAGTTTTCTTCCTCTAAACTTTCTTTCCTAATTTATGGAGTAAGACGATCAGGTTCCATATCAGAATAGAATTTTGATTATATTTGATTAACACATTCATACTTTATTGCTTAACTTGATTCTAAGAATAAACCTTCAGCACCAATTGGTGTTGTAATAACAGGTAACATTTCTCTCCAAGCATCTGTGATTTTCCCCTTTACTCCAGCACCAAAACGTAAAGGTGCTAACATAACTCTATACTTTCCCAAAATATCAATCTCTTTCATTAAACCTTTGCATATAAATCCATTATATTCATCTGTTTTGAATTCTGCTGGGAAATTACTACCATAAATATGTAATTGTGCTTATGGAAGTGCTTTGACAATTATTGGCCAGATTTTATCTTTTAATCTTTTGACTGCATCATAATTAGGTCTATGTGACATATTACCTAGAAATACAAAGTGTCTTCTTTTATAATGATATTATTTAAGTTCTATTGCTTATTTATCCTCTTCATCTAAAGGTCTTGTAGTTGGATAAAAGAATGTTACCAATTAAACCTTTTTATTTAAATGTTTTATCAATTCCATTTCATAATCTGAACATGCAATAATAAGATCACTTCTTATTATTGCAGCCATTTCTTTATCAGTGAGTTCATCTCCTAATTCTGGTTTTGCCTTCAATACTTCCTTATTCATCAATTCGGAAGTGAGTAAGTTTTCTCTCTTTAATCTTAAACTATGTAAGTCTTATAAATCCAACACTTTAGCACAATTCTAGAATACTTAATGTACATAATGACTGTACAAGCATTCTGATACATGAGTATCAAAAACACTTACAGATGGAGATTGGATACGACTTAAAACATGATTGACTCTACTTGTATTAGATGGATCAGCTTGATGACATTTAAGATCAATATATTAGCGTATATGTTCAGCTTTTTTTTTATCTTGTGGAGTGATGTAGTATGTTTTGATATTATTATGGATGAAACGTTCGATTATTCCAAATGTCCTTTCATGAGCTGCTGAAAAGGATTGTTTAGGCCAAAGCTATGAAAAGTAGCAGAAATTCATTTTAATTATTTTAATGGATTAAGACGAATATGGAGAAATAGAAAATGAAGACCTTAATAATGATGACTTCAATTATGAGGAAGATTTAATGGGAGAAGATGAACAGCCTCAATAACCAAAAAATGATAAGGTCAAAAATCCAATTTCAAATTAAAGAATTCACACTCCTTATCCACCTGAAGAAGAGGAGGAGGGTGAAGTCTATTAATATGAAGATTAAAGTGAATAATTAGGAGAAGATAATGACAATGAGGAAAATTTAGAATAAGAAGTAGATGAGGAAGTACCTGAAGATGATGAATAATATAATGAGGAAGTAAATGAAGAAGAACAATATGATGAAGAATATGATTAAAATGAATATGAAGAGAATTATGATGAATTCGAACAGGAAGAAGAAGATGAAATACCCAAAAATAACAAATAGAACAAAGAAGTTAAAGATAATAAAAATACTTAATCCAATTAATAACCTCCTCTTATGGAACCTCCTAAGAAAAAGAAAAGACCTCCTTTACCCATTTAACCTATTAAATAGAAACCCACTTATTAAGAGAAATATGCAGAACTAATGGCTCATTAAGATTACTCAAATTTGAAACCAAAACAGTTGCATGATGAAAATAAGTTACTAAGATAAAAACTTAAAGAAATATCTGAAGAAGTGACTAAATTAGTTGAATAGAATGCTTTACGTCTACCTCCACAACCATAACCATAACCATAAATTAAGAGATAGAAAACAGCCTAATCTTAACTCTCTGGTGTATCTGTAATTGATAGGGAGATAGAAATCAATCAAAAAAAATTAGAATAATAAGAAGAGGAGATTAGTAAATTATCTACTAGATTATAATAAATATAAAAAGTGGACTACATTATGAAATTGGATGATGAGATTAAGAAATTTGAAGATGAAATGAAGAGGTTAGAATAAAGAAAAAAGTAAGAGTATTTGTAATAGAAGCAACGAGGCAAAGATCTTGATAAATATGAGAATTAAGATGGTTTTGATAAGTTGAATAAAGAAAGGAATAATCTCAATTAAGAGATTGTCAATATTAGAAAGAAGGCGAAGGAATAGTGGGAACATTTCAATAAATAGAAAGAAACCATTAAAAATATACAAGAAGTTGAACTTCCTAAAATCAAATAAGAATTATAAGCATTAGAGTAAGTAGCTGAAAAGTACAAAATTGACATAAGTGGAGAGAAACCATTCAGTAAATAGAAAGAATAATACATTATGCTTTTAGCTCAAAAAGATAATTTGTTAAAATATAATCAAATTATGGAGAAGAAGGATAAGTAATTAGAAACAATAGAGAAAGAAATTAAGGAATTGAAAAAAGAGAAAGATCGTATAGATTAATAAATTAATGCAAATGAAATGATTTTAATTGAATAAAAAAAATAAAAAGATGAATTAAAAAATAAAGTACCAACTGATGTTTTAAAATAAATTCCTGCAACAATGACTTCAGAAAATATATCAGATGCATTATAAAATGAAAAAAAGATATAATAGGAGAGTCAAAGAAAATTATAAAGTGCTAAACCTCCTATTTCAAAGCAATAAGAATATAAAGAATTAAAAATACCTGTTAAATAAGATGAAAAATCATAATAATTAACATCAAAAAATGAAGTAGAAGAGGAAATAGTATGTGAAGATGAAAATGAATAATAAAAATAGCCTATAAAATAAGAAGAAAAAAAATAGATACAAATATCAAATTCAACTCCATTAAAATAAGAGATATAAGTAATATAATAATAATAATAATAATAATAATAATAATAATAATAATAATAATAATAATAATAATAATAATAATTTTAATCTCCTAATCAATAAAATAAATTAAATTCAAAACCTTTTAGTAATCTTAGAAAATCTATTGATTAATAACCTACTGTTGATCTAGGTCTCAGCAATGTAAGCAATTAATAAAGTAATACTAGCGATGTTTAAACAGAATATACAGGTCCTTCTAGAATGATGAGAATGATGAGAAAACCCTAATAAAGTTAATAAGAAGAAACTACTTAATTCATAATTCATTCTTCTAAACCAGTTGAACAACCTAGAGATCATCAAAAAGTAATTATTGAATAAAATAATAAACCTATTGAACAGCCTATTTAAACTGAATAACCAAAACCTGTTGATGATTATTAACCTACTTTTCCAACTAGAAGAATTACAAATAGACCTAGAGGATTAGATTATAATTCAATAGATTAATAATAATCAACATAATAATAAACTTAATAACCATAATAATAATAACCATAATAATAATAAACTTAATAAACAACATAATAACCAATATTAATTAATTAAAAATAAGAATAAACATAATAATTAGAGTATCCTACTAGAAGAAGAAATAGAGGTGGTTAAGAAGAATAGTTAGAATAAAATAATAATTAATAATAATCATAATAATAATCAATTTCATCACAATAATAATCATAATAATCATATCAACCTACTGAAGATACTAATAAATAAAGAAGAATTAAACTATTTACTGATGAAAAGCAACCTGAAGCTCCTAAAACTGAAGAACCCACCTATGAATTTCAACCAAGGCAAGAACCTACAAAACTATAAGGAAGAAGAAATAGGGGAAATAATAAATTAAATATTTGGGAAGATTAGCCTGTATAGAAAGAGAATATTGAAGAGATATAGGAAATTAAAGATGTAAAATAAGTTCCAGAAGTTCAACATAAAGAAGAGAGAGAATTAACTTTAGATGAAATTTTAGGAGGTCCAAAATAATAGGATGAATATAGACCAAATCAATAAAAAAGAAAATTTGAAGTACCTAAAGATGATCATGAAACCTATGAACCTGGATTTGGTGGAGGTGGAAATAGAAGAGGAGTAGGAAATCAATAAAAAATAGATAAGGTATATATATTCATAAATATTAAAATAGTAAAAAGAATTGGCTTAAAAGGCTGAGAAAGGGGATTTATTAGATGATTTTGACTTTTGATCTGAAGTATATATATACAATATTGGCTTTTATAATACTTTTTAATTAAGTCATTCTTAATTCATCAGTTAAATAAAAAAATATTTTTAAATCATAGTTATGTTATCAAAATCTTATATCTATCTATTAGATGAAGTATTATTCTAAGTAATAAGTATTATTAACGTTAGGAATATTCTGATTTGGTTTTTAAAATCCTAAAAATAGATTACTTTATATATGGTAGAAAGATCTCTTAAATTGTAATGAAAATTAATAGCAATATACTTAATTATAGTTTATCAGTAGGATCTATTAATAATAAAGAGTTTTGTCAAAATAATTGAATCTTGATTTTTATTATAAATAAATATTTTAGACATGAAAGCATCTTGTATTATAATATATTATATGATCTTAAGCATTTTAGAATTACTTTACAATCATATCGATTATACTCTTCGAAATATCTGACATTAAATATTTAATACATTAATATCATTTGAAATGCTTAATTAATTATTATTTTATACACATAACTTGACTTTTGCTCCTTATATATTTAATAAAGCGATATTACTCTGTTATTCTAAAAAAACTTCCAAATTATCACAATATTAAATCTTCTAAAATAGGAATATATTTATATATAAATTCTAATTTCATCAAGATAAACCACTTGAACCAGATTTATAATAAGGTGTATTTATCAATTAATCAAATGGAATAATATAACTACCTATAAAATATATTTCCTATTTTCTTATTTAATCGAGATGTTCAATCTATTTATTATTTATTAAGATTTAATTTTTTCAATGCTGGAACAATCTAAGAATATTTTTTATAGGATTGGCAATTCAACTATCGATACTTTCGATATCTTTGGATAACTGCCAAACTTTAGAGTCCTTGAAAAAAATAAGTACACTTCTGTGGTTGGTTGTTGTATGACCTTCATAATAGGAACAGCTACATTAATTTATTTAGTGTCTGAAATAACAACCCTTTTACACAAGGCTGAACCTAATGTTGTTACATCTGAGCTGCAGATATTTGACTCAACAGTAATTATCAATAGTAATTAAAGTCTTTCCCACTTTATAATGATAATTTTACTCTAGCTGTCACAATAGCAACTAAAAATTCAGAACCTATATTAGGGTAACTGAAATATTATAATTTGACAATGAGTCATTGCATCAGAGAAAGATTGCTTAATGAAACAACAGGGAAGGTTTAGGTGAAATTGAAGTAAATATAAATACTATTTAGTTGTACTGAATTACCAATTGCCCCTTGTTAAACTGAAGACTTTGATAATGATTTATAAAGAGAATTTTTCAAAAATACTAGATTAGGCGTTGTTCAATGTATCAATCGAACTAGGCTTAGAAATAATCCTCCTGTAATTATAAGATCATAATTTAAGATTCTGTAAGGTTAAATCTCAGGATATAAGTACTAATACTTAGTAATTGAATTGAGTATATGCAAAAATAATACAGATTATTAAGGTTGTGCTCCAATAGAAGAGATTAGAAAAGTATTATCAGCAGGTCATTATTCTGTGTATGCAAGTGATTATTTGATGCAATTAAATCATCCTGGTTTGCCATACTAATAATTAATAAATTTAGACATTAATAGTTTTTCCATCTCAACCTCTAAAATGTTATAATGGACATACAGAATATCTGAAACTCATACTGATGATGGTTTATTATTCTCTACAGACCATGTAGATTTAAATTTAAAAAAATAAGACAGAAGAGAATATACTGAGTTATATAATGATGATTATCTTGTTTATCATTATATATAATTAGATTATAAGGAAACAATCTATTAGAGATCCTATATTAAGATATAAACAATTTTGAGTAAAATTGGTGGAATTTGGTAATTGTTTGTTATTATTGCTGCTTTAATATTAAATCCTTTAATAAATAATTTGATGACTATTTCTATTGCAAATGAATTATATCGATTTCCTAATTCATAAAAAAAATTAAATATGGAAATAATCAATCTATAATAAAGTGATTAAGTTGTTGATGTATAAGAATCTATTAGAAGATCTCGAGAAGTGAATGTAGATGAAAAACTATCAACTGGAATTTATGAATCACTTTTGATACTCTTAGGTTGTCATAAAAAGAAACGAAAATTGTTTTCTTAAGTGAAATAAGAGATTCTTGCATAAATGGATGTAGTGAAGATCATTCAAAAATTACATGAAATTGATCTCCTTAAATTTATTCTTTTGAATGATGAATAGTACAAATTATTTGATCTTTTACCTAAACCTATTTTATAAGATGAAAAACTTTAAATGGAAGACATGAGTAATGATTTAGCATCTGAAGCTGGAGTTCAAAAAAGTTTTAGAGCTATCAATAATAAGAAATTATAATCTAAGAATCTTAAAGATTATTATTGTTCATTCTCTTCATTATAATAAGACAAAGGAAGGAGTAGTGTTGATGATAAATTATTATCTATGATTGATCGAAATATAATCTAGTTCTTTGAATAAATTTAAATTTCATAATAACGACATGGTAATTTAAGTCCATTAGATCCCTTATTTCGATCAAGAATAGATGAATCCATCATAGAACCTAAAATTTAAAGGCCTAAATGAAATTATGTTGATAATTTATAATGATATTTAATTATATAAACTTATAAAACCCTTTAATATATAAATATAATATAATTTAACAAAGTTTTATAAATGAATAAATAAAATTAAAACCAGATTACCTCTAGAGGAATATATTGTATTAAACACATCCTCTCCAAGTTTTCATTAATAACAATATTTTTGGTAATAATTATTAGTAGAATAATGAAGGAAATTGTGTGAGTATTCTAAATAGATTTTTTATTTTCAATTAATCTTCGATATTTATTTGATTTATCGATTTATTAACACTTATTTAAGAATAAATTAATTGAAATATAATTTTAATATAACGATTTATTATTCTTATTCTAAATTATAATTATTATATTAATTTGTCTTTAGAATAGTAAATCATAGATGTAATCATTATATTATAATTAATTTTTAAATACTTTTATTAAGGAAATCTTGAAAATAAGTTAAATAAATGTTCTAAGTATTAATTGGAAAAAAATATGTAATAATTTATTTAAATTGAGGAAAAAACTAAATATATTAAATAAAATTTGTGATAATTTTTAAGGTTGAAATTAATAAAGCCTTTTACAAATAACAAAATTTCAATCATTAATCTGAAATTATATCATAAATAAAGAAACCAAATATAATTTGAAAATATCATTTTTTCCGAATGTCATTCTAAAACCATTAGGAAATTTTTGGCAAATTAATTTCAAAATTTGATTGAGCTTCATCCTTTGTTTTTGATTTAATAAGAGTACATTATTTTAGGTGATGGTACTTATTATTTAATTTAATTTTACAGTTTAGGTTTTTTTGAAATTCTCCATAAACAAAGAGATATTCCTTATTAATAATTGATTCAACTATTTTAGATGCTGTTTGAAAAGAAATCCTTAGTTAGATAATCATATTAATTGGCTATATTCCTTAAGATTTAGTCAAATTATTATAGTTTTGCTAAATATTAATAAATTATTTATACAAGTTTTAGGATGATAAATATTATTATTTTAAGTATAAATTTTACTATTAATATATTTATTAAGTCTATTATTTTAGTAAATAAAAAATGAACTATTTAGACAAGCAATTAATTTTTTTGTTATAATAATATATATATACAGAATATATTTATAATTATTATTTAAAGTAATGCACTTAAGATAAGGATGATTTATGTGAAAGAGCTCATATATATTATAAATTATCTTAATGTTAAATAATAAGTTTTATCTAGGATAACGCTCTTTTTTAATTTTATAAAAAAACGAAGTTAAAAAGTAATTAAATTCATTATTCACTTTAAACTGATTGAGAAAATCTGAATAAAATTAATATGATTGCTAATTCTCTCTTGAATTATAGTTATAAAATTTGTTAAAATGATTTAATATATTTTTAAGGAGAGTGATTTAATTATTAAATTAAAAAAGAATTAAAATTATTATCAATTCTTTAAATTATTATAAAAACTTAAAATTAGATATACATGTAATAACTTTAGTATATATGGCAAAATGGGTTCAAATATTCTTATCTCAAGTTAAAAATATATTTACTCTCATAAATATAGAAAAAGTGAAAACATGATATAATAAGAATAATTATTATAAATAAAGTTGTAATAATTCTATTTAGCTTTTTCATCTTAAATTCTAATATTATGCCTAAATTATTATTGAGTCTAATAGATGATTACTTCTTAAGGGTAAATCAATGTGATTTCTTTAAATGATCTATAGAATTCTTAAAAAAAATATGTAGAAAAGCAGGTTTTTGGTAAAATTAAATTGGTTTTATATCCAAAAACATAGATCTAATGTATTTTGCATACATAAGATTAATTTTAATCATTTTTCTCATATTTATATCAATAAAAGATTAATGAATAAAAAAATCTTTATGCTCTCTATGATGATACTATTAATTGAATCATAATTTAGTAGAGAAAAATGTACCTGCTAAGAATTGCTATCAGAAGATGATTGCAATTATAATATCTTAACTAAATGTTCATGGGATGGAAAAAATAGCAAATGCAATATTTTTACCACAACCGATAACCCAATCAAGAAATATCTATAATATTGTGATTCTTATAATGAGAATGATTGTTCTTAAAAATTAGGTTGTGCTTGGTTGTCTAACAAATGTATACTTTTTACAGGTTGTACAGCCTATGCTAAGAAAGATAATTCTGAATGTTAAGCAATAAATAGAAGATGTATATCTGATGGAACTCATTGTGTTGAGATTGATGCTTGCAATACTTATAAAAAATAGATCTCATGTGTCAAAAATGCAAATAAAAAACTTTGCTATTGGAATTCTTAAAATAATAGTTGTGTTGATGCTAGTACTTGTGATAAATTACCAAAAATATTTGCAATAGATAAAGAATGCAGGGATGTTATTTCAATTTGTACTGTAATTCCCTCTGGTGGATGTGTCGACAGCGGAAATGAATGCAGTGATTAAAAATTAGAAATTCAATGTTTTTGGAATAAATTAAAAACTACTGCTTGCTATTGGGATGGTTTTGCGTGTAAAGATAGAATTTGTGAAAATGCACCATCTAGTTTTACAACTGATGATGCTTGTATTAAATTTAGAACTGATGGAACCTGCACTACATAAGCAAATGGAGGATGTGTGACAAGAACTACATGTGCTGATGCAAAAATTGAAGAATCATGCATCAAAAATAGTTCAGGTGATGATTGTTATTGGACAGGAACTACTTGTTTCGATAAGACATGTGTAAATGCTCCAATTACCATGACAACTAATTCAGCATGTGCAGGATTTGTTACAGGATGTATCACTAAATCTGGTGGTGGCTGTGTTGCTAATGGTGCTTGTTCTGTTGCTAATGTTCAAGCAGCTTGTGTTAAAAATTCAAGCAATTTTGATTGCATTTGGGATACAACTTGTAAAGAAAAAACATGTGCCAATGCCCCTACAACTAATAACACTCATGATTTATGTACTTCTTATTTATCTACTTGTACCGTTAAGTCAGGTGGTGGATGTTAAAATAGAACATGTGCCAATGCTCCAAAAACAATGACTACCAATGATGCATGTGAAGCTTATCTAACTGGAAATAATTGCATAACAAAATCAGGAGGTGGATGTGTTACAAATACAACATGTGCTGCAATAACTTTAGAAGCTGCTTGTGTTAAGAATTCTTCTGCATCAACTTGTTTCTGGGATACTGCAAGTTCAAGTTGTAAAGATAAAACATGTCTGAATGCTCCAGCAACTAACACTACTCATGATCTCTGTTAAGCCTTCTTAAATACTTGTACAGTAAATTCAATATATGCAGGATGTGTCGAAAAAACTTGTGAAAATTCATTAGCATAATCTTATTGTGATAATGATACAAGCAATAGAACATGTATTTGGAAAGGAAAATGTTATAAAAAATAATGTGTTTTTGCATCATCCTTTATAAAAACTCATGCTGATTGTTAAGCTTATCATTCCTCTTGTACTTTAAGTAATTCAGGTACTGGGTGTGTTCCACTCCCACTTAAATGCGAAGCTATCACTATTGAAGCAGCTTGTTAAATGAAATCTAATAAGAAACCATGCGGATGGAATGGATCTTAATGTATTGATAAAGGTTGTTCAACTGCATCAAAGACATTCACAACTACTACATAATGCAATGAATACTTATCGATTTGTGTTGCTAATAATCCTATAATTGTTAATGGAGTTTCAAAAATTGAAGGATGTTAAGATTTACCAAAATCTTGTACATCTAGAAAATCTGTTGAAAATTGTGAAATTTCAAGATTTGGATACCCAACCTGTCTGTGGGTCTCATTCACTGAATAGTGTGTTGAAAAATCTTGTGCAACAGCTAGTAATTTGGAAACAGCTGGAGCACTATAAGGAGAATTTACTTTTTCTGGTTGCCAAGCCTATCTAAATACTTGTATTTCAAATAATTCTGCTGATGGATGTATAGTTAAGCCATCTAGTTGTTCATCATTAGTTTAATCTAATTGTTATATTGGATCTAAAGTAGGTGGAGATTGTTATTGGAATGGCAATAGTTGTGTTGATAGAATTTGTTCAAATATTATCCAAACCACACATGCTAATTGTAATGCTGTATATTATCCATGCACAGTTAATAATTTAGGAACTGCTTGTTAATCACTAGCAACTAACTGTACATCTTATTTAAGCTAAGAAAATTGTAAAATAACAGAAAAATATGAATATTGTATTTGGACTGGATTCTCTTGCAGAAATGCCACTTGTGCTGATGCTCCAGATTCTTCATCATATGATAGTGATTCAGAATGCTTTACTTACCCGACACCAAGTGAAAAATGTACAGTCATCTACAAAGTTGGAGGTTAAGGATGTGTAAAAAAATAGGCAAATTGTTCAGATTATAAGACATAAACCTAGTGCCATAAAACTATCACAAATTTAACAGTTGATGATGATTGTAAATGGGTTATTGATAAATGTTATGAATTATCCATTTTCACTTTTGGAACATGCAGATAATTCAAGGGCACTTAGAGAATGTGTCAAGAATATAAAGATGGATGTACAAATATATCTAGTGCAGAATCTTCAGTTACTTGTACCTTAGATTGTAATTTAAAAAGAGGATCAGGTTTAACATTTGCAGATTGTTAAGCATTAGATTATACATGTTCAGTCAAAAAAGATGGCTCTGGTTGTATTTATATATAATCTACTTGTTTTGGATATGAATCATCAATAATAAATTGTTTTAGATCTAGTGCAAGTGGAAATGCAGGATATTGTGTTATGAATGATTTTTCATAATGTCAATCTGTGAATTAGGCCTCAGAATGTAGATATGTAACTGGATTAATTGATATGGATCATCGTAAATGTTAATTATATCACTTTGATTGTACAGCTTTAAATGATGGAACTGGATGTTAGGAGTATAAGAGAGCTTGCTCCGATTATGAAACTGCAAACAATTGTTCTATTTCTGCATAAGGCAAATGTTTCTTTGATGGTATCTATTGTGTACGTTTTTCAAATTGTGCTTCAATTATTGGAATAGGATTAAATAATATTATTTGTTCAACTTATCACCCAGGTTGTACTGCAAATGCTAATGGAACAGCTTGTTAAGAAAAAATGCCTGTTTGTGATCTATATTTTATGCAAAATTCCTGTACTATATCATAAGCTGTAGCAACAGCAGATAAATGTGTTTGGACTGGAACTTAATGTATTACAATAACTAATGTTGCTACTGATTGTACTTATGTTACTGGATATGAACTTACAGATCCAATATGCGCCTCATATCACCCTGATTGTACAGCAAATAGATAAGGAACAGCATGCCAAGAGAGGCTAACCACTTGCGAATAATACATAACATAATTTAATTGTTCAACATCAACATTTTATAAATGTGTTTGGACAGGAAATTAATGTATTCATGTCACTAATGTTGCTACAGATTGTGCATATATTACTGGATCTAAACTTACATATCCAATATGCGCCTCATATCACCCTGATTGTACAGCAAATAGATAAAGAACAGCATGCCAAGAAAGGTTAACTACTTGCGAATAATACATAACATAATTTAATTGTTCAACATCAACAGATACAGTTACATTTGAATGCGTTTGGACTGGAAATTAATGTATTCATGTTACTAATGTTGCTACTGATTGTGCATATATTACTGAAAATGGACTTACAGATACAATATGCGCCTCATATCACCCTGATTGTACAGCAAATAGATAAGGAACAGCATGCCAAGAGAAACTAACCACTTGTGAATATTACATAACATATTTTAATTGTTCAACATCAACATTTTATAAATGTGTTTGGACAGGAAATTAATGTATTCATGTCACTAATGTTTCTACTGATTGTGCATATATTACTGGATCTAAACTTACAGATCCAATATGCGCCTCATATCACCCTGATTGTACAGCAAATAGATAAGGAACAGCATGCCAAGAGAAACTAGCCACTTGTGAATAATACATAACATAATTTAATTGTTCAACATCATCATTTTATAAATGTGTTTGGACAGGAAATTAATGTATTTCTGTTACTAACGTTGTTACTGATTGTGTATATATTACTGGAAATGAACTTACAGATACATTATGTGCCACATATCATCCTGGTTGTACTAGTCTAAAAGATGGTACTGGTTGTTAAGAAGCAAAACCGAATTGTAAAGATTATACTTCATTTAATAAATGCTTTTTATAAACCACTGCTCTTCCTTCATGTATTTGGATTGATAACTCTTGCTATCCCATCACTGATGCAAATTGTAGTGTAATAACAGGATATGGACTTGATCATGCTCAATGCTAAGCCTACAGCACAGGTTGTACATCAATTTCAGATGGAAGCAAATGTTAAGATTTTAAATCAACTTGCGAATAATATCCAGGTACAACTTTAGGATGCACAAAAACATATCCTTAAAAATGTTATTTATACGGTTCTTCTTGTATCGCTATTTAAAATGTTGAGACTGATTGCGCTAAAATAACTGGGTCTGCTGGAGCTATAACATACGAAATTTGCTAATTGTATAATGTTGGTTGTAGTGCAAATAGAGCAAGGAGTGCTTGTGTATAATTATAAGCATAATGTTCAGGATATACAAGTGCAATGACAAGTTGTTATAAATCAAGAGCTGGTTTATGTATTGCAAGTACAAATACAGATACTGCTTGTGTAGCTGCATCAACTGCAACAACTTGTGATGTAGTATATTTAGGAGCAGGAAATTACAGCAGTGCAAATTGTAATGAAATGAAGGCTGGATGTACAAATAATGGAACAACTGCATGTGTAGCAAAAACTTGTGTAAATGCTGTGGTTACATTTAATCATCCAAATTGCAATAATTATCTCAACACCTGTACTGTAAATTCTGGAAACAGTGCATGCCAAACTATTGCATCTAAATGTGCAGATTAAACTCAAGTTTCTTGTCAATACTCATTTGAAGGAGAATGTGTAGTAGTAGGTACATCATGTGTTAGAAAGACTTGTGATAATGCAGCAATTGATGTTACTAGGGATGATGACATTGAATGTTCAACTTACTTGTAATCTTGTACAGTAGCTAGATTAGGAGGTTGCCAAGCCAGAGCAGCTTGCTCTTCTTATATATCTTCCCTCTAATGTAAATTTAATACTAGTGGTGGAAAATGTTTCTGGAATCCTACTTTAAGGATTTGTGTTGATTTGAATTGTGTTAATATTGAAGCCACAACTTTATTTGATACTCATAATGAATGTGTTGTTGTTGATGAAATACTTGCCTGTACAGTAAGAGCTAGAGATGGAGCTGCAATTTAAGGGTGTATGGCTAGGGGAGCATGCAGTTCATATACAATTGAAGAACAATGTAAAACAAATGCAAGTGGTGATCTTTGTGTTTGGAATACAAATGCTAATTTACTAGCACCTGCTTGCTAAGATAAGTCTTGTACCACTGCTTCAACATCCACTACAACTCATTATGATTGTTATGCGTATTATGAAACTGCAACAGTAAAGTGTACTGTTTTTGCCACTCCAAGTAATAGTGGTGGTAATCCAATTTTAGGAGGATGTTAATAGACTACTGATTGTTCAAATTATATTGATATAGAATAGTGTTAAATCAACGCTAATGGAGATCCATGCGTATGGAATGGAACATCATGTGCTGATAAATCTTGTGCTACTGCTCCAATAGATTATGATGATGATACTAAATGTAGAACTTACATTACTAATAAATGTACAGTCTCAGATTCTGGATATGGATGTGTAGATATTCCTGTAACTTGTGAGACAATGAAATAGAATTAATGTTATTATAATAAAGCTGGAGATCCTTGCTATTGGACAGGAATAGAATGTATTAAAAGATCATGTGAAAATGCTCCAGATACTACATTAACTGCAGATGATTGTAATACATATTTAACTGGATGTACTTTGGATAATATAAAATGTAAGACAAAAATTTGTGAAGATTTTGAATTTGCTACAGATTATTTATGTAAATAATCTATTTCTACATGCACAACAAATGGAAAGAATTGTGTTACAAGAGGATCATGTTTATAGGCTTTAGATAAATCTGGATGTATTCTTTCATCATCAGGGGAATAATGTGAATGGATTCCTGATGATGACATTAATTCAGCATATTGTACTATAAAGACTTGTTCAACAGCATCAGATTCTTTGATAACAGAAGAATAATGTTAATAATATTTTCGTAATTGTACAACCAAAAAAGGTGGAGGATGTGTTGAAAAATCAAGTTGTGCTAATGCTAATGTTGAAAGTGCTTGCACAACTGCATTTAATGGTTAGATATGTGTATGGGATTCCATTAAATAATTATGTAGAGATTACGATTGTTAAGATATAGATGGAACACTACATGATGCATGTCAATCAAGAAAAAGTGATTGTACTGCAGGAATTAATGGAAGATGTGCAAAAATCTAAAATTGTGAATAAACTAATGTTAGAGCTGCTTGTATTGTAGGATTAAATGGACCATGTTTATGGATAGATCAATATCTAAATTAAGATGGTTCTAAAGGGGCTTGTTTCTAATATACTTCTTGTTAAAGTTTAAGTTGGAAAACTGATTAATAATGTAAATAAATAAATGATCAATGTACAACTGATGGATCAAAGTGTGTAGCAATTACTTTATGTTCAGAAACCAATATTAATGGAGGTTGTGTCACAGGATATGATGGACTTTGTGTATAATCAGTACTAGAACTAAATTCTCTAGAGCCAGCTGTGTGTTAACCATATAAATCTTGTGAGAAAGTTTTCTACATAACTCATGAATAATGTTAATAAGCTAATGGGAATTGTACTTCAAATGGAAAAACTGGTTGCATAGATTTAACTGAATGTTCATCATATTAATCTTAACTTGGATGTGTTATAAATAAAACTGGTCTTATTGTTTAATCTGGAATTGTAAAGTCAACTGGACTATGTACTTGGGATGCAAAAAATAATTAGTGTAGAGATTAAGATTGTTCTGATTATATCAGAACCACCCATCGAGAATGCTTTGAAATATTATCAATCTGTACTTCAAATGGAGAAACTTGTATTAAACAAGAAGTATGCTCATCTTACAGCACTTAAGTTGCTTGTGAAACTGCTGTTGGCTCTGATGGTATTTGCTTTTGGGAATAAGCATCATTAAAAAATAATAATAATGCCAAATGTAGATTACTTATTTGTCAAGATATTCAAAACAGCTTATCAAATAATGTATGTTTAGCTTCTTTGCTTTCTTGTGTCATAGACAATAGTAATATTTGTATTCCCAAAGCAAATTGTTCTACATATACTTCTAAGTCAGCTTGTAACTATGGAGGATTAGATGGAATTTGTATTTTCAAATAATAAACTGGTATAGATTCTATTTCTGGAATTGGAACATGTACTTTAATGAGAGACTGTAGTGCAGCCAATGATGATTAGAATGCCTGTTAAGCAGCAAAAGATAGATGCTTATGGATACCAGAATTGATAATATAAGGTCTTGTTACTCCAAGTAAATGTTCTGCTCTCGATTGTACTTTAAATTGGGCAAAAAATGGTTATTGCAATAGAATTTTAAATTGGGATTAAACATCCTAGTAAATATGTAAACTTACTAATGGAACTTGTGTTGCCATAAATCCTATTACTCTTTCATCTAGTGAGTGTTTAAAGATTTCTGGTTATACATACACTTGGAATGCATCTAAAAATTAATGCTAGGTTTGTAAACAACCAAAGCCAAACTCTAGCCAAAATAATGATACAGAGGAAGAAGAAAAGAATGAAAATACAGAATCAACATCTTCTAACTAAATTTTAAGTATAATTGGAATAATGGTAATAGATTATCTAATATCGTGAGTATTATATATAAATTAATAAATATTAAATTAAATTTTTTTTTGTATTTAAAAGAAGTACAATTAATTAATTCCTAATTTTATATTATTAGTAAATTATTATTGTTCCCTTAAGATTTGATTGATTATATTATAATAAATTGACATAAAGATTTAAATTATAAGAGGATATTAATATCCTCAAATATTATTTGTTCATTATGCAAAATAAATTTATGAAGCTTATGAATTTATTTTAGTTTAAAATTTTCTCATGTTATTATATCAAAGTTGTTATTATTTAAGAAAGCTAAAAACTCTTTTCGAATTATTGTTAATTAAATGAAGAGATAATTAATAATTTTTAATGATTTAATATGAACTCTACCTTTTCATTTAGGAGATATAATTTACCAAATATATGACATCTTCTAAGAATTTTGAATTATACTAAAATTTATATGTAATGTTTTTGTAACACAAGTTAATCTGAATCTGATACTGAAATAAAGAGATTTATTGTTGAGTTTTATGCTATTATCTTTAGTAATTACAATTTGATGTTACAAGTAAATTTTTAGTTTATTTAAATATTTTCTTTTCTATTATATATACATTTAATTTATATTGTTTGTATGGGTTCTGCTTATGCATATTTTTTATTTATAAAAACTATAGCAAAACTGAAATACATAACATATTTTATTAATAGTTCAAAAAACAGAAATTATCAGAATTAAAAATTAAAATTAAGCTTTTTAACCAAATCTGAATATAAGTTGATTAATTACCAAAATTCATCTATAGCAATTAGACAATTCCTGAAAACGATTACATACAATTCTATAATGGCAGCTTTAACTTTGAAATTGTAAAAATTAAAAAAAAAAATGAATATTTAAATTTGATACATTAGTATATCTATTTAAAGCATTCTCATAGATTTTTATAATAAATTTAAAACGTGCATGTACTCTAAAAAATAAAAAATTAGAAGCTAAATTCAAACTTGTAATATTATAAATGATGATTTGATTATTCTATTTAGTTTAATGATTACAAATTCTAATCTAATTAGTAAATTATGATTTAGTCAAAATAATGATAACCTTTGAGCTTAAACCAAATTGATTTCTTTGAATATATCTGGAGCTTGTTTAACAAATATGTAGAAAAGTCTACTCACTTATCTTCATTTTGAAGTATAGAAACACAGTATTTAGATTATATTGCATATATAGCATATATCCTAGTCATTTTTTTTATAAAATCAATAAAAGATTAATGAATAACAAAATCTTCATTCTATCTATAATGCTTTTATTAGTCTAATCTTAATAATATAGCATAACAGCATGCACTTGTTAAGATTTGCTATCAGAAATCGATTGCATAAATAATATCACAACTAAATGTTCTTGGGACGGAAAAAATAGCAAATGCAAAATTTTTACTACAACCGATAAGCCAATCAAGAAATATATTTAATATTGTGATTCTTATAATGAGAAAGATTGTCCTTAAAAATTAGGTTGTGCTTGGTTGTCTAACAAATGTATACTTTTTACAGGTTGTACAGCCTATGCTAAGAAAGATAATTCNTCTTTTCGAATTATTGTTAATTAAATGAAGAGATAATTAATAATTTTTAATGATTTAATATGAACTCTACCTTTTCATTTAGGAGATATAATTTACCAAATATATGACATCTTCTAAGAATTTTGAATTATACTAAAATTTATATGTAATGTTTTTGTAACACAAGTTAATCTGAATCTGATACTGAAATAAAGAGATTTATTGTTGAGTTTTATGCTATTATCTTTAGTAATTACAATTTGATGTTACAAGTAAATTTTTAGTTTATTTAAATATTTTCTTTTCTATTATATATACATTTAATTTATATTGTTTGTATGGGTTCTGCTTATGCATATTTTTTATTTATAAAAACTATAGCAAAACTGAAATACATAACATATTTTATTAATAGTTCAAAAAACAGAAATTATCAGAATTAAAAATTAAAATTAAGCTTTTTAACCAAATCTGAATATAAGTTGATTAATTACCAAAATTCATCTATAGCAATTAGACAATTCCTGAAAACGATTACATACAATTCTATAATGGCAGCTTTAACTTTGAAATTGTAAAAATTAAAAAAAAAAATGAATATTTAAATTTGATACATTAGTATATCTATTTAAAGCATTCTCATAGATTTTTATAATAAATTTAAAACGTGCATGTACTCTAAAAAATAAAAAATTAGAAGCTAAATTCAAACTTGTAATATTATAAATGATGATTTGATTATTCTATTTAGTTTAATGATTACAAATTCTAATCTAATTAGTAAATTATGATTTAGTCAAAATAATGATAACCTTTGAGCTTAAACCAAATTGATTTCTTTGAATATATCTGGAGCTTGTTTAACAAATATGTAGAAAAGTCTACTCACTTATCTTCATTTTGAAGTATAGAAACACAGTATTTAGATTATATTGCATATATAGCATATATCCTAGTCATTTTTTTTATAAAATCAATAAAAGATTAATGAATAACAAAATCTTCATTCTATCTATAATGCTTTTATTAGTCTAATCTTAATAATATAGCATAACAGCATGCACTTGTTAAGATTTGCTATCAGAAATCGATTGCATAAATAATATCACAACTAAATGTTCTTGGGACGGAAAAAATAGCAAATGCAAAATTTTTACTACAACCGATAAGCCAATCAAGAAATATATTTAATATTGTGATTCTTATAATGAGAAAGATTGTCCTTAAAAATTAGGTTGTGCTTGGTTGTCTAACAAATGTATACTTTTTACAGGTTGTACAGCCTATGCTAAGAAAGATAATTCTGAATGTTAAGCAATAAATAGAAGATGTCTATCTGATGGAACTCATTGTGTTGAGATTGATGATTGCAAAATTTATAAAAAATAGCTCTCTTGTGTCAAAAATGCTGAAGGAAGCTTATGCTATTGGGATACAACAAACAATATATGTGTTGATGTAATTACTTGCTATTAATTACCATCAACATTTTAAACAGATAGAGATTGCAGAGATGCTATTTCTATTTGTACCGTAATTCCCTATGGTGGATGTATTGAGAGTGGAAATGAATGCAGTGATTAAAAATTAGAAATTCAATGTTTTTGGAATAAATTACAAACTACTGCTTGCTATTGGGATGGTATTGTGTGCAAAGATAGAATTTGTGAGAATGCACCACCTAGTTTTACAACTGATGATGCTTGTATTAAATTTAGAACTGATGGAACCTGCACAACAAAAGCAAATGGAGGATGCGTGACGAGAACTACATGTGCTGGTGCAAAAATTGAAGAATCATGCATCAAAAATAGTTCAGGTGATGATTGTTATTGGACAGGAACTACTTGTGTCGATAAGACATGTGCAAATGCTCCAACTACCATGAAAACAAATTCAGCATGTGCAAAATTTGTTAAAGGGTGTATTACAAAATCAGGTGGTGGTTGTGTTTCCAATGGAGCATGTTCTGTTGCGAAAATTCAAGAAGCTTGTGTTAGAAATTCAAGCAATTTTGATTGCATTTGGGATATAACTTGTAAAGAAAAAACATGTGACAATGCTCCAATAATAATTACAACAAATGAGGAATGTGAAGCTTATCTAAATGGACATAATTGCATAACAAAAATAGGAGGTGGATGTGTTAAATATACGACATGTGCTTCAATAACCTTAGGAGCTGCTTGTGTTATTGAATAATCTTGTTTCTGGGATACTTAAAATTCAAGTTGTAAAGATAAAACATGCTTGAATGCTCCAACAACTAACATTTCTCATGAGCTATGTTAAGCCTTCTTAAATACATGTACAGTAAATTCAATATATGCAGGATGTGTTGAAAAAACCTGTGAAAATTAAATGATATAGTTTAATTGTGATAAAGATGCAAACAATAAGTTATGTGTTTGGAAAGGAAAATGTTATAAAAAATAATGTGTGTTAGCGCCATCTTTTATAACAACCCATGCTGACTGTTAAGCTTATCATTACTCTTGTACTTTAAACAATTCAGGTACTGGGTGTGTTCCACTCCCACTTAAATGCGAAGCTATCACTATTGAAGCAGCTTGTTAAATGAAATCTAATAAGAAACCATGCGGATGGAATGGATCTTAATGTATTGATAAAGGTTGTTCAACTGCATCAAAGACATTCACAACTACTACATAATGCAATGAATACTTAATGATTTGTGTTGCTAATAATCCTATAATTATTAATGGAGTTTCAAAAATTGAAGGATGTTAAGATTTACCAAAATCTTGTACATTTAGAAAATCTGTTGAAAATTGTGAAATTTCAAGATTTGGATACCCAACCTGTCTGTGGGTCTCATTCACTGAATAGTGTGTTGAAAAATCTTGTGCAACAGCTAGTAATTTGGAAACAGCTGGAGCACTATAAGGAGAATTTACTTTTTCTGGTTGCCAAGCCTATCTAAATACTTGTATTTCAAATAATTCTGCTGATGGATGTATAGTTAAGCCATCTAGTTGTTCATCATTAGTTTAATCTAATTGTTATATTGGATCTAAAGTAGGTGGAGATTGTTATTGGAATGGCAATAGTTGTGTTGATAGAATTTGTTCAAATATTATCCAAACCACACATGCTAATTGTAATGCTGTATATTATCCATGCACAGTTAATAATTTAGGAACTGCTTGTTAATCACTAGCAACTAACTGTACATCTTATTTAAGCTAAGAAAATTGTAAAATAACAGAAAAATATGAATATTGTATTTGGACTGGATTCTCTTGCAGAAATGCCACTTGTGCTGATGCTCCAGATTCTTCATCATATGATAGTGATTCAGAATGCTTTACTTACCCGACACCAAGTGAAAAATGTACAGTCATCTACAAAGTTGGAGGTTAAGGATGTGTAAAAAAATAGGCAAATTGTTCAGATTATAAGACATAAACCTAGTGCCATAAAACTATCACAAATTTAACAGTTGATGATGATTGTAAATGGGTTATTGATAAATGTTATGAATTATCCATTTTCACTTTTGGAACATGCAGATAATTCAAGGGCACTTAGAGAATGTGTCAAGAATATAAAGATGGATGTACAAATATATCTAGTGCAGAATCTTCAGTTACTTGTACCTTAGATTGTAATTTAAAAAGAGGATCAGGTTTAACATTTGCAGATTGTTAAGCATTAGATTATACATGTTCAGTCAAAAAAGATGGCTCTGGTTGTATTTATATATAATCTACTTGTTTTGGATATGAATCATCAATAATAAATTGTTTTAGATCTAGTGCAAGTGGAAATGCAGGATATTGTGTTATGAATGATTTTTCATAATGTCAATCTGTGAATTAGGCCTCAGAATGTAGATATGTAACTGGATTAATTGATATGGATCATCGTAAATGTTAATTATATCACTTTGATTGTACAGCTTTAAATGATGGAACTGGATGTTAGGAGTATAAGAGAGCTTGCTCCGATTATGAAACTGCAAACAATTGTTCTATTTCTGCATAAGGCAAATGTTTCTTTGATGGTATCTATTGTGTACGTTTTTCAAATTGTGCTTCAATTATTGGAATAGGATTAAATAATATTATTTGTTCAACTTATCACCCAGGTTGTACTGCAAATGCTAATGGAACAGCTTGTTAAGAAAAAATGCCTGTTTGTGATCTATATTTTATGCAAAATTCCTGTACTATATCATAAGCTGTAGCAACAGCAGATAAATGTGTTTGGACTGGAACTTAATGTATTACAATAACTAATGTTGCTACTGATTGTACTTATGTTACTGGATATGAACTTACAGATCCAATATGCGCCTCATATCACCCTGATTGTACAGCAAATAGATAAGGAACAGCATGCCAAGAGAGGCTAACCACTTGCGAATAATACATAACATAATTTAATTGTTCAACATCAACATTTTATAAATGTGTTTGGACAGGAAATTAATGTATTCATGTCACTAATGTTGCTACAGATTGTGCATATATTACTGGATCTAAACTTACAGATCCAATATGCGCCTCATATCACCCTGATTGTACAGCAAATAGATAAAGAACAGCATGCCAAGANTTTTGCATCATCCTTTATAAAAACTCATGCTGATTGTTAAGCTTATCATTCCTCTTGTACTTTAAGTAATTCAGGTACTGGGTGTGTTCCACTCCCACTTAAATGCGAAGCTATCACTATTGAAGCAGCTTGTTAAATGAAATCTAATAAGAAACCATGCGGATGGAATGGATCTTAATGTATTGATAAAGGTTGTTCAACTGCATCAAAGACATTCACAACTACTACATAATGCAATGAATACTTAATGATTTGTGTTGCTAATAATCCTATAATTATTAATGGAGTTTCAAAAATTGAAGGATGTTAAGATTTACCAAAATCTTGTACATTTAGAAAATCTGTTGAAAATTGTGAAATTTCAAGATTTGGATACCCAACCTGTCTGTGGGTCTCATTCACTGAATAGTGTGTTGAAAAATCTTGTGCAACAGCTAGTAATTTGGAAACAGCTGGAGCACTATAAGGAGAATTTACTTTTTCTGGTTGCCAAGCCTATCTAAATACTTGTATTTCAAATAATTCTGCTGATGGATGTATAGTTAAGCCATCTAGTTGTTCATCATTAGTTTAATCTAATTGTTATATTGGATCTAAAGTAGGTGGAGATTGTTATTGGAATGGCAATAGTTGTGTTGATAGAATTTGTTCAAATATTATCCAAACCACACATGCTAATTGTAATGCTGTATATTATCCATGCACAGTTAATAATTTAGGAACTGCTTGTTAATCACTAGCAACTAACTGTACATCTTATTTAAGCTAAGAAAATTGTAAAATAACAGAAAAATATGAATATTGTATTTGGACTGGATTCTCTTGCAGAAATGCCACTTGTGCTGATGCTCCAGATTCTTCATCATATGATAGTGATTCAGAATGCTTTACTTACCCGACACCAAGTGAAAAATGTACAGTCATCTACAAAGTTGGAGGTTAAGGATGTGTAAAAAAATAGGCAAATTGTTCAGATTATAAGACATAAACCTAGTGCCATAAAACTATCACAAATTTAACAGTTGATGATGATTGTAAATGGGTTATTGATAAATGTTATGAATTATCCATTTTCACTTTTGGAACATGCAGATAATTCAAGGGCACTTAGAGAATGTGTCAAGAATATAAAGATGGATGTACAAATATATCTAGTGCAGAATCTTCAGTTACTTGTACCTTAGATTGTAATTTAAAAAGAGGATCAGGTTTAACATTTGCAGATTGTTAAGCATTAGATTATACATGTTCAGTCAAAAAAGATGGCTCTGGTTGTATTTATATATAATCTACTTGTTTTGGATATGAATCATCAATAATAAATTGTTTTAGATCTAGTGCAAGTGGAAATGCAGGATATTGTGTTATGAATGATTTTTCATAATGTCAATCTGTGAATTAGGCCTCAGAATGTAGATATGTAACTGGATTAATTGATATGGATCATCGTAAATGTTAATTATATCACTTTGATTGTACAGCTTTAAATGATGGAACTGGATGTTAGGAGTATAAGAGAGCTTGCTCCGATTATGAAACTGCAAACAATTGTTCTATTTCTGCATAAGGCAAATGTTTCTTTGATGGTATCTATTGTGTACGTTTTTCAAATTGTGCTTCAATTATTGGAATAGGATTAAATAATATTATTTGTTCAACTTATCACCCAGGTTGTACTGCAAATGCTAATGGAACAGCTTGTTAAGAAAAAATGCCTNTGAAATTTCAAGATTTGGATACCCAACCTGTCTGTGGGTCTCATTCACTGAATAGTGTGTTGAAAAATCTTGTGCAACAGCTAGTAATTTGGAAACAGCTGGAGCACTATAAGGAGAATTTACTTTTTCTGGTTGCCAAGCCTATCTAAATACTTGTATTTCAAATAATTCTGCTGATGGATGTATAGTTAAGCCATCTAGTTGTTCATCATTAGTTTAATCTAATTGTTATATTGGATCTAAAGTAGGTGGAGATTGTTATTGGAATGGCAATAGTTGTGTTGATAGAATTTGTTCAAATATTATCCAAACCACACATGCTAATTGTAATGCTGTATATTATCCATGCACAGTTAATAATTTAGGAACTGCTTGTTAATCACTAGCAACTAACTGTACATCTTATTTAAGCTAAGAAAATTGTAAAATAACAGAAAAATATGAATATTGTATTTGGACTGGATTCTCTTGCAGAAATGCCACTTGTGCTGATGCTCCAGATTCTTCATCATATGATAGTGATTCAGAATGCTTTACTTACCCGACACCAAGTGAAAAATGTACAGTCATCTACAAAGTTGGAGGTTAAGGATGTGTAAAAAAATAGGCAAATTGTTCAGATTATAAGACATAAACCTAGTGCCATAAAACTATCACAAATTTAACAGTTGATGATGATTGTAAATGGGTTATTGATAAATGTTATGAATTATCCATTTTCACTTTTGGAACATGCAGATAATTCAAGGGCACTTAGAGAATGTGTCAAGAATATAAAGATGGATGTACAAATATATCTAGTGCAGAATCTTCAGTTACTTGTACCTTAGATTGTAATTTAAAAAGAGGATCAGGTTTAACATTTGCAGATTGTTAAGCATTAGATTATACATGTTCAGTCAAAAAAGATGGCTCTGGTTGTATTTATATATAATCTACTTGTTTTGGATATGAATCATCAATAATAAATTGTTTTAGATCTAGTGCAAGTGGAAATGCAGGATATTGTGTTATGAATGATTTTTCATAATGTCAATCTGTGAATTAGGCCTCAGAATGTAGATATGTAACTGGATTAATTGATATGGATCATCGTAAATGTTAATTATATCACTTTGATTGTACAGCTTTAAATGATGGAACTGGATGTTAGGAGTATAAGACAACTTGCTCCGATTATGAAACTGCAAACAATTGTTCTATTTCTGCATAAGGCAAATGTTTCTTTGATGGTATCTATTGTGTACGTTTTTCAAATTGTGCTTCAATTATTGGAATAGGATTAAATAATATTATTTGTTCAACTTATCACCCAGGTTGTACTGCAAATGCTAATGGAACAGCTTGTTAAGAAAAAATGCCAATTTGCGATCTATATTTTACACAAAATTCCTGTACTATATCATAAGCTGTAGCAACAGCAAATAAATGTGTTTGGACTGGAACTTAATGTATTTCAGTTACCATTAGTGCTATTTAATGTGCATATATTACTGGATCTAAACTTACAGATACAATTTGTACCTCATATCATCCTGATTGTACAGCAAATAGATAAGAAACAGCATGCCAAGAAAAGCGAGTAACATGCACTGATTATGCAGCCATTGAAGCAGCCTGTTCAGTATCAATAGCCAAAAAATGTGTTTGGACTGGAACGTATTGTATTTCAGTTACTACTGTTGCTATAGATTGTGCTTATATTACTGGATATGAACTTACAGATGAAATATGTGCCTCATATAATCCAGGTTGTACAGTAAATAGGTATGGTACAGCATGCCAAGAAAAGCTAGCAACATGCGATCTATATATCGTAAATGAAGCAGCCTGTTCAATATCAATAGCCAAAAAATGTATTTGGGCTGGAACGTATTGTATTTCAGTTACTACTTCTGCTACAGATTGTGCTTATATTACTGGATATGAACTTTCAGATGAAATATGTGCCTCATATAATCCAGGTTGTACAGTAAATAGGTATGGTACAGCATGCCAAGAAAAGCTAGCAACATGCAATGATTATGCAGCAAATTATGTAGCCTGTACAATATCAGCAGCTGCATCAACAGCCAATAAATGTGTTTGGACTGGAACTTAATGTATTTCAGTTATTACCACTGCTGTAGAGTGTGCGTATATTACTGGATATGAACTCACAGGTGCAATATGTGCCTCATATAATGTAGGCTGTATTAATGTAAAGGATGGTAGTGGTTGTTAAGAAGCCAAACCTAATTGCAAGGATTATATAACATATAATAGTTGTTCCACTTAAAAGAATGGTTTTCTTTCATGTCTTTGGATGGATAACTCTTGTTATCCATTGACAAGCGTGAATTGTAGTGCAATAATAGGGGTTGGTCTTGATCATGCTCAATGTAAAGCTTACAATCCAGGTTGTATAGCAATTTCAGATGGAACAAAATGCTAAGACTACAAATAAACTTGCGAAGAATATCCAGGTACACCTTTAGGATGCATATAAAATTATGTATTTAAATGTTATTTATATGGTTCAACTTGTATCACGATTAGAAATGCTGCATCTGATTGTGCTAAAATAACTGGAGCTCCAGAAACTTTAACTTATGAAATTTGCTAATCATATCATCCAAAATGTAGTGTAAATAGAACAAAGAGTGCTTGTGTCTAACAATAAACTTTATGTTCAGAATATACTCATATTCAAAATTGTTATAAATCAGAGGCTGGTCTATGTATTGCAAGTACTAATACTGATACTGTTTGTGTTTCAGTATTTACTGCATCAAATTGTGATTCTATTTATTTAGGAATAGGAAATTACAGCAGCAGAAATTGTAATGAAATGAAAGCTGGATGTACAAATAATGGAACAATTGGATGTACAGCAAAAACTTGTGCAAATGCTTCAGGTATTGCATTTAATCATGTAAATTGTAATAGCTGGCTCAATACATGCACTGTAAATACAGAAAACAGTGCATGTCGAACTATGGCAGTAAAATGCTCAGATTAATCTTAATTTTCTTGCCTTTAAGCCTTTGAAGGAGAATGCTCAGTATTAGGAACATCATGTATTAGAAAGACTTGTGATAATGCAGCAATTGATGTTACTCTGGATGATGACAATGAATGTTCGTCCTACTTGTAGTCTTGTACTGTTGCTAGATTAGGAGGTTGCCAAGCCAGAGTGGCTTGTTCTTCTTATATATCTTCCCTCCAATGTAAATTTAATACAAGTGGTGGAAAATGTTTCTGGAATCCTACTTAAAAGTCTTGTGTTGATTTGAATTGTGGCAACATAGAAGCCTCAACTTTATACGATACTCATAATGAATGTGTTGTTGTTGATGAAATACTTGCCTGTACAGTAAGAGCTAGGGATGGAGTTTCCATTTAAGGGTGTATGGCTAGAGGAGCATGCAGTTCATATACTATCGAAGAACAATGTAAAACAAATTCAAATAATGGTATTTGTGTTTGGAATACAAATGCTAATTTATTAGCACCTGTTTGCTAAGATAAGTCTTGTACCACTGCTCCAACATCCACTAAAACTCATTATGATTGTTATGCTTATTATGAAACTGCAACAGTAAAGTGTACTGTTTTTGCCACTCCAAGTAATAGTGGTGGTAATCCAATTTTAGGAGGATGTTAATAGACTACTGATTGTTCAAATTATATTGATATAGAATAGTGTTAAATCAACGCTAATGGAGATCCATGCGTATGGAATGGAACATCATGTGCTGACAAATCTTGTGCTACTGCTCCTATAGATTATGATGATGATACTAAATGTAGAACTTACATTACTAATAAATGTACAGTCTCAGATTCTGGATAAGGATGTGTAGATATTCCTGTAACTTGTGAGACAATGAAATAGAATTAATGTTATTATAATAAAGCTGGAGATCCTTGCTATTGGACAGGAATAGAATGTATTAAAAGATCATGTGAAAATGCTCCAGATACTACATTAACTGCAGATGATTGTAATACATATTTAACTGGATGTACTTTGGATAATATAAAATGTAAGACAAAAATTTGTGAAGATTTTGAATTTGCTACAGATTATTTATGTAAATAATCTATTTCTACATGCACAACAAATGGAAAGAATTGTGTTACAAGAGGATCATGTTTATAGGCTTAAGATAAAGCTGGATGTATCCTTTCATCAACAGGGGAATAATGTGAATGGATTCCTGATGATGACATTAATTCAGCATATTGTACTATAAAGACTTGTTCAACAGCATCAGATTCTTTGATAACAGAAGAATAATGTTAATAATATTTTCGTAATTGTACAACCAAAAAAGGTGGAGGATGTGTTAAAAAATCAATTTGTGCTAATGCTAATGTTGAAAGTGCTTGCACAACTGCATTTAATGGTTAGATATGTGTATGGGATTCCATTAAATAATTATGTAGAGATTACGATTGTTAAGATATAGATGGAACACTACATGATGCATGTCAATCAAGAAAAAGTGATTGTACTGCAGGAATTAATGGAAAATGTGCAAAAATCTAAAATTGTGAATAAACTAATGTTAGAGCTGCTTGTATTGTAGGATTGAATGGACCATGTTTATGGATAGATCAATATCTAAATTAAGATGGTTCTAAAGGGGCTTGTTTCTAATATACTTCTTGTTAAAGTTTAAGTTGGAAAACTGATTAATAATGTAAATAAATAAATGATCAATGTACAACTGATGGATCAAAGTGTGTAGCAATTACTTTATGTTCAGAAACCAATATTAATGGAGGTTGTGTCACAGGATATGATGGATTTTGTGTATAATCAGTACTAGAACTAAATTCTCTAGAGCCAGCAGTTTGTTAACCATATCAATCTTGTGAGAAAGTTTTCTACATAACTCATGAATAATGTTAATAAGCTAATGGGAATTGTACTACAAATGGAAAAACTGGTTGCATAGATTTAACTGAATGTTCATCATATTAATCTTAACTTGGATGTGTTATAAATAAAACTGGTCTTATTGTTTAAGCTGGAATTGTAAAGTCAACTGGACTATGTACTTGGGATGCAAAAAATAATTAGTGTAGAGATTAAGATTGTTCTGTTTATATTAGAACCACCCATCGAGAATGCTTTGAAATATTATCAACCTGTACTTCAAATGGAGAAACTTGTATCTAAAAAGAAAAATGCACATCTTACACCACCTAAGTTGCTTGTGAAACTGCTGTTGGCTCTGATGGTATTTGCTTTTGGGAATATGCATCATTAAAAAATAATAATAATGCCAAATGTAGATTACTTATTTGTCAAGATATTTAAAACAGTTTATCAAATAATGTGTGTTTAGCTTCTTCGCTTTCTTGTGTCATAGACAATAATAATATTTGTATTCCCAAAGCAAATTGTTCTACTTATACTTCTAAATCAGCTTGTAATTATGGAGGATTAGATGGAATTTGTGTTTTCAAATAATAAACTGGTATAAATTCTATTTCTGGAATTGGAACATGTACTTTAATGACAGATTGTAGTGCAGCCAATGATGATTAGAATGCCTGTTAAGCAGCAAAAGATAGATGCTTATGGATACCAGAATTGATAATATAAGGTCTTGTTAGTCCAAGTAAATGTTCTGCTCTCGATTGTACTTTAAATTGGGCAAAAAATGGTTATTGCAATAGAATTTTAAATTGGGATAAAAAATCCTAGTAAATGTGTAAACTTATAAATGGAACTTGTGTTTCCATAAATCCTATTGATCTTTCATTTAATGAGTGTTTAAAGATTTCTGGTTATACATACACTTGGAATGCTTCTAAAAATTAATGTTAAATTTGTAAATCTTCAGAGTCAAACATTAATCAAAATAATGTTACAGTCATATAACAAAAGAATGAAAAGACAGAATCAACATCTTCTAACTAAATTTTAAGTATAATAGGAATAATGGTAATAGATTATCTAATATGATGAATATTATATATAAATTAATAAATATTAAATTTATTATTTTTCTTAAATCTCAAAGAAGTACAATTAATTAATACCTAATTTTATATTATTAGTAAATTATTATAGTTCCTTTAAGATTTGATTCAATATAATATAATAAATTCATTTAAACACTTACATTAATAAATAAGAGGATGTTAATATCCTCAAATACTATTTGTTGATTATAAACAATAAATTTATTAAGCATATGAATTTATTTTAGTTTAAAATTTTATCATGTTATTATATCAAAGTTGTTATTATTTAAGGAAGTTAAGGATCTATTATTGAAAAAACATCTTTTTTAAATATCAGAATTCTTGTAAGAAGCATATCATTTATCAATGTGTATTGAAAAAAATTGAGAGTGAAGCACTTCCTCTTTATATAATTTTTAGAATCGTTTGATAATTTTATTAGACTTGCTTACTCACTAAAGTTTCATTGAATAACTCAAACTAAGAGTAAATTATTTTTATAAAGTGAAAGTGTACTAAGTGCTCATGTTTAAAATTTAGGAGAATATAATGAGAATATGAAAAAAGGAGTTGGAAATAATTTTATATTTTTTAGTTTTAAAATCAGTGCTAAAATAAATTTATTTATTTTTCTTTTTGGTTCTCACATTTATTATAATATATGATGAATATTTTGATCATTTATTTTAAATAAAAAAGTTTACTTGATATATGGAAAAGTGCTCAAAAGAAATTATAAATGTGACTAAAACTGGCTTCCAACACCTCTTTTATAATATTCCCTATATAAATATTTAGATTGGAGAAAATGAAATAAATTGATTGGGCTCTTTAGAAGTAATAAGTTTTTTCTGGTTCTTATGATGGGCAATAACATAATATAAACGATCTCAAATGGAAAAAATTGTTTTATATTAAATTTATATAATGATTTGGGAAAATTATTTTATCCCATAACATTTTAAGAAAACCTAAGTTAATATTAACTAAATATTGTAAAATTCATAATTAATTTTTTAATATTATTTCTCAAAATTCTCTTATCAAAATATTATTATTTTAATATCAAATATTTATGGAATTATTATGGATGCTCATTAATTATGTAAAATAAGCATCCATTATTTCATATTTTATAATTTGAATAAGACAATTATTAGAATATTTATTTAATAAATATTTATAACTAAAATGTTAATATAATTTTTCAAACTAGTTTAGTATTTAACATTCCTAAGATATAAGTAGATTGAGAAGTATGATTCTTCTTAAATTCTACTTTATTTTCATTATTAAAATCAGATGTAAATTATTCATTCTAATAATTATTAATATGATTTATTACTTTCAATGTTGAAGTTCTTTTATTTTTCAAAGAATCTAATTCTGCTTATGCTAAAATAAGTAATTCTTAATTTTTATGAAATTCTCTATTTTAAGTTATAAATTATGTCTTCCAAGAATCCAATTCTTAAACTAGAACTTACATTTTTTCATTATATAGATGAGATTCATCAAGTTTCTATTTTCTTTTACATAAATCTAATTCATCCTATAAGGTTCTGATTAAAGATGTTAATTTTTCATTATCGTTATACATTTATGTAAATTTAGTAGATTAATCTCTTAATTTAACTAATTCTTATTTATATTATTCTGATTCATTAATTTTGACTCTAACTAGATTGCTTAGTCTATCAATTTCATTTGAGTAGACTAGATTTTTCTATTCTAATTCTTTAAGTCTTTAAGATTCATTATTTGAGAACTAATTGGATTTAAGTTTATCTAATTCTTCATTTTTGAATTAAATTTATGCATTGAGTCTATCAATTTCTATTTAATAATCTGGATATTATGATTATAATGAGTATAATTCTTGTCTGAGTTTGTCATTTTCATCTTATCTACTTTTTAAACTTTAATGTAATCTTTCTATTTCTTAACTCAATAATGCAATTTTATTTTCATAATCATTTGATTTATATTTATCACTAATAGTTAATTATAATTTGGAAATGCATGATCTTAAATTATCATTTTCTTCAATCTTTAATCTTAAAGTATTATTAATTCTTTCATATTCTTATTAAATACTTCTATATCTAGTTTCAAAATCAGCATATTTAGAATATTCTTACAATTAAAGATTGTATTAATGTAATTATAATTTACATTTATCTATTTCATCTTATTTTGATCTAATTTTTTAATTGAGTAATTAAATTTCTTCACTTTATAATTTAGATCTATGTTCATATTCTTAGAATTTTGAAGTATCCTAAAATGTTAATTGTAAAGTTTGAGTAACAGAAGTTAATCTAGCAATTTCTTCATTTTTGGATCTGATATCAATATTGTATCTATCACTTAGATCTTAATATTCCTTATTCAATCTTTCTAATTGTTATTAGAGTGAATATTCTTTTTACTTGAGATCTTTATTTTCTCTATCGAAATCTTTTAATCTTATTGATTATATCTCTAAATCTTTTATCAATTATAATTTAGTAGTTTCAAATTCTTCTTGTTTGATTTTTAATACTTGAGTACATCTTTCTAATTCATTAGTTAAAGTAGTTTAGGTAGATTAGAGTTAGATATAAAGTTGTTCATACTTTTTTGAATCGATTAAAGTGGCTTATAAGGATTATAATTATGTTTAACTCTATTAAACAAGAACATTTAATCTTTGTATTTCATTTTAATAATATTGATCACTATCAATTTATGTTTTCTTTAATTTATCAAAATCAGTACTTTATTATTGATAATATACTAATTAAGAAGAGATTTGTGTATTTTTTATTTTGAGAGTATCAATTTCAATGTTTGTTTCTTTCAATAAAGTAGTTATTTTATTAATTTCAGTTTGATAGATAAGTAATTATCTTTCTAATTCAATTACTTTATGTGAATCTTCAACATATGTAATTTTTTCTTAGATTGTAGTATTAGATCTCAATCTAGTTAATTCAATATTGAGTTCATTGATTTATTTTTCATAGATTAGACATTTACTCTTATAAAATTCTACTTCTTCTCTGTGATCAACTACTTATACTTTTTACACTTATTAAATAATAGGTTTGACAATAGTCTCTGTTCTAATAGGTTATTGAGTTGTAGTAATGATATGTTATGGTTATCTTTTTACATAAACAATATTTTGTTTAGGTGATACAATTTGAATAGTGTCTTTGGTTTAGGATCTGCCTCTACTTGTTAATCTTTCAGAAACTACACATTCTAAAGTTTGGAAATGTTATGAATGTTATTGATCCATCTTGAAAATCGTTAATTTTATATTTAATATTAAACATTTTAAAATAAGAGTTAAATACTAACTTTATCAGTTATTCCTTTATATATAGTAATATCATCAATAGAAATTGTTAATAATTATATTGGTATTTAAATTGATATTTATATTGATGATGAGATAAATGGTAATCCCATAATAATATTGATATCAAACATTAATAATAATATTGAGAATAATCCTAATTAATCTTAGAGGAAACATCGTATGTGTACTTAGATGATATTTATATCAACCTAGGATAGGAATACGATGTAAATTAAGATCATACTCCAGCCTCGAAGAGCATTAATTAGTTCTTTGAACTCCATCGTATGGTAACATTATAAATTTTTATATTTTTTATTAATAAGTATAATCTATTTTTATAAGACAAACATTTGAATATTCACTTATTATTAAGTTAATTAAGTGATTCCAATATTTCTCTTTAGACTATTTCTATTGAATTATCTCCATTTATTTCAATCAATTAATTTTTATTTCGATAATGTTCAATTATTTTATAAGTGTCATTTTAATATGTGATAAATCTCTTTTCCAAAGTTTAGATATTATCATCTGATCTTCCACTTGTTTTAGATCTTTCTGTTATTCTTTAAATCATGGTTGTCTTTATATACAAAAATACTTATACTCTTGAACAAAGAATATGAATAACACTTTTAAACCTAATTTTATTATCCATTAATGCTATCCAATTTTCCATATTCTCATAATTTCTAGGAAATCCATCTATCAAAAATGTGTCTGAACTTATATCTTCAAAAATTGCTTTATCCAATAAATTAATTGTAACATGACTCTTAGAAACATCAAATAACATATATTACAGGAACTATTCCTCCATTATTAATACAATTTTCTATTGTACTTTTATGCTCTGAATTATTCTTAATCTGATTATATATACATTTAATACTTACAGCATTTCTCAATAATTATCCAGCAGAGAGGTGTACATATTTTAAATTTTTACTTAGTAATTCACATTAAGTACCTTTTCCAGATCCAGGTCCTTTTATTTAATTTGATTAATACCTCCTAAAATAAAATACACAAAAGGTTTCCTAAGTGTTGAAAATTTATACATAAAATAACCAAAATTATAATTTAATTAACCATAACCATTAAATCATATTGATGTATATTCATATAGAAATTAAGTTACCATTTAAATTTATATAAATTCCAATATCCATTATAGATATTATTTTTTATCATCAATAAAGATAAATGTTATATTAAAATATTATATTAATTAAATTATATTAATTATAGATGTATAAATATTATGATAAAATCATTGTAAATCAACATAACAAAATGGGGGAGGTTATAAACTTAAAGTATTTATAAATATAATTAATAAATATATATAAATTTTTTAAATTTTAGATACTTTATTAAATGTAAATGGAATTTATTTTTTATGATGAATGAATATTTATATCATACTACTCCTGAATTAACGATTTTGATTGTTGTTTTTGGTTTACCTTATTATGATGAATCTACAATTGATAATAAGTTTTACTTTTCTTGAATAATTCTAAGGTATCAAATCCATCGACAACTTCACCGAATACTACATGCTTTCCATCTAACCATGGGCATGGGACAAATGTAATAAAGAATTAGGATCCGTTTGTGTTTGGACCTGCATTGGCCATTGACAACATTGCTGGTTTGGTGTGTTTGAGTTTGAAATTTTCATCCTAATCATTGGGATATGATATTTACAGCAAATTTTTCTCCATAAATTGACTTTCCTCCTGTTCCATTGAAATTTGTGAAGTCACCTCCTTGAGCCATGAAATCTGTGATGACTCTATGGAATACGGATCCCTTGTATCCAAATCCCTTAGCTGAATAATAGACATAAATAAGTACATCCAGTTGCAAGTTCTCTGAAATTAGCAGCTGTCTTTGGAACAACGTCATCATAGAGCTTGAAAACAATTTTCTTGGGAGCATCTCCACCAAATTGGACGTCAAAGAACACGTTTGCCATAATTATTTATATTAATTTTTAATTCAAATATTCCCTCCATTTAAATTATGTAAGGGTGCCCCTATTATTATTAATTAATTAATTATTGTAGTAATATGATTATTATAAATTCATCTTAAATTTTTTATTATTGCTTTAAAACCAGCAAAAATAAGTTCAATTAGAGCATATGGAAACATTATTGGAAATAAAATCACAAATAAAAATAATGTTCTTAAAAAACTTTTCTTACAAAAATTGTATTAATAAATGGGATCAAAGAATTTTGTTATAAGAAAGGTTAAAGCCAAATAAGGTAGAAAGAGTCCAATAACTATTATCATCACAATGAATGCAATATTGTATGAAATTATTTCTTATCTTTAACATGAATAACATTAAGATTGATTGTTTGTAAAGAGATCTAATTATTTTCCACAATGAATGCATAAATTAGTATTACAAAATTGACACTACTTCTAATTCTCATTTTATATAAAATTTAGAGTCTTACATTTTTGACATGTAAATCCATATTACATTAGTTACCAACACAATTCACAGATAACTAATTTATTGTCTATAACAACAACTAAGCTATCTTAATGAATTGATTAGTTCTTATTATTCAAAGCAATTAATTTCTACACAATTTATGAGATGTAAAAATTCTGGTATTATCGTTAGAATTCAGCAGGAAATAAAAATAATCCCTTTTTAATCTCTCCCTTATGTATTTCACATAAGGAACAACAGTCAAACATAAAAATAAAAATTATTATAAAAGCATCTACTATATGTGATGTAATTTAAATACTTATTAAACTATAATATTTGATATTATTTATCAGATTCTTATTTTAATTTAATTCATTTTACAATAGATTTAAATATAATCATATTAAATTGGCCATAATTACAAAGAATTTAAGAGAGGATTTCATAAAAAAATAAATGAAGATTCTTTTTTATTCTTATTTATATAATCATGAAGAATTAATCTCTACATCTAGAAAATCTTATTTGGATTGAATTTGATTTAATTTTACATCCTTTAATTGTCTTGTAGAACTCTAAAGAGTAGTTAAATTCTTAATTTTATTTTCAGGTAAACTTGGCTATGATTTCTTGTATAAATTATCCTTTTTCTAACCATTGAGAGTGATGCTTTCAATATCAAAATTATTTTCTATTTCTTCTTCAACTTCATTTGAAGATCCTAATTTGAAATTCTGAGGTTTCAAAATCTAAGTTGCTACTCTCCTTTTCTTATTGTGCCTTAGTTATCTTGATAATTTTTCAATTTCAACTAGAGAATTAAAACTGTATTAGATTGTTGGTTCAACCAATTTTAATAATCTCTAATTCATTATTTTTTCAGTTTCATCTGGATCTTCTGCAAGTGCTAATTCTTCATAAGCTTCATATAATTTGTTAAACTTCTTTTCAGTATTATATTTTTATCTAATACCAAGTAAAGATTTAGAAGACATTGTTAATCTAAGAGTATCATCTCTTTTATTTTTTAGATCACCATGTATTAAACTTTGATCATATTTATCTTGATTGATTTTCTTTTTAACACAAACAACAGGTTTTTATAAATAATTAAATACTTTTCTTTATGTTTTATTAAAGATTACATGTTTAATTTTTTCAATTTCTTATAATTTATTCATTATAACTAGAATATCCATATCTCTTAAAATCATTTTTCTAGATTTTTCAAATAATTGAGATTAATAATTTACAGCTGTATTCTTTTTAAATGATCCAGATACCTATTTAGCTAGAAAATGAACACCAAATGATAGTTTTTTTCTACTTTCCAAAATTAATTAAACAATAAGACTGAGAAATTTCTTTTTATCCTATTCTAAATAAAAGGTTTAATTGCTTTCATGACAATGATCAGCACATTTATCTAACTTTAATTTATCAGTCTAAGGTACTTATTAATTTGCAAGATGATTTACCATTTCATCATCAATATCATCATTTTAATAAGATTATTGATTATTAAATTTAAGACCTCCTGCTAATCTTGTCAAATTAATTATTCTGTGAGCACTATTTTTAAATTTTTATACTGCATCTTCAATTGATTTAAGAGATTCAAATATTTTATTGACCAATAATTAAAAAGAAAATACCATCTATCCTTTTTATTTTTCAGGCATATCAAATTAATATAATGAATTGGCTAATTTAATCTACAATCCTGTTTGATTGTATCTTAAAATAAAATAACCAAGAATAGTAGCTAGAAATTAAGTAATTCCTCCAACATAAGAAAATAGCTCATCAAATCTATAATACTCTTTATAATAATGTGTTTCTGATTAAGACAATCTAATGAAAAAAGATGCAACTCTAGTTATATTTGATGTAAAAACAGATGATGCTTATAATTTATTCTCCAGTATTGAAAATACATGATCCTCTTCCAATGCTTTGATTCCAGGTATGACTGATTTCTCAATTGAGAGTTGTTATTACTCTAAATAAACATCTGTTTTAGTTTCTTATCCAATTTTTGCTTAGATGTAATAATCTGAATAAATGTAGGAGATATAATTATTAGGTATGTTTAAATTAGGGACTCTATTCAACATTAAGGTGTTAATTTTGAAGCTATTATTGAAATAACCTAATCGTAAGAATTGTTGGATTTCATCAGTTGAATAACAATCATCTGAAGAACAGATTGTTACTGATATTTTACCATATTAAAATATATTTGATTTTTAGGTACCTTATATTTAGAGACTATAATTGAGGGGGAGACAGTAGTAATCATCTAATTAATCTTTCAGTAATTTCTAATGATTAAAATAAATTGCTACATTATATGTACTTGCTTCATCAAATTCATTAAAATGTGAAATATTACATTATTCTAATTTGTGTGTTGATGTTTCTGTCTTTGTCATGTTTCCATTTTCATCCATCATTTGTAAATGAGATGTAAAAATGAAATTAAAAAGTCGTTTGGTTCCATTCTCTATAAGATTCTCAGCTTAGAAGGCCATCATGAAATCTTTCGAGAGTAATTCAGTGATTGGTGGATCGACATTGAGTACTTTATTATAGGAGATCTCATTAAATTATTATAATATCATACAGTGAAGGTTTCTTTATTTATAAGTCCTATAGCTCCTCTTATGAATATGACAGTCAAGACCACAAAAAGTAAAATTGTACAGAAACCTCCAAAGGGAGATTAATGGGTCTCTTTTTTTCTGAAATTTAGTTTTACTTCAGCTCCAAATCTATCAAAATAAGAAACTTTTGTCAAGAATTTTTAAAGCATATTTAATTATTTAATTTAGACTATCATTTTGTTATAATATTTATATAGTATATAAATACAATTAAAAATAATAATAATTGAGAATTAATATTAACATTATACCATTAAATTATAACATAATTAAAAATAGATAAGATTGACAGAATATAATATATAATTTATGCAGTTTATTAATTAAAATTAATTTGCTTGCGTCATTCAATGACAGAAACAAAGTTAAAAATAGCTATGAGAAGATACTCATCTCCTTATTAACATAATCAATGTGATATTTCCTTCAATTGTCTCTTTCAAAATATCAATGTATTAAATCATAGAAGAATGTCTGATAAAAAGACATCATAAAAAAACAGTTTTAATACAAGGCAAAATTCTAAAGACAATTCAATGGAAGCAGACAATCAATTAAATAAGCATCATTTTCTACTTTAATATATTATTGGTGTAGGAGGATTTGGAAGAGTATGGAAAGTTAGTTATAAACAATAATTTTTTGCTATGAAAGAAATCAGTAAGGCTTTAGTACTTTTAAAATAAAGTGTACAAAGTATAATGACTGAATTATAATTTTTAACTGAATTGAGACATAATTTCTTAATCAATGTATTTTCTGCATTTTAAGACAATCAAAATCTCTATTTAGTTTTAGATTATTTGGGAGGTGGTGATCTTAGATTTCATTTAGGAAAATTGAGGAAATTTACAGAAGAACAAACAAGTAATCTATATTAATTTAAAATAGAATTTTTTGCTGCTTGTATTATTGTAGGATTAGAGTATTTACATGAAAATAATATAATACATAGAGATATCAAACCAGAAAATTTGATTTTAGATAATTAAGGATATGTTCGTATTACTGATCTTGGTGTAGCCATTAAAAAAACTGGTTAGAATTTTGAAACCAGTGGTACACCAGGTTATATGGCACCTGAAGTTATATTTAGATAAGATCATGGAGCAGCTGTAGATTTTTTTGCTTTGGGAGTAATTTGTTATGAATTCATGACAGGAAGAAGACCTTATTATGGTAATAGAAGGGAAATTAGAGAGTAGATACTTGCTAAATAAGTGTAGATTCAAACATCTAGTGAAGGTTGGTCTAATGAATCAATTGATTTCATAAATTTATTATTGTAAAGGAAACCACAAAACAGATTGATGAATCCTAGATAACATAAATGGTTTAAGAATTTTCCATTTGATTTATTACTTTAGAAAAAGTTAAAAGCACCATTCATACCTAAAACTTAAGATAATTTTGATTAATCATAAATATATTACGAAGATGAAGAGAATAATTAGATCATTAGATTACATTAACATTTGATAAGAGAAAATCAGAATGTATTTTAAGGATATTTATATTAAGAAAAATAATCATAATTTAGAATCAAATAAAGAAAAAGTAGTATAAATAATAGTAAAATATTTTAATTTTATTGATTTGTATTTATTATTAGAATTTAAAGTATTATATTTTTTAATAATTTGATTATTATATAAACTAATTTATGTAGAACTTCAAGTAAATTTATAAATTAATAATAATTTAAGATATCTAATATTGATTAAGCTATAACTATTAAGTTTAATTAATTTATATATATATATATATATAAATTTTGAATTATTAATTTCAAGTATTATATAATTTACATGTGTCTTAATAATTAAATAAATTTATGTTATAAACAATATAAGCTATATTTGGACTATTTGTATTGCTTAAAATCTTCTACTATTTTATAATGCTCATCTTAAAGTGTTTAGGTATTGTAAAATGGGAAGATGAATCTCCTTAGCAATAAAATTAGTTATAGTAATAAGTAGTACAAAATACATCAATTATATAAAATTCTCATTAAGAGAAAAAAGAGAATGAAAAAACAAAAAAAAAGAAATCAAGTAAACAAAAAAAATAGGAAAAGGTTATGAAAAGTATGTTAGAAAAGAAGGAAGAGGAAGTGAAGTAGAAATAAAATGAATCAAAATAAATTGTCACTTAATAATAAATTGAGTTTCATAGAATGGAAATGCAAAGGTTATAGGATTTAAAAAGAATAGAAGAAACTTTGCGTTAAGAATAAAAAAAGGAAATTGAAAGATAAGTTTAACTAAAACTTGAAGAATTGACAAATAAATTGTAAAACAAATAATCTGTAAATAAATAATAATAATAAAAAAAGAGTAAAAGATGAAATTATGTGTATATTATTAACTAAAATATTATTTAATAATTAGAATTATGAAACTATTTAATGTATCAAATATATTTTATTTATATTGAATTTAGGAATTGCTTAAAATAATATAAAATCATAGCAAATTATAAATCAATGCTTTGATTTCATTTCTTGATAAAAATTCATCAAAAATCATTTTCTTATGAATATCATTGAATTCTATATCTGAAAATATAAAGTCTTGTTGATTTAATGCTTCAGTTTGTTTTTGATATTATTTCAATGATTGAATAGGTTTTAGTAATTGTCTAGGATTTTTGCTAAGCTGTTATACTTTTTATATTTCAGTGTTAAGTTTATGTTATTTAACTTTTTAAACACATTCCTAAAAAGTTAATTTGAATAGAATACTAGGAATATTTTTTCAATTTAATTTTCTTCAAATGCTGAATCCTATTTGACTTATTCAATATTCTCATATATCTTTTTAGTTTTGATTAATTCTTATTCAGCCTTTTAATATTATTCATTGACTCCTTCAATGTCCATTCCTGTTATTTCTGGTTATCTATAAGTTGATTCATGACTAAAGTATTCAGGATTGACTGTATTAGTTTAAATATTTTCTAATTACTTTTTTAATTATTAATTAGTAATTTTGGCACTCATTAATTAAGTATCTAGAAATTGAATTTCTGAGATTAGATCTTTAGTTGTTGTCATAACTTTGCTTAGACTATTCTTATATTCAATACATTTATTAGAGAATTCCATGGATGATTATAATATTTTTTATCTTTCTTCTTCAATTTCTTATCTTTTCTCTTTCAATTTACGTTGTACTTAATCTTCTGTGGTTTCATTAGTCAATTATATTACTTATGCTTATGCTTCATCAATTGATTATTTGATATTGCCTCTTAATTCATCTTCTTTGGTTTTAAAGATTCTCCCAATGGTTTCATTCATTTTTTCTAGTAATTTATTAATACTTTAATGATGTTCAATAATTTATTGTTTGGTTTGAGTTTGAGGAATTTTGACTCTTTCAGTAAATTTAGAATCAGGAGTAAGTGCAATTTATTATTAACTTGCAATGTCATTAAAAAACATAATAATAAATAATGATAATATTAATATATACAAATTTAATTAATATATTTAACATTTTATACAAATTTTAGGCTCGTCTGAAAACTCAAGTTATTATTCTTGTATCTTGTAAAGGAATCATCATATTCAAAGCATATAAGTTGTATAATCATAACTAAAACTTGAGAAATATTTATTTTGAATAAGGATGAATCCATAAATATAGTACTATAGTGAATCAGACTGTGAAGCAATTGATTAGTCAATTTGTCAATCCTTTGGAGGATTCTTTGATGAAAACAGTCAAATTAACAAGTAATCTATTAAATTCAATATTAAGACCTTAATCTATTGATGATTAATTTGAATAGATTAGTGCACCTAATTCTGTCTAATTTTCAACATAATGTTCATCAACAGGAGAAAAGGATCATAAAAGTGAAATAGAAGAAATTGTAGATGATTTGAAATGTTCTGAGTTAGATCCTAATGAAGTGAAGTCATTTTAACCTTAGATTAAATGTTAATGTAGTAAATCATAGTGTCAACAAAGTTATTGTGAATGTTTTGCAAGAGGTAAGACATGTGGTAAACACTGTGGTTGTTAAAACTGTTAGAACAAATAAATGAATAGGAAATTAGAGAAGATTTAGAAGAGACTAATTAAATAAAAAAGAAATAAATAAAGAACACCAAGATATTTAAAGGGATGTACTTGTGGAAAATCAAAGTGTTAGAATAAATTTTGTAGTTGTCATTAAGATGGAAAATATTGTAATTCTGGATGCAAATGTGTGGATTGTAAAAATATGTACAATTTTTGTTTGAAGATATTCCCATATATAGATTATGTGGAATCAAATTAGATGGAATCTAAGAATGTTGTATAATTTATAATTGGAAATGAAAATAGTGATAAATTTCAGATCTTCAATAAATATTTAAAAAAAAGTGATATTTGAATTATATATATATATATTAAAAATTAATATATTTATAAATATTTTTATAATAAAATTATCAACAATAAAAAAATAATTTAATTATGTCAGACGATTAAGTAGCTAATGAATTAGATGATGTAGAAAAGAATTAAGTTAAAGTAAAGTTTCCTCAAAGATCTTGGATTTCTATAATATAAAATAAAATTGTATCTGTAAATCAAGTAATAATCATTATTTTACTAATATCTTAGATAAGTCAATCAGAATTTGAAGATAAACATGATACCAATATTGGAATAACTCCAGGAAGAAGTGAAAGAGAATCTTTTTGTAAATCCAAACATGGCTCTTCACTCTTTTTTCGAGAGGATTTAGGAAGATCTAGGATTAGTGATTTTGATCCTACTTCAATAAAATATAGAGTAATCTTATTATAATTATTTATTTAGACTCAACCTCATGAAGTCAATTTCAGAATCAAAGTCTTTATTAAGTATCTAGCCCTTAGAATTCTGTTTTCTATTATTGGTCCATTTCTACTGATTTATGGATTATTTAATAAAGATTGGATTAACTTTATGAAAAATTTCAGGATTTATGGTTGCACAAAAGGAACTGCATTCAATTATTTTCGTTGGATTACAAATTATATTTTTTTCTTCTCTTTTGTATATTATATTGGAAACTATGGATACAAAAGAATGCATTATGAAATTGGATTCTTTTGTATCCTATTTGTAACAGAAAATGTAACTTATGCTATCAAATATGCATTCTTTCATCCTTCAAAATTGAATCTTATAGAAAGATTTGATATGGATGTTATAGGTGACTTATGTGAACAAAGTATAAACCCTTATCATTGGGCATAGCAAATACCTTCTATGATAACTAAGGAATTTGAATAATCAATGAAGAGACATCAAATTGAACCAACATCTTTTCAACTTTATTTTATGGTAGCACCAAATCCAGAAAGAAAAAAAAGAATTCAAGTTGGATTTACTGGAGGACATTAGATGTATGAGGATATAGCAGCTAATTGTATATCAATGGCTAGAGAGATTGTTGAAGAATATAATAAGAAATGCCAGCTTAGATTTATAAATAAATTCTCAATCTTTATTTCATTAATAAGAGTAGTAGCCTATATTTTTATAATGAACTTCTGTAGTGAATCTGTTAAAGATTATTTAATAGCTATTTAAATGTGCATTTTCTAATTTATGTACTTTTACATGATAACCGTATTGATGATGATTACATATAGAGATTTAAGAAGAAAGGTATTTGCCATGACTCAATTATCTCATCTAATATCAGCTGAGAAAGTAGAAGTGTATTAAGAATCAAAAATGTTCCCTACTTTAAATTTATTATGTTGTGTATCTTTATATTCTTGGGTCAATCTGAGAAAAATGATTTTAGATTATGGATTATAATATACAAGGAGACAATCTTTCATGTTATCTTTTATAATGATACTTAATGCAATCATGATGGTCATTATGACATTATTATTCTATGTTGGATATATTACCATTAATAGTATACTATAATAAACTGTTGATTTTGTAGTCATAGCATCAATATCAATTGCATTAGTATTACAAGGTGCCAGAATTAATGCTCATTGGTGTATTCATAGAGGATTACTACGTAAAAACCTATTCCTTATTTAATAATTGTCATATCAAATCTTCAAATCTTTAGATTATACATTTAAACCTGAAGATCCAGTTTTTAGTGTAATTATATTTTCATTATTTTAGGCTTTTTAAAAAGTACTTGATAGTGCTACAACTAGTAGTGTAGTTCAAGATGATTAATTTCTGAATTATTCATTATTTTGTATTCATTCAATATAAAATGTGGTAAATGCATATTCTCTATAATATAGTATAATGATTTAGGTCAATAAGAGAAATGTCAACCATATACTGTAATGGGAATAGCTATGACTTATTAATTACTGTTATAGGTTTGTATTAGTACAATGGGATTGATCGGAACCTCAGGCTTAAACTTCATTTTATAAGTGACTACTTGATTTATTATTTAAATTATATTTATGCTAATGGAAGAAGAAATCCCTTTAGAATTAATCGATGAACAGATAAGCATAGCACCATCTCTATATTCTCATAGTTCTATTATAGCAAATATTCAAAACTAAATGATTCAATCTAGTAGTAAAATTTAGAATGATCCTGTCATATTAAAAACATCTCTTACCAATGACATCTTTAAGGAAGATAACTTAGATATCTCATAATTTGATCCCAATAATCCTAAATACAAAAGTAAACCACATGAAGTTCATTTCTAAGTAACTTCATTTATAAAATATACTTTATTTGGTTTGATGGTTTAAATACTTGGACCACTTAATATTCTAATATTTGTGTGGAAACATAAACAAATGTTATAAAATTGGTAGCTTTATGGTTGTACATGGAAAGTTTTCTTTTGTTATTTAAGATATTGTATTGATCTTCTTTTGACTCTTAGTTTTATACTTGAACCAATGGATACTTTAACATTTTAATGTAATAATATTCATTTAATCTTTATTTAGTATTATTGTACTTTATTATTCAAGAATTGGCAGAGATTATATTATAAAATATTATTTTGGCATTTTATCATCCTTAGAAATTGGAATTATTGGAGAAATTTCCACTTGAAGAAATCTTTAATAAATTTGAAACTCAAATCAATCCAATATTATGGTTCAAATAAACACCAGAATTAATTAAATTCGAATTAGAATAATCAATTAAAAGAATGCATATTGAACCTGGATTATTTGTTTTCTATTTCATTGTTTAACCTAATGAAAAGAGAAAGGAAAAGATATAGCATTATTTTGAAAACTTGAAAAAGGAAGGTAAATATGCTGGTAATGGATTAAAGATGGCTATTGAAATTATAGAATATTACAATAATCAATCTCCAATGTATATGTACATTTTTATAGCCATTGCAGCTAGTTGTTTTAGAATTATATTGACAATTTTTTATTCCTAATTCTGGTATGGATCTTAATGTTAAATATTGATGTTTATAACAATTACATCATTAAATACTTTAGGATATTTTTTTGTAGTTTTAATCATGTTAATAACATTTAGAGATTTGTAGAGGAAAGTCTTTTGTCTTAATTAATTATCTCATTTAATTTCAGCATAATAAGTAGAGGAATTTGATGAAACTAAGATATTTCCAACTTTGAACTTTTTATGTGTATAATCTTTATTTTCTTGGTAAAATTTAAGGAAAATCTTAGTTGATTATGGTTTGTAATATTATTAAAGAGAAAATGCTATAATTTCATTTTGTTTAGAAATTATTTTAGTTTTGATTACATTTGCTATTTTAAATATATTTGATGTAATCAGTTGTTTTACATTAGATGATTCAGGTAAGATATCATTATTTGTATAAATTGGATTTGATGTATTAACAATAATGTTTTTAACTATATTGGTTGTTTTTTAAGGAGCACGTATTAATAAGCATTATAAAGTTCATTAAAGTATGTTAAAGAGAAATATGTTTACTTATCAATAATTATCTACTTAATCATTTATTAAGAAAGAATATCATGTCTAACCTTAAGATTTTATGTTCAAAACATTAAAAACAACAATTGATAAAATTGAATAATAAAATGAAAACAAAAATTGGTTCTTCTTTTATTCTTAATATGTTTTAAATGCAATTGAATAAGCATATTAAGATTTATGTTATGATGAAGAGAATAAACCATTTACAGTTCTTGGTATTGCAATGACTCATAGTTTAGCAGTATAATTGATTGCAAGTTTTCTTGGAATATTTGGTACTATAATAACAAGTATTTACTTTCATATATGATATATAATATTTTTTATTAAATTATTTATTAATTTATTTGAATAAATTATATTAAGTATTTTATAGATATTTATCATACAATCTTAAGGGATGTATTTGCAGCTTTAAACATATAATTTTTTTCTATATTTCTATCATTTTTTTAATTGTTTCTTTCTATTATTTTTGATACCAATACTTTATTATTATTTGGTTATAATATATTATTATTTGTTTTAGAATTATTTATTTAAATAGGTCCAAATGATCCTAATATATCTTATTCAGGTTTCTTATCTTCTTGATCTGAATGTGAATCTAATAACATCATTTAATATGAATTCTCTACATCATCTCTCTCTATCATTTATGAATGTCCTTCTTCATAACAATCTTCACTTGTTATCTCAAATGATGCAACATTTTTAATACTATAATCCTACTTTGGAGTCTTTACTGAAGATAAAGCCATTCTACTTACTTTTGGTTAAGTAGAATATTCTTTCTTTTCTAAACTTTAATATACACTATCATTGGATTCTTACTTACTATTTTAATCTTAAACGTTTTTTTTTATTAAACATGTTTTTAATTATTGAATTGAAATTAGATGACTTAAATTAATTGGTTCATTTAATGTAACTTTAAGTACTTCAATTGGAGTTTTGGCTATAAGATCAGTTTTACCAATAAATATTTGTAGATTTTTATGATAACTAGCCATAATTTCATTAAAAGGTTCATTTTAAATTTATTTGATAATTTAATTTAGATTACATTCAATATCCTTTTTCATACACATTGTTTCAGATTTAGATTACTATAAACTTTAAATGCTTTCATCATATTATTTTGATACATTCTTAAAATTATTGTATAACTATTATAACTTTTTCATTTTCTCTTCTTCTAATTATTAGAATATTTGAGTATGAAACTTTTCAACTTTTTCTTTTTGTTATTCATAGTATTTTGAAATGTCATCTCTTTTTGTAATTAAAGCATTCATCATTTTATCAATATGAGGAATATTGTTATTTACCTAATTGATAAATTGATTTATTTATTTCTTTCTATATTCTTCTTCAAGACCTGGCATCTATTCAACTTTTTATCCTTTTCCCATCATTTACACTGCACATTTAGAACATAGATATATAGAATTATCTTTTGCCACATAATACTTAGCACTTTTATTTGAATGATTGACACAACAAACTCTGCTTATGTTTGTATCATCTTTTAATTTGATTTTAGTTGGAGTCAACCTTTATCTAATTGATTTCATATTTTACTCTGAAAAATTTGAATTTAAATTATTTATAATCAAAAAGCCATTTTAGATTATTAATCATATTTAGTAATAATAAAAATTGATTCAAAATGTACATATTATTGATTTAATTTCTAAAGGGATTTTTGGTTATTTTAAAATACTCATAAAAATATATAAGTATTTATTATTAATCTATGGAGTTGGAAAATAATAAGATAGAAGAAATTACTTATTTGATAAGATAGAAATAAATTCAATTAGAGTTCGATAATAGTGATAAAAATCTGTAAGTAATTCATTCTAATTAAATTAAGTCATGATATTGAATAAGGTATAGAGGAGTAGGATTAAAGAATTAAGAAGTTAATAGAAGTAAGACATTCAATACTAATAATATTAAGGATTTAGATTATGGGGATAGATTAGAATGGATTGAATATCACAAATCTTAAGGATCATTATATTATCAAAAATAATAATATAGAAAGGCTTTGAATGAGTATTACTTATCAATGTTAGCATTGAATAATAGTAAAATGTGGAGAGAATAAGGAATTTCTCTTATACACAATATTTAACTCATATTAGAATATTTGAAGATACCTGCTACTAAAGAGTTATTAGAATTTGTCTTATATATTGACATTTATAATATTAAGTCATATTTTAAAATGGGCAAATTTTATAGTGGAGATAAAAAATATCAAATTGCTTTGTAAATATCTGTGTTAATACAGGTCCTATTTTCAATAAGGTGAAAAGTTATGTAATTAGATGTAAGATAAAGAGTCATAATAAGATTTTCAAAAGCAAATATTGGATTGTAAAAAACAGTTAAATTTGGGTAGATAATGAGAAGACTCTTAATATATATATTTGATCATAATAATAATAAATATATCATAATAATTCTACATCCTATTCAACAAAGAATTCTTTTTTCTAGAAATCTGAATTCGGATCTTAAATGTTTATTACATTTTTTACTTCTTATTCATTCTGGCATCTTACCTTCTTCACTATTTTGTCTACAAAATTATTTTTTCTTTCAGGAATATCAATATCTTATACAGGTTATCCACCCTTTCTTATAGAGTATTCTCTATATTCATGATATTTTGGTAGAATATTGATATACATAATGGCTCCATTTACTTCTACAAAGAAAACAAATTCAGGTTCTTACCAATCTTAATAATGTAAAGGTTCTATTAAGCCTTACAAAATTGATAAGACTTATTGTTTATTGATTTTATCTGTGTATCTTGTCTTAAATATAAGAAACCATGGATGTGGTCTATCTAATTAGAAGTGTTTATTCACAAGGAATTAAGCATGTTTTTTAAATTCATCCAAAGTTGCTCTGAATACATATTAAATGGGTATCATTCTGTATATATATCTTGCAACTTGTTGTTACTTTTCATAGACATCACTTAAGATTATACGACTCAATTCATCAACATCTATGGAAGGGAATTCTTAATTATTTATTCTGATAAAAATCACACACTTGACTTTAGTATCAAAATTATAAAGCATTTTGACAATAGCTTTATTATTTGTATTTTATTCAAGTAATTTTTCATGTTTTTATGATTCTTGCGGATATATTAATTCAACATATTGTTCAATAATTTAATAAGCTTCTTTGACAGCTTCTCTTTCTCTATTTTTATCACAAGTAATCAAAAATCCATTATATAGAAAATCTGATTGAGAATTTTATTAACCAGATCGTTAATGTTTTTGGAATTTCTTTTTTTTATATTTTTGTTATTGCATTAATAATTAATATTTTATTATTTGTATTTATTATTAAATATAAATGGGTGCAACTTAAGGAATCACTTAGAAAAAAATCTCACTCCGTTACTAAAAATCAATTGATGTAAGATCTACAAATGAAAATCTCACAAATTGTAGATCAGTCTCTTCGTAAGACTCGATCAAATTAGGTTCATGTTATAAGATAGCTGTATTGGGTATGAATACAGCAGTTGGAAAAACAGCCTTTATCTGTAGTCTAATAAATTAAACTCCGATGGTTAGTAATTTGCCTTAAACAATTGGATTAGATGTTAAATGCATGTTATATTAACAATAAAAAATTCAATTTTGGGTAATTTGTTGGGTTAATTGTGTAAGGAATTCGATTCAAGTGAAGGAGGATTGTTAGATTTAGAAAATAGAATAAATGATACTTTTAACTGTATAATGATAATTTTTGAATAATTTGATGTTTCGTTGTTTAAGAAGAGAATTGTGTAAGTTTAAAAAATATGTAATGAAAATAAAATGACAGGAAAAGTTCCTATACATTTAATAGGGAATGATAGATTAGATATGAAAATATCTGGTAAAGAAAAGGAAATACAGAAAATGATATAAACAATATATGATGGAAATCGTATATTTGTACATATTGTTGATTTTACTTAAATCAAAGAACTTAATAATTTGTTATAATTTGTATTCAAAGAAAAATGATTGTACATATAATTATATATCTCAAAAATACTTTATAATCATCATAATTATGAATGCAGATATAGAAAAAGAACGATTGAGACCTATTCGACGTCATGGGTGTAGTGACATACAACTCTATTAGGCAGTAAGTTGGATATATACAGTTTTCGATATGATTATATCATTTATGATTGCATTCTTAATGGATGAAGGAGTCAAGGTTGTTAATGCTAATTTAAGAATTTAGGAATTTATGTTGATTGTCCTTACTATTCTAACAATGGGTATCATCTATACTTGCTTAAGAGCTACACTTATAGATCCTACTGATAGTATTGTCTTAAAGGAATAAAACTTTAAATCGAAAGGGTGCTTCATTATATTTATTTTTAGATTGGAATTTAAGACAGACCTTAAGACTTATTGTTTAGTATGTTAAGCACATGTAATGGAAAAGTCTAAGCATTGTTTTAGTTGTAATAAGTAACATATTAAATAATAAGGTGTGTTGAAGTATTTGATCATCATTGTATTTGGTTAAATAATTGCATAGGCATTAAGAACTACAACTATTTTTTCATATTGGTGATCCTACTTGTCATTTTCAAATGCTTAAGAATTATACAAGATATCCTCCTTTTACTGAATTATGCCTTTTAAATTCTTGCTCTTATAAGTATCATTCTTGATCCTCCAATCCTTTTTGTTCTTTCTTATTTATTGGGAATGCACCTATTCTTTAAGTAAGCCATCAAATCTAAATGAAGGTACAAAGGTATTTCGACCTATGATTGGATTAAGATGAAAAAAGACAAAGAGAAATTGAAGGTATAGTAATAGCAATAATTACCAAAAATGAATGAAAGTGCAGGTTATGGATAATTGTTATCTACTTCTAAACGCTTTGACCTCAAATCCTCTTTGTCTAATAAAACTGATAACAAAGTTCCTTAATAAAACTTCTTCCCAAAACCTTTACCTCTATAGGTTTCAAAGAATTAGAATCTTTCAGGTCCTTAAGTTACTTAATTATAAAGTATTTTTACTAATAAGCCTACATCCCCAAATAATAATGAATAATTAAGAAAGGAATATGAAGAAGTAGATGGAAGATAAATATTTAATAAGGTAATTGCTGAGGATAGTGAACCATAATAGAATAGTGATTCAAGGAATGAAGAAAATGATCATGAAATTGATAATGAAATAGAAATAGAGATTTAAAATAAAAATGAGCAATCTGAAAAAGAATAAAATTGAATAAAAATACCTTTTATTTATTTTTAAATCATTTCTTTACTTTATATATAATGAAAGTTATTTAATAATTCAATTTATATATTTATATATATATATATATGGATGAGGTTTTATTAGAAAGTTTGACACATAAATTTAGTGAATTATTTAAGAACATATCAAGTCTATAAGAAAAGAGAGAGACAGTTTAAGATGAAAATGAACATTTGAAGCAATTAATTTAAGAGGAATAAGATTAATTGGAAATGAATTCAGGAGAGTCTTCTGATGAAGAAATAGTTTTCTAAGAAATAGAGTAAAAGTGTAGATAGAAATTAGAAGAGAAAAAGGAATATGATATGTAGATGAAAGAAGAAAATAATTTGAAAAGTCAATTAGTAAATATTATTTAAATTTAGTATATGCATCTTGAAGGTATTCAAAATGAAATTATATAAATGAAGAGTAGTATTGAATAATCAAAAGAATCAGAAGCTGATTTATAATAAAGAATAGAAGAAACAACACAAAAAATAGATGATTATCAAAATAAAATACAAAAAGCTGAATAAATTAAACTTTAAGTAGAAAAACAATTATAGGAAGTATAATGGCTTTTGTAATATTAAGCAAAATGAAAAGTATTTATAAGATAACGAAAAAGTAAAAGTAGTTTAAGCTGAAGTTAGAAATTAATTATAAGCAAATGCAATGGGAGATAAGAGATAAAATGAATTAGAAAAGATAATATAAAAATAATGGGAAGAACTATAAAAAAGAGTAAATAATATATATTTAATATAAGACATAAAGAATATAAGTATTATAAAATAATATGAATATTATATCAACTAAAATACAAAAATCATAAAAGAGTGAAAATATATTTTAAAATTGAAAGATGAAAACACAATTCTAGCTTAAGAGAATATTTAAATAAGAGAAAAATTAAATTAATTAATTAGTGCATTACCATAACATATGAAAAAGGGTAATGTGAAAGGAAAATAGAAAAGTAAAAAAGAATTCTTAGAACTTTATGATGAATCAATTTGTTCTAATTAAATTAAATTAAGACATTTAGAATAAATAAGAGAAGAACATCAATAAAATATTAATTGTTTACATGTAAAATATATAGATTTAAACTAATTCTTAGAGTGAAATACTTCAATTAGAAGAAAAATATAATTTAATGACTTAAAATGTTAAGAATCTTTAAGAATAATATTTAGAAATTGAATCATCTTTTAGAGAATTCAATGAAGATGAATATGTCAAGAAAAATTGTCCAAATTATTATAAAGTTAAAAAGGGAAAATGATAGTTATAAGTTTAAGATTTGAGATGTCTAATTAATAAATTTTTTATTATAAAAATGGATTAAAATATATTTGATTCCTTTGGAGGGGATGGTTAAATTTCAGATCTTATTGATTAGTTTTATTATAAGGTCTTGTTTGATCAAACTTTAAGAGGAAAATTTTTAAAAGCTGATATGACAAGAGTGAGACTTTAATAAAAAACATTTTTTGCTTAAATGTTTGGCTGTCCTCACACCAAATACACTGGAAAGTAATTTTGAATATCAACTAAAAGAGATTTAATTGAAGTTCATAAGAATTTGAATATCACTAATTTATAATTTGACAGATTCTTACATCATCTAAAATGCATATTAAGTGATATGAACAAACCATCAGAATTGATAGATCAAATTATAAAGAAAGTTGATAGTCATAGAAAACTGATAGTGTTTGAATGATATAAACATAATATATTTTAATAAATGAGTACTTTATTAAACAATAAATCAATATAAGATTATATATATATATATTATTATTATTAATATTAAATATAGAAGACCTTTTTAAGTCAATTTAAATATTTAATATAAATTTATGATATGAAACTTATATGATTGATTAAAACATTTATTAATCAAAATGAATAAATAATGATAAATTAATCTTAGACTTTATTTCATTATTAAGATATCACTATATAAAATACATTAAAAACCATTAATTTATTTCTATTTGATTAAAAGATAAATTCTTATTAATCTCTAACTTATAATTAATAGAACATTAAAATGGTTTGGTTTTCATATTTTTTCATTTATGTCTTTCATATCATATATAATTTTCTAAGGATATCAAAGAAATAAACTTTATATAAGTGAATAATATATTTTTGTTCTTTTAATGTTATCATATGAGCATATTTTTAAACTTAATTATGTTTAGATAAGTTTATAAAATTCAAAAATTTAGTTATGATTATATTTCTATATATTATATAAATCAAATCTAATTTATAATTATATTATGTTCTTGTATCGACATATACTCATTAAATCTTATTTGTATTATAATATATTTTTCAGTTTTTATATCATTATTCTTAAATGATTCAAATCCTAATTGAATTCTGGATATACAATACTAACTTAAAATTTTAATAAAACTTATTGTAATTAAAATCAATTATAATATCAATGTTTATAATAATTATTAATTTTACAGTTAAGCCTTTTTGTCTTAAGCTTCCATTAACTATTAAATTGAGTCATATTTATTTATAATTTTATTTATAATTTAGTGTAATTATAAATTAGATACAGTCTCTATAGTTATTTTTAATAAATCTAAATAGTGTGATATTTAATTAAATATCATTAATGTATAAAAACGATAAGTTTAGATTCCACTTTAAGAGATATTATCTTTCTAAATATGATAATATTAAATATTAAAATAATACTCACACTATTAACTTAATTGTGTGGATATCCATAATAATTGATATTTATACAATAGGTTATAACTCTAAATCATGTTTGTAATGTTTAGAAATGCAAGATTATATAATAATTAAAATGAATAATAATGTCGTTGTTTTTAGTAGGGCAAATTAGAGTGATGAAAGTGAAGCATCTTCTGCTTTACCTGATCAAGTTGAATCTTAGGTAGATTATTTGAAGACAAAATTGAAATTATGCACATAGACTTTGAAGAGTATATAATTTATTTAGATTTAATAGCTTAAGAGACATAGATAAGGTAATTGAGATAGGAGAATGAGAAATTAAGATAATTGAATGCAGATTATGTGAATTAGATGAATTAGATGGCATCAGATAAATATTAGAAGATTGAGAAAATAGTTGTTACTTAATAATTTTTTGAATAGAAGAATATAGATAAGCAATTAAAGGATTTTATAAGAAAGATGACATCTAATTTTGGTGGTCTTGAAAAAAGTCATATTAAATTGATAGATCATTGTAAAGTGATGGAACATGATTTGAATTATTATAAGTAACGAGTTGTGGATGCAGAAGAGATAATAGAGAATCTAAGAAGTGTTGGTAAGAATAGTGTTGCAGAACTAATGGATGAATTGAAAGGACTATAAAACTAAGTAGATGATTTAACTAATCAATTATAAAAATCATAATTTGATTTAGCTGTGAAATAAGGTGAATTGGAAAGGAAACAATAAGAATTAGATGATTAAGTAGCATAATGTGAATCATTATTACATGAATTAGATGATATAAAAACAAAACAAAATAGAATTCTGAGTGATAATATAGAATAATAGAATAAAGATGCAAAGATGGTAATTGTTGATTGATGATTAGATTTATTAATTGAAATTAAAGAGTGATTTTCTTGAACATGAACGTAGATTAGCATATTAAGATGCTTAATGTGCAAATTAAGATAAGAATAATATGTTAGCGTAATAAATGATTATTAATTTAGTAAATAATAAAACATAGAAACAGAATTGGAAATGTTAAGAACTACAACAGACAATTTCTTAAAGAAAAATAAGCACATCTTCAATTTGGCTGGACTGCCTAAAGTGTAGTTCAAATGATTAAATATCATTATGTATTATTGACATCAACCTTCTGTATCTTCCATACCATTATGCATTTATCTTATTCTGAGGTTGTAACCAAAGTTTCTTTATCTGGACTGGCAACACATTGATTAATGTACATCATATGATCAGTATATATACGCATATATCCTTATCCAGAAGTACATGGATAATTGAAAATCCTTATAGTTCCCATATCATCAGTAACCTTATTTTTTAAGATATAATATATTACAGCCATAGACTTATCTCCAATCAATGTTATTTTATGAATTCTATTTTCGTCAGTATAACAGGAATGTACTCCTTTTGCTTTTTCAGCTAATTTGATTCCATCACTACACCATTCCAAATCAAATTCCATATGCATACTATTGATTCTTTTCTATTGATCTAAATCTATAAGAGCAGTTTCATCTGAAACATCTTTATAAAATAGATAGAAATTATCAGTTGAGAAATCCAAATATTCTACACTTGTATTAAGATTGTCAATGCTACAAAGTAATCTAAAATTATTTTCTTCATTTTCAACATCATATATTTCAATTTTAGCATTTTATTCTTGATTTCTTGAGAGAGCTAAAGCAAGCATTTTTTCATCAACACTCAATTTCATATCTGAAATAGCTGATTTCTATTTTAGAGAATAATTAGAATTAACACTATAATCATGATCATTTAAAACAATAACTTCTTATTCAAAAGCTATAATAATTTTAGGTGATAATTTGCACACTATTAAATTTAAAGTTGCCTTTTCAAATGCAAAAGAATATGTACGTTTTAATTTTCTTAAATTCCATACTGCAAATAATCCCTTTTATGTTATAGAATATAATTTTTAAGCATTACCAGAAAAAGCTACAACTTTTGGTTAATCATGATCAGTACAATTAATTCTTAATTTAACCATATCCTTTTATATTTTTGTTAATGCTATATATTAAATATATATATTTACATTTCAAATCAGATTCATTAGGTCTTACTAATTCATAAATATCACCACTTCTAGTTCCTGCCAATATATAATTCTATCCTATACATACTGATTAAACATGTAGATTTGGATTTAATCCAACCTTCTGTAATTATTCATTAGCTATACTATATTCATAAATCTTTTCCACAACATAAGAATATTCAGATTTACTTAAAGACCATAAAATAACACGTCCATCCATACCTCCAGATACAAACATAGAAGAATCTTTACTAGTATATAAACAAAATATAGGTTAATCTGGATGAGCTTTTTATTTTTTATTTATTTTTTTATCATCCCAAACATAAATAAATCCATCTTCACCTGCTGTAATAATTGCATCTTAAACAAATATCACAGTTAAAAATGTTATTCTTAATGCATCTTATTCTTATTCATTATCTTAAACTCCTTCTTATTCATCATTCTAATTCTCTACCAATTCTACTAAATCTTTTGGATTCTCAATTTCCATTGCTTAAAATGTTAATGAACCTCCTGCAAATTACCAACAAGACATATGTTACACTCCACATGTTACAAATCTAAAAACACTATTAGGATAGAATTCTAAATCTTTAATCTTATATGGAATTGAGTATGTATATGTTACTACTCCCAATACTTAATGATTTTCAGAATCTATCAAAAGTATTTCTTATCTATATTCTTGAGTAATTGCATTACAAATTAGATGTCTATTATCATATGCAAATTTTATATTCATTATCATAACTGCATTATTAATGACAATATTCTTAACACAAGTTCTTGAACATATATCCCATATCAATAATTTTGCATTTAATTCAATTGTACCAGCACATAATAATTTCTTATCTTAACTCAAAGTAATACATGAAATCTCAGGTGATGATGATGTATCTGATTAATCTAATTTTATGAATTATTAAAACACTGAATTATTCTCTGATTATAATTATCCTCCATTATATTTCTTAAATTAAGATGTAATCTTGTCATCTTATTCATCTTCATCATCCAAACTTGCAATCACCAAATTACATCCTGCCACATAAATCAATCTTTCATCATAATCATAAAATAAATTATTCCTTCTAGTAAAAGCTCTTCTTCCTATTATACTCTCCAATTTGAGTTCCACTTCAGGTTGTTTAGTATCATCCACATTTTTTACTTTATCTGATATACCTTAACGTAAAGGCAATAATTCTGAAAACAAACTTTTGAATTTCTCTTTCTCTTGTACTTCTTAAAATAAATCAGCTTGTTTCTTATCATAAATCAAATAATCCAAATCCCAATTCTATTGTTCTTCTGTTAATTTCCATTTCATAATACATTCATCCAATATACCTGTTGTATATAGATATTAAGCATTCTAATGAGTTTCTATCTAATTCACAAATGAAACATGAGCAGAATATGATTTAGCCAAACATTTTTACTTTTTACTAATTTCTGTGATAAAATCTTTATCATAATAAAGACAAGATGATTTTACCAAATGTAAATCTCCATTAGTACTTCCACATATTAAAAATGGAGATATATCTACCATCACTGACATTACAGGAGTCTTTAATATTTCATTTGCCAAATTTGTCTCTTATTCTTACTTCTACTTTGGATTACCTATTAAAGAATCATAAAATTGATATTATGAATGTAAACTATTTGGAAAATTCAACTTCTTCCATTATATGTTCTTAATTGTCTCCCAATTTTTGACTGATGTATTTGAATTTAAATCCCATATTATATAAACACCTTAAGGATCATTGTTAATTCTTGTTTATTGATTATTTATCAATTGATAATAAATTAATAAATAATTACCATCTTAACTAAATGTCATAAAATATGCAGCAACACCATATGTATCATTATCAGTCTAATATGATTCATAAAGTGAAGGACAACGAATATCAGTATATTTCAAATATAAATTCTTGTCTGTTGCTCTATATTTTGATGTACGATGAGAACCTCTATTTACCCAAACAGATATGAAAGAACCTTCCTTTTCCAATTTAGAGTCAAATACATCCTTTTAACTACGAGCATTATCATATGAAATGGCAAGCATATCTCCTTTATGTGAAAATTCTATATTTAAAACAGGAGTCTTATTATCCTTATCTTTGATATTCATAATAATATCCAATGATGGTAACAAATAACGTTCACTAACTTTTCCCATAGTGTTCTTCTAAATTTTGGAATCCATAATCACAACCATAGAATTTTGAAAACCAATTACAAGTAAATCTCCATCTGGTGACAATCGAATAGCAGTAGGAGTCATACCCATATTTTTAACTAATAATAATGAATTATTTTCAGTATCCCAAAGTATTAATTTTTAATCTTCTCCCATTGATACCATAATTGGTTAAGTAGGATGAAGAGTAATAAACATCTTCTTATTAAAGAAATCTATTTATTATTTGCTATCAAATATTTATGATTAATGTGATCTCATGTAAATAGAATAATTAAATTTCAAAGTTTCTGTTGTTGTATAATGTTGTCTCTACTATTGTTCTGATCCACTAGAATCATGAGAATTACTATGTTCATCATCAGAATGACTTTCTTATTTTCTAATTTATTATAATTTTAATCCTTAAGATTCTACTTAAAATGCTGCTTCCAAAATATCACCATTCCTTGTTCCAACCAACATTACAGATAAATTATGTGATTCTTCCACTTCCTCTTCGTTCAATTGTCTTTTTGGTACTTTACATGAAAATATATCAATTGATTATGCAGATAAATTCTAAATAATAGATATATATATAATACACGAATTGCAGGAGTACCATCTTAAAAGAATCCAGTCTTACGGATATTGAATTCATTAATTAAATTAAATTTTGTATCCCATATTTTAATGTATTCATCTTCTCCACAAGTAATAATAACAACTTTATCTCCAAGTATTTCAGATATCTTCAAACAATTAATCATTTTTTAATGTGCTCTAATAAATAATAAATATATATAGTATACCTCTCTTTTACAACTATGTATTTACCACAAGATACCAAAGCTAAATCTCCAAAGTTATTACCTACAATGATATCACTTTCTATTTTATCACTTAAGAGATAAGAAATGTAACTTAAACAAGTTATAAAACAACCATTTGAATATTTAACTTCATCTGATAATATAACTTAACTTCTTATTAGATTTCTCCCTTATAATGACCATATAGTAATATTCTAATATCCACAAGTAGCAAATTCATATCTATTGTATGGATTGAACATAACACAACAAATAGGAAATGTCCCTGAATTTCTAAAGGCTATAATAGTTTCATTTTTCCAAGATGTAACTTATATTGAATATGTTTCATCTATGCCTATACTTACAATAAATAATGAATCTCTAGAGAACACTAAATCATAGATACCATTTTTATGATTTGTCCTAATAATCTTTACAGGTTCAGTGTTGAATACATTCCAAACATGAATACATGGTCTTGGTGCACTTTCACCAGTAGCCACAAAACATTTTAATGGATGAATAGCTAAACATGTAATTTTGAATCTATGTCCTTCATAGAATTTTTGTTGATTGTTTAATGGATTATATACAACTGCTATTCTAGAAGTAATATAAACAAAGTGTCTTTAACAATCATTATGAAAATCATCATAAGGTAATAAAGCTTATTTGGCTAATAGCATTTCTTTTTGGAATTAAACAGGTAACATAATACTTTATTAATTCATTTACTCCATTCTCTTTCTTTATTCAGATTTCAAATCTTATTATTATTATCCTCCTCTCCTCTTCTTTTCTTATTTATTATAGAAATGAACATAAAATAGAGTTCTTCTTTTATCATATGCCAAGAATCCATAAATATAATCAAGAGTCAAAGATAATGGAGGTGCTCGTTTCATAACATGTTATTTTTTATCAAATGGTGGAATAAGTTCTTATAGTAATCCATTTAACATTTTTTGATTAGTGGCTCGAAATTAAACAAAATTATCTCTAAATTTGTCAGAAATGTTATTTAAGAAAAAACAATAATCTTTTTCTCTTTTGAATATTTCATCAATAGTTTAATTAAAATCTTATTTATTAGAAGCCATAGAGAAATTATTAAGTCCAGGTTTATTTATTTATAATTTATCATCTTATTAAAATGGTTTAGAGAAATCAGCTAAATCATTAATAAAATCAATTTTCCATTCAATTAATGTATTATCATTAGTTCCTACAGTATAAAATACATCTTAAGATTTAGTCATTTATAATCTACTAACATTACTAGCATGTCCTCTTAAGAATCCACCACAATTAGTTTCCAATTATTCTCTATCTCTCCAAAAATATACATATCCTCCTTCTCCTGCTGCTAAAAATATCTTCACATCACCACCAATCAATAATGGCAAATATTATTCCTTCTTTGAATTTTAATTACTACTTGAACTAAGAGGATATCTTATTACCCAAGTAGTTGAATTCAATTTCTCATTTTCTTATAATAAATTTTTAGATTTCAAATCAGGTAATTCTATTTTATATTGATTCTTCATTGTTGTTCCTACAATAAATGCTTTACAATCATCAACAAAATCTAAACAAATTGGAAATTCACCTTCAAAATGTATTTTCTTAGGTGCAGTCTAAAAATATGAAGTATTATTCAAAAAGAACACATAAACAAATGCATCTTATACTGCACAAACTAAACAAGAAGTATCTGATGAAAACTTTAAATCATTCACTTAATGTTTACAATCATACCATCTTGGTGATTCTTCCCAATCCAATCTCAAATATACTTTACCTGATACTGTACCTAATGCAAATACAGCTCCTCCATCCTCAAAATTTATACAATCCATTGATGATATCTAATCACCAATAGTCCATACATCTACAATTTCATGTGTCTCTAATGAAAATCCATATACTGTTGATTATGATCCTGCACAAAATACTAATTTATCATCACTATCTGGTCTCTCCAATATACATAATGCCTATAATGTTCCACTTAATTAAATAATATAATTAATTCTATTTGCTCTTAATTTATTAACAAATGAATTGCTTGAGTGTTCTTATTTTTATTATAAAAAGATTTCTACTACATCTCCTTCTGTTGATGCCACTAATAATTTATCTCCTGCTACCACTATATCACTTATAACATAACTAAATAATTTAAAACTAAATGCTGTTAAATCTATATTCTTAATATTATTCTTAAATTTAAAATCCCATAAATGAATAGTACTAGCATCTGTACCAATTATAATACCAAATTGATAACTAGTAATACAAACTATCTAATCCTTATAAGAAGTCATCAAATCCATCCTCTCAAAGTTCTCCCACAAAATCACTGCTCCATTTTAATGTCCTGATATTATTACTATTGCCTCTCCTTCCTCAGATTGATAAGCTTTTAAATAAGGATCTCTTGAATATATTCTCAAAGCTGTTGCACAAGTTAAAGGTGATGATAAATTATATTATTCCAATTAAATTTCTTTTGTTAAAAAATGTCCATCATAATATTGAAATTGAATTATTTAATATATTGTACAAACAACAAAAGAGTTCTCATATTTCTTAAATGGATTCAATTAATTCTATTGATTTATTTATTACTATCTATGTTATGCACCTCCAAATGAACCAATAAAATTCTTTATAGTCAATAAATCAACTGCAAATTCATTCACTTAAGTTGAAAGTACTAATGAGAAATCCTTAATATTATAAATCAAAATAGGAGATGCTACTCTTATTCCACATGATGCTAACAATTCATCATTACCAAAAAAAGTCAATAAATGTACACCCTTCTAATGAACACCCTTTATCACTCCAATATTATGTAATGTATTATTATCCCATATATGAATAGCTGGTTACTCAGCATATTCTCCACTGGCCATCAAACTCAAATTATTGGCCACTGCTACACTTATCACTTCACTCTCATGTTCTAAATAATGTCGTTGCTCATTTATTTTTGGATAATACACAATTATTATACATGCTGTAAAGAAAATCATCTTCTCATTTAATGCTGTGTCAGTATTAGATTACATCTTTATATAGAGTAAAGGCCTTTTCACATCTTTCCCTCTAAATCCATATACCCAATTCATTTTAGCATATACATCCTTCTAAAACACTTGTGGTTAAGGAGCATACACTTTTTTTGCCAAACTACTAATCCATTAGATCTTTGAATGATATGCCTTAGATGATAAAATTGACCTAAAATACTTACTTATTAATACCCAAGACCTCTCTAATCAAAGTAGGGACGCTTCGAATCTGGTAATAAGAGTTTCTTACCAAACTCCTTACTAAATACTTATCTTAGAACATCTATTTTCTAACTAAGTTATTCTGTCTGTGCTGTAACTTTCAATTCAGGAGCTTCCTTTTTTATTAATTAAAGAAATTATCTAATCTCATCAGTCTTTACACACCATTTCAAAAACTAACTTATATTTACTCTTTAATTGTCCGAAAAAAAATTACTTAAGAAATCTGAGATTTCTTCTTCATTAACTTCATTATTTATCTGCATTATTTTGAATGTTGCATTTGCACATGATAACAACATAAAATCCAAATCAATCTTAATTTATCATATATTCTTACTAAACTCAAAGAATTCAATTCATTAAAATCAAATAGATCAAATAAAAATCGCGCCTTCTCTTCAAAATTACTTTCTGCAAAAATGATTAAACCTGAAAACAATTCCAATGCATTGATCAATCTATACATATTCATTACTATATTACCCATTATTATCTGTATCCCATATTTAAAACATTGTTTCATTACTTCCAAATATCTATTCAAACTCTGTCAAATCTATACTAAAAGTATCACAAACAGATTGAAAAGACCCATGATACTCACGTAATTTTGATATTGAATTATTAAGTAATGGATTTGATTAGGGAGGTTATGCATTTTGTAAATGCCCTAAAAACTATCCCATTTTGTATTAATTATTAATATATATAATATTAATTAATCTTAATATTAATTGATAATAATAATTTAGGAGTTCCATTATCATTGTAAATTCTTTAATTTGATTTCCATCAAGATGAAGATTCTCAATATCCTCTTTTATTTTATAATTAATATTAAATCAAGTATAAAAATACTGAATGCATTTATGGTTAAACACATAATCACCTCACAACTAGTATAAATACTGAAAAATTAAAAATGAGTATTTCTATCAGAAAAATTAATTAAATCATACATGAATAAATCAATCTGTTCTATTCATGATCAAGAAGAAGAAAAATATATATGTGTTCATCCTCATTGTATCAAAAAGGTAGATAATAAATTAAGTTGTATTTAATGCTTCTCCAATAAACACAAAAAAATAAAATTAGAAAAGCATTAATTTATCAACTTGTCAGAACTTGAATAAAAAGCCATTGATAATTACAATAACTTGAAGAGACAACTCAACGATGAAATTTAGAAGAACTAATAGTTAAATACAATAATATAGGAACGATTAGCAGCTGTTTTACTTTCTCTTAGTACTTGGTAAAATAATCAAAAAAAAATGTTCAATGATATAGCTGAGAATTCCAGCTAAGTTTTAACTGAAAATATATTAAAGGCTGATAGTCTTATGAAAAATCCATCATTAGATACATTTATTTATTTTTTTAATTTTAAAATATTAGAAAAAGAGAAAGAAAATTAAGATATTAGAGAATATTCGATGAGATAATTAGAATATTCATTAAAGTAAATTGAAGAAAAGAGAGATATATTAATAAATTAACAAACTTTTATATAAAGAGAGCAATTTCTAAAATTTTCTTTCATAAATTATTAGATAGAATCTGATAATCTTAAAGAATATTAATTTGAGAAGTGTTAAAAGCATTTAAGTAAATAGAAAATGTTATGTACTCATCCAAATTGTTTAGAGAAAAATTCATATTAATTATAGTGTATACATTGTATTTCAGAAGAACATAAAGAACATTAATTAGGAACATATATTAAGAATATTGCTATAATTTAGAAAGAATAAGCAGAAAAACTAGAATAAATTGAATAACTAAAAAAGAAATATAGTATTGATATAAAACAATCAATTGATAAAAATTTATCAAAGATTAATGAAATCTAAAAAGATTACTATTAAAATTATGAAAAACAAAAAGAAAAAGCAATATTTTTAGAGTAATACTAATTAAATCAATTTTCAAACCCTAATACTCCTAATTATATTTTTGGTAATATAGATACACACCTACTTAAAACAACTAAAGATTAAATTAATTTATACTACTAATAGCTATATTATAATTTTGAAATTAAATTTTAAACTATATTTTTCAATTAAGTTAATGACGACATAAAATTTTGTACTGAATTAGATTTTAACTCAAAATAATTCTTTTAATATGTTATTAATTTAGAATAAGAACTTGAATTATGTAAAATATAACTTCAAGAATATAAAAAGTAAATTGAAGAGTATAATTAGAATTCTAACTAAATTGAATTGCAAATGAAGACACAAAGTGCTTACATTATTAATTTATAATCAAGTATATCTAGTTTAGAATTACTTACTCAATCAAATTTAATATAATAAAATGCTTCCATTAATTAATTACAATCCAATCTTGAATATAAAATTTCTCAATAGTTTTAATACATTATAGGTAATTCAAAATTATAAAATGTTACCATTAATAATTTACAATCGGATCTTGAAAAATCAATTGGACTTTTATAATAACTTATAAAAAGCAATTAAGAATAAGAAAATGCTTCAATTAATTCACTATTAGAACATGAAAAAGATATTTCTAATTTGTTATCATTAAATTCAAACCATTAAAAAAAATTAGAAAAAATCTCTGATTAATTAAAATTGAGTCTTGAGAAAGATATTGCACTACCTTTGAAATAACTTACTCAAAGCAATATATAATAAGAAAAGGAGATTTCTGAATTAAAGACTTCACTAAGAAACTAAGAAAAAGAAGTTCAAAATATATTAGGCCGTAAATAGTTTTTTTTCTTTATATTTCCTATTATTTTAGTTATCATCTAATACATGATAAGTCATTCTAAAAAATGAGAGTAGGGTTTAATATATCTATATATTTGAGTATCATAATGCATTTTATATATAAATATAATAATCCTGTTATAGTTCTTGTATAAATGTTTTCAAATAAAGATATAACTTTTAATACTGAAAAATAAAAAGATTGGATTAATATATTATTTTGTAAATTTTTTTTCTCATAGCCTTTTTAATTTTTTCTTTTTTAATTTTCCGTCATAAACAACGGGCTGTTAATGTTCACCATTAAAATTAAATTGAATTCTTTTAATAACTTGTTGTTTCTTATAATAATATAAATAATTATTAAATTTATTGAAAAATCTTAAAAATTTATATTTCATCCCTTTTTTCTGACAACATTTGCTTATTCATGAATGATTAGTTATATTCAATAAATATTATTATTGAATGTATAATCATTTATGAAAGAATAAAATTATATAAATAAATTTATGTAAACTTTTAAGAAGAATTAATCAATCATTTTGAAGCAATAAATATTCATAAAAAAAGAAAGCAAATTTATTATTAAAATAAATAATTCATTTTTTATTACCTGTTTATATTTATAAATTATAAATAATTCATTTTTATATCATTCAAATAAATGATATTGAATCACCTGGACCAAAGAGAATAGCAACTGGATATAATCTCTTAGAAAGATCATTCAGTTTCATTGTATAATTTTCATTTTTATCTGATTCTTTATAGAAGGTAAATGATTAAAATTGAGCATTATAGTAACACACAATTGAATCTGCTTTATCAAATGTAAGAGGCTTAATTTTGGTGTTATTGATGGTTGTATCATCACTATGATAAATGACACCTGTGTTATGAAGAGCATAGAAACCATGTCCTTTGGAGAAATCATAAATTTGATAATTCATTTATTTACTTGCTTCTAAGGAACCAAATCCAACCATACCATAAGATAGTTTCTAAGTAAATATAGATGAAAATATTACATTAATTAAGAATGAACATTTGAAGCTTTCTTTTAGAGGATCAAAGCTTTATTCACTATATATGACTGCATAACCTATTTATTATGTAAGTGTAGCTGTTCTACCTTCATTCAATTGTATATGTTTATGTTTATTGATTTCTGAGAATTTCAGTTCTTCTTTAAATTACTCTACTGAAAGTTTGGATAGATTTTATTTGATTTTTTTAGCATATTCAGAAGTTAAAAAATTGATTTAAGTAATTAATTAAGATATTTGCATTTCCATCTTTGATTTAATTTATTCATCTATTCGAATGACTTCATTATTATAAATTTCATATTGACTAAGTAATATTTTGAGTATTTGTAAATCTTCTGAATCAGGACTCATTAATTAATCAATTGATAAATTGAAGTTAAGCTAATTTTTATTTAATTTTTCTATTTTAGCATCAATAATTTCTGTAAGTTCTGTTAATTGTAGTTTATTGGCAATTAATTATTATTTGACAGCTGTAAATTCATCATTTTATCTTTTGATATTTTCTTGATTAGAAATAAATTATTGTATCGAGGTAAGAGACACTACTTTATGATCATGTACATTGTGTAATTCTTTGATGCATAGAGGACAACACTAAGTATTGGCAACACAAAAAGAATCTATACAAATAGCAGATAATTTTTCTCCTTTATGTATTTAGCATTCAATTTTAGAAATCATTATGTATATATAATAAATTTAATTTTATTCATTTTTAGAAGACTTGAATTAGAATTTGAATTCATTTTTGATGTTATAAATGATTTGATTGATGCTTAATAGAAAATATTAATTAACAGATAATTAATTTGAAATATGATCAACAATCTAATATTCAATATTAAATAGAAATAGACTATTCATAAAAATCATTTTTTTTAATTAATTAATAATCTCTTATTATCATTTGATAATTAATCAGTCAATCAATATTATCAAACTTATTCATTCACAATATTTAAAAAATAAGAAAAGAATTAAATCATCTAAGAATTTTCTTGAAATGTTTAAGTAGAAAATAAATCCAATATTTAGCTAAATGTTTATAATATTAAAGTTAATCAGTCAAACTAATGTTATTCAACATTATCATTTTGATCATTTAAAATTTGATCTTTATTTTCAAAGGAGAAAGAGCGTATTATTTTTCTACTTCCTCTTTTGATTAATGGATTGTTAGATATATTGAATTCTTTATCATCACTATGCAGTTATTTTCTTTCAAGTATAATTTCATCGTTTGAATCAGGTGAATTATCAAGTTAAATAGCAAAACTAATTTGATATAAATGATATACTTAGCTATACGTTATAGTTTTAAAAGTGGGTCAGTTTTCATTTGAAGACCAAGTCCTTTCAAATATTGAACTATTTCTCGCTCTTTTTTCAACATAGGTTTTCTCTTTGAATCTTTACACTGATATAATTAAAGAAATTCTTCCAAACTGTCTTTAGAATTTAATGACACATATGATAGCATAATTATTAGATGTAAATTTTATTTAGGAACTGATTATAGACTTATTTAAATTTTATATACATTATATATATACTAGACAATAATAATAAAATTAATTTTCATATCTGTTACTATTATTAAGCAAAACTTAGATCTTAAGATATTTCTTCAACCTTTTTTCTTAAAACAATCAAGGCCTAAATATTTAATATGAATTTACTTTTTTTACAATATCAGCAGCTTTTAATTAGCCAGCACTTTCAACAGTAAAAATATATTTATTTTTTTTATGTTGCATTTTAATCAATCTGGGTTTTTTCATGGATTCAGCCTATTTATTATATATATATTATTACACAACGAATGCATTCTTCACAAAACACACACTTTTCAATAGCATTGACAATAAGATCTTAATTAGCATCCATAGCAAAAACATTCATAGGACATGAATTTCTAATTGCATTTTTTTCAAAAAGTGACAGAGATTATAATTAGGTCTGATCAATATTAATTTCTATAGATTTATATATAATTATATATTTACCTGGTTCATGTCTAAATGTTGCAATATTAATTGGACTCCATTTAGCATGCATTTTACCAAAACCTTTTAGTGCATGACAACGAACATGAACAGATTGATTCTTTCCTAATCTAGTAATAGGAATGCCAACTTCTTTTCCATTTATTGGTGAAAACATTCTAACAGGTCGAATTGCCATTTCACCTACTTAACCAAATTCTGGTTCAAGATGTTAACTTGTAATTTCTAAGGGAGCATCATTTAGATTTTTTTGTCTTAATGTAAAGACTACTTTTATTTTTTGATCATCAATTGAATCTGTATCAGCTTCCCAATCATACATTTTGCTATCAGCATCATATGAAACTAATGGTATTAAACCAAGTCTCTAAGCTAAAAATTCATCTGATAGGGGACTAGTATTTTCAATAATATCAACAAAATGAATTGCCATAACCTAATATTTTAGTCCAAAATTTTACAGGGACTTCTGCTATCATAACTCTTCTAATAGCATTTGCAATAGACAAATCACCTTCAAAACTAAATTTACATTTTTCATCATTTAATTCTAAGATTTCTATTCTATGTTAGGTGTTTTGTTCGAAGTTATACCTGTACATATAATTATATATTATATATTTATAAATTTATTACCATATATATATATATTCACTCATACATTTTCTCGTAATTATAAGAATTTCCTTTTATAGATCCATAAACATATGAAATTCAATATACAATATACAAGTATAAATGATCCAAATACATTTACACTAATAATTAAATATTCATTAAGAGTCCCTGGTATATTAGGTATACTCATAACAACAGTAAAGAAATAGAAACTCCAACAATAAATCCAATTACATAATTAGAGTACATTCTTATTTTCAATATATTCAGATCCACAATAAGAGAATGTCAATACTTGAACTGCAGATATTAATAATCCAGACATAAAATTGAAAGTATAAACCAAACTATTCTTATTATTATTGATCTCATCTGCTTCACCAACAATCCTTAATTAATACAATCAATTTACAGATAATATATAGGTGATTGCTCCAAAAATCTATAATCCTATTAATAAATTCAAGTAACCATAGGAATATGAAAGTAATCCAATGAGGATTCCTCCTAAGAATTAACCAATTCCATGAATGCTTAGATTAGTAACTATGGCTGGTTTTAATTAAGAGACATTTGTATAGTTAGGTTCTATCATATCCTATGAATAAACTACACTAAATGCAGTGAACATTCCAATAGAAATTATGGTAGGTATCAGATATATAAATTAAGGATATAATTTTGGTATCTTCCAAATGAGTTTAAATTAATTGATATATTCATTATCATTTATATTATTCTTTTAATTGTCATCATCCATTAATGAACCATACAAATGTTCATTTAATTTCTATTATAAATCAATACTTTGTTTTGTAACTGATTTAGACAATGAATCTGGTTCTTTAATAAACCAATATAAGAATGTTATTATTAAAGATACACCTAACATAGGATAATAGAAGTATTCATTATATTAGTATATCTTACTTTCAAATATTACATAAATATCACCTACAAAGTTTTACATACAAAATAATGAATAAGCTACTCCAAAATAAATACTAACATTATTCTTATTGGACATACTACGAATATAATAATTGAATGAACAATAGAAGATTGCCATAAAAGGAGCTGATATTGCTTCAAATATTAAGATTGTTGTAATTAAATAAACATCTTTTGGTTATTGTTCTATCACTACAATGTATAAGGTCATACTAAAGATATTGGCTACACTAGTGATAAAAAATACTGCTCTGAATCAAATATTATTAGATACTTGTAAGTGAATTTTAGTATCATCTTTTAAAAGAATGGTAATGAAAAGGGTCCAATCAAAAAGATGAGACTAAATATTCCCAATGAAACTGAGTTTATTACTTTATCATCTATCTTTAGAATATTTGAGAATAGCACTGTTCTACATAATCCTATAGCTCCCAAATAACAGACTGTTATTATACATGTATATGTAAGAGAACATAAATTATCTCTCTTTTCTAACATTATATTATTATATATATAATATATTTATGATTCTATTATTTTAATACAATAAAATAATTGATATTCTATTCTGACTGAATCAATTGAAAATATATATAAACTTATCATTTTTATATGCTTTTTCTTTTTTGAATAATTGTGTTCTCATTAGATGAAAGAATGGGAACTTTTCGATGAGTATGAAATAAGGGTTCAAAAACTATCTAATTAGTATTATGTTTTTTTTCAGAGAGTAATTATATTGGAACTTCTCTTTAAACGAAACTCCGTTTTTATTTTTCATATGCTATTTAATTGACATCATTAGATATTTCATCTATCAAAACTTAATCAGCATCAAGATATATAGATTTTAATTATTAAACTGAAGATTTATAACTTATATGTAATTCTGAATTGGGCATAGTATTTTTATGATCTTACATTTTTCTATTTGAAATGCACATTCCCATTTTGAAAAAGAGTGAGGAATTAGTAAAAAAATTTTAATTTAATTTATTTATATTATTTAGTATTTATATATATATATATATATAAATAAATGGAATTACATTATTATTTACTATATTCCTTTTATTATTATATATTTAAACAGTTTTAACTATTAAAAGTGCTCTTTTAAGAGTTATGAAAATTAAAATCATAAATAATATTAAATTATATTATGAATCAATAATATCTACAAGGAGATGTTGAAGATTATGGATTCAAATAACAATAACCAAAAAAATATATTTAAGTCTCTACCTATAGTGATATATATTATGATGTGTAGAAAATCAAGAAGTTTGAAAATGGAGTTGAAATAATAGAATTAAATGATGCATTGCATCAAGGCAAAGTTTCCCAATTGCATACATGTAGCCATCACATCTAAATTAAGTTTATACCATGAAATGGATGGAATACTTGTCTGAACTTGAGATTGAGTTAAAAGCCATTCTCTTAGATAGAGCACTCATTGTCCCTGACCTAAATCAATATGTCAATAAGCGTCTCTAGCCAATGATAGAAGTCACTCTAGATAAAGTGTATTGACCTTCTTTCTAACTAGTCTAAATGAAACCTACAAATTAAAGATCTAATGTTACATCAATGAGATCCTACTTCTAGTTCAAAAGGTCAGTCTTAAAATTTGGAAAGAATATCCTCAGATTTCTTTAGCACTTTTAAAACGTTTGCACTCTATCCAAAAAAATTCTCTCTATGACAGTAGAATTAAAGAATTAAGTGTGTATATAGATACATTGAATGACTTTTATGGTGAAAGATTGCATCATGGTGTTAGCTATGAAATTGAAGGCTATAATAATGTTTAATATACAGAACCCTATAATTCCAAGTCTTTTTATCCATTAAAGGGGGAGATCTTAGATTCATATCGATTGAATTAAGATGTGCTAACTTTTTCTCCATTTCAAAGAATATAAGTTCACTATTTCTACAAGAATGGAGGATTTGCTTTATTGGATGATGCAATTAAGAATTTTAATCTAAATTATTTAGATATCTTTCCCATATTCCAATATCTTTATTCCTTATTGGATAGATAGATATATTTGAATTATTTCCATCATTTAGAGTTTTAGAATTTGACATCAAAATTAACAGAAGAAGAAATAAAGAATTCTAATAGAGATACAATTAAAAAGTTGACTGATGGAATAGAGAATATGTTTGATTAATTTTATAATTCTTCTTAGAAAAAAGAGTTGATTGCTTTGGCTGAAATGAGTGTATATTTATAATGTTTCCGTTGCACAGCTTTGGAGAAGAGAATTTATGGTATTAAATTATTAAAACAATTTAAGGATTATAACAATTTTGTGATAAAATAAATACTGCTTAGTCTAATGAATTTATGGGTCAATAATATAATATAAATGATGAATGGTATAAAAATGATAATGTATTAAAATACATAGTAGATAATTAAGTATTTTAAGAGTTATTTGGAGAAAAAGCTCATTTTGAATTAATTAAAAGAAGTTTTCCAATAATTCAATTTTTATATTTGCATCATAAATTAAGTAAAGATGAAATTTTGTGTATTCTAAGATTAGGAAAAGGTAAACATGAAACATGGGATAATATGATATCTAAAATACTTACAGATTTAGCAGAAATCTTATCATTAGAAGATGTTGAAACATTAATATAAAATATATAATAGAGTTAGATAGATTAAAATGGACTTAATTTTATTAAAAGTTTGGGTAGAAACAAAAATTTAAGATAAGATTTAGATAATAATTATAATAAAGGAATGGGAAATAATGAAGATAAATTTGTAAAATAGAATGAGAGAATAAGTGGTTAAAGAAAGTATTAATAAATTGACACAGATTATAAAGTAATAGAATAAAATAATAATGAAATTATAGAATATTGTAATAATGAAAAGGCTATAAAATTAAAATCTTAAATTGTTGAATTCTTATTAAATATAGTACATGAATAACCAACTACTGAAATTGGTTAGTCAGCTTTATCAATTGCAATTAATTTAATTTGTCATTAATTTAAATCATTAAGATAATAATATTTATTACTTGGATTTTCAAATTTAATTGCTAAAGAATAACCATTACCAGTTTGTAATTACATCACTGTTTTATAAAAGATTATCTCATCATCCTATCCATTAGATAAATTTACTAATTCTAAAGATGTGTTGAAATGGATCTAAGATAAATATGATATTAAATTAAACTTTTTAAAAGTAATGGGAAGAGAAAAATTAAAATTGATAAAAAGAGAAAGTAAAGATTACCTATAAACAATTGAATAATTTGTTAAATTTTATCAATTTCTTCATTAAGATTCAAAAATCACAAGAGATTAATTAATGATATTATGGAAATTGTTAGTAGAGAATGCAAAATGTGTAGAAGAGAGAGATCTCTTTTTTAATTGGGTAGGAGATGTTAATAAGAAATTCTTAGATTAAGAGGCTATAGAATTATTATTTATATCAACTATTAAATGTTCATCTCTTAGTTAATCTATGTTATAATGTTTAACAAATTTAATTTTATATTTCAATGTTCAATATAAAGTAATGAAATTGTAATATGATTAATATACAATTATGGATGCAGACATTATTGGATTATAAGTATTATGGAAGATATTTAAATAGTAAGAGAAATTGGGATCTTAATTATAAGAATTCTTTATTAGACTATTAAGATTTAAATAATAATAGAGTATTTTAAATAAATTAAAATAATAATACTTAGTGTAATTATTTAATTAAATTGATAATCCAAATTCTCTATCATTCATAATCAAATTATTAGAAGAATTTGAAGGATATAAATTGGTTGAATAAGGGGAAAAGGTATTTGTAACAATTGATAATAAATGTATGGATGCTATGCCTCCAAAGAGATAAGATATTCAATTATTAAGTGGATTAACAGTATTATAAGCTAAATAAATAATTGGATAGAAATTAAATCCATCATTGAAACCAGATGAATTTGATATATTTTGTAGAGGAACATTATTTGATGATAATAAAACACTTAAAGATTACAAAGTTAATTAAAAATTGACATTTGTAATATCAAAACGAGAAATTGTAACAGATGAAATTAATGCATATAATAGTACAACTAATTAGATATAAAATGAATATGTACCAAATGATGCAGATGAGAAAGTGTAAGAAATTATGTAAATTGTTTAAATGTAAGACAAAGATTTTATAATTTCTGTATTGAAAGAAAAGAATTGGTAAGTAGAAACTGCAATATGTGATATTTTGGATCGTGGAGATCAATTACTTTTAGAATACTAATAAAAGAATCATTAGGTTAAAAAATAAAAACCTATAATGAAATAATAAATTGATGAGATCTCATTTGCTTCATTAATCTCAAATAATTATATTGATTAATTATTCATTCTACTTAATTAAGAAAATCAAGAATAAAATACTAAAATTTGGTCTATCTTATAAATGATTCCTAGAAATAAAGAAGTATATGAATTAATTGAATAATCATAAACAGATTGGTGTAATCTATTGTTAGTTGATAATAAATATAAATTATAATATCATTTACAAATTCTTAAAGAATAATTGTAATGTGATTTTATTGAAGATTAAGATGAATATGAAAAACGTAAGACATTAAGAGAAAACTTTCTACTTTATGGTGGCTTAAAATTACTATTATTTTAATTAGACAATTCAATTGAAATCTTAATCATAATTTTAGATATATTCTAAATATACTTTTCTGCTTATTCAATGAGTAGATTAATGATGAATTAAATTGAATTCTTATAATTATTAAAATTAAAATAAGCTATATAATAGAAAGATGAAGATCCTAAATTATGTAGTCTATTGAGTATATAACTATAGAAATAAGATAAACCAAATATTTAAGGATATGATGAAGCATATCTTTTATAAAAAGTATTCTATAATTGTGAATTAGAAGTAGAATGGGATGTATTATTAGATGCTCTAATTTAAAGAATTGGAGTTGAATAAATATACACAAATATCTTATGTATCTTATATATGAGACCTTAATTACTTAAATTTGAATTGCCAATTAATAGATTAGTTCAATTATTAAATAATCCAAATGAAGAATAAAGAAAAATGACAGCTTATTTTATTCTTACTCTTCAAGATATTGGAAAGAGAAATGATGTGAATTTAAGTAATGATATTTTAAAGGCTTTAATAAAAGCAGAAACTTAGTATGATGAATTATATTTAGTGATTGCTGGATTGATTTGTTAAGTGAATGATTTAACATTCTTTGATACTCATTAATTGGCTTAATAAATAATATCATTAATTTCAAATAGAGAAATTATTGAATAAAGATTCACTGAAAATGAAGATAAATTATTATAAGGTAATCTATTATTATTGACTTCTTTATTATAAGTTGATAAAAACATTAAAGTAGATATTGAATTTACAAGATACTTATATAAATGTTTATTTGAAATGCATAATGATTATTATAAATATCCTGTTTATAAAAGAAAATTAACTAGAAAGAGAGTATTCTAATTATTATTAGAATTATGTAAAGATGAAACTCATTTATAAGTGATGTTACCTTTGATTTAAAGTCATCATTAATTGAAATTTGATATCAATGAAGTAGATATGGAAGTGGGAGTTAAAGGTTCACATGGTTTTGTTGGATTAAGAAATCTTGGAGCTACTTGTTATATTAATTCTCTATTATAATAATTCTATATGAATCTACCTTTAAGAAAAGGGATCTTAAATGGGTAGATCATGATTACTGAAATGAAGGCTCCTCTCATTTTTGATAACATTAGTTCTATTGATTCAACTACTTTACAACGTAAATTGACAGATCATACTTTACATTAATTATAATTAGTATTCATTCAACTCTAAGAATCTGTAAAACAATATATTAATCCACATTAATTGATTAAAACTTTAAAGGGATTTGATGGAGAAGTTATCAATGTTCTTATTTAATAAGATTGTAATGAATTTTTTAATTTGATAACTGATAAATTAGAATAAGATTAGAAATTCACTAATTAATCAAATCTAATACCTTAAATATTAGGTGGTACATTAATAAATGAAATTAAATCATTAGAACCTGATTATGATTTTAGAAGAGAAAATGAAGAACCATTTTTAACTGTTTCAGTAGATATTAAACATAAGAAATGTCTTGAAGAAGCATTAGATTTATTTGTTAAAGGAGATGTTTTAGATGGAGAGAATAAATATTTATGTGAAGAAGTATAAAGAAAAATAGATGTTTAAAAGAGATAATACTTTAAGAAATTACCTAATACATTCATTTTCCATCTAAAAAGATTTGAATTTGATTACAATACAATGTTGAGAATTAAAATAAATGATTATTTTGAATTCCCTTAAGAAATCAATATGTTTAAATGGACACGTGATCATATAGTTGAAAATATGGAAATTTAAGATTAAAGTGATTATATATACATACTTAAAGGAGTATTAGTACATGTTGGTGGTGCAGAAGGAGGACATTATTATTCATTTATTCGAGATGTTGATAAATGGTATGAGTTTAATGATAAAGTGATTTGTCCATTTAAAATAGAGAATCTAAAAACTGAATGTTTTGGAGGAGGTAATAACAATCTTTCAGAATGGGGAATGAGTAATAGTAAAAATGCTTATATTTTATTCTATGAGAAGGTAAAACATAATATTCCTGAATAATTATATATGAGAGGTAAAAATGAGGAATTATTGATTTAATAAGTAATAAGTGAAAATACTGATTATTTGAAGAATTAATTGTTTTGTGCTCAAGATTACTTGAAATTCATTTAAACATTTGTATAAACATTGTAAATAAAAAATCAATTTTAAGTGACTCAATTATTATCTAAGGAAAGTAATTTATATGAATTGGATACTCTTCCATCTTTGAGAATGATTAAATTATTAACTTTTTTCACTTATGAAGTATTACTTAGGAATAAAGATTAATAGATGTTTTAATATAATATTTAGTTATTAAGTGATATGTACAAATAAGAACCAGCTGCTAATTTCTGGTTTTTAGATTTATTAAGAAATCACAAATAATTAATTATTGATTTATTGATAGAATCTTCATATTCAGATGTTAGAAATGCGTTTGCATAATTGATTATTCAATCAATAACTATAATTATAGAATATGAACAATAATATTTATTTGAAGATTCATGTATAGGTAGATTCCTTTAATTCTATATAAAATCACTTTTAGGAATAGTAAAGAATACTCTTAGAAGAGGAACTGAATACTTTTAAGTCATTAAATATATTTTAGTTAGTAATCAACTATTAGTGAAATACTTTTATTAGTAAGAATATTTTAAATAGGTTTATTAATTATTATAAGAATAAGTATCAGAAGTACAATTAGGTGCATCATTAAAATTGTAGTAATTGTAAACTAATAACACAGACTAACCATTAATGATAATCAGTGATATTATTGCTAAAGTGATAATGAGTTGTAGAACATAGAGTATGATTGATTTAAACGAGGATGCTCCAACTTATCTATTCAAAGGATAAAAAGAATTGGATATTGATGAATTCTGGTTAAAGAGATTATTAGAGAGTGATGATTTCAAAAAATACATATTGGCTATGATTTAATTCCAACCAAATTTGATTGATATGATCAAACATATTTGTTGGAAAAATCATAGTACAAGTTATCATATAATGACATTGTTAGTATCCACATTCTTAGATTATTTTATTGAATGGTAATTATTGGAACCACTTTCTTAAACTATTGAAAACTTATTTAAAATGGATGATGGTTTGGTAGAAATACGTTTACAAGGTTTATTATGTGAACCTTTTAAGACATTATCATGTGTTAAAGGTTCATCAATAATGAATGCAATAATAGATTAATATGAAAAAGATAAGAATTATTGTTTTTGCATGATAGCAATACTTGCAAATTTGGCAAATTAAGTCAATTATGTTGGTGAATACTTCAAGAAAAATAAAGAATAATTCGAAATTTTACTTTGGAAAGCTAAAGATTATAAGAACATAATGTATGGATTATACTTCCCAGTAATGAAGATTTAGAAGTCTATTCAATAGGTAATATGATTATACTATATATATATATTAGTTATCTGCAATATTTGAGGAGACTGAAAAACCAACTATTTAAGTCTGCAATCCAATCTCCAATTAAATGACTTAAGAAGAACCTGAACCAGAAGACTCCAATATTCAAGTTATTCATCTTATTGAGCAGAATAAGTCCAATTATACTTAAACTAAAGAAGACTCGATGGACAATAACAATTCATCTGATAGAGAGAATCCAACTGATGAATTATCAGAATGAATAATAATATATTAATTAAATGGCATCTGCTTTCCCTAAATTACCAGGTTTTGTTCCCACTCAAGAAATAGATGTACCATATACATAATATTAACTAGAAACCAAACTTTAGAAAAGTCTCATCAACCAAACAAGAATAAAATAGAGAAATCAATCATTTACCTAATAAAGAATATGCTGTACCTCGTAAATAACCAATTCAAATACCACCATAATCAGGAATGTTCAATCCTGATTATATGAGTACAACTCATGCAATGCATCTACCTAAAGTAAAATAACAGTTACATCATAGAATTCCAACAATGATTCAGAAGAATTATATTAACCAAGTTGGGTTAAAATGGATAGACATGTTCTAAGATTCAGTGGTTACTTTAAAGAAGCAGTAGTTGAATCTGCACTTGAAAATTATCGTATTCGCAAGATTACAATCTTTTATTATCTTGAAGACCATTCACTTAGTATAACTGAACCTAAATAAGAAAATAGTGGTGTTCCATAAGGAGCATTTCTTAAAAGATAAAAAGTATACTATCTTATCTATATTAGGTATTAAGAGCAGATAATTCAAAGACTTTTATACTCCCTGAAGATTTCAGAATCAACTAAGATATCATCATCTTTGGTAAAACCATTCGTCTATTTGATTGTGATCAATATACAAGAGAATTCTATGAAGTAAAATTCCATTTAATCTTTAGTTATAAGGAATACCATAAGAACCATCATTTGTACCACAATCAGACTCTTTTGAAACTAAAACTATGACTAAATTCATACCACAAAAAGATACTGTGATGAAAGATTATTTAGAACATAAATTAGGAGGTGGTAAAGTTACTTCTTAAAAGTAATTCTTAGAAAATGATAGAAAGGTATTATTTTTAAATATAATCATTAGGTCCTTAAATTTTATGTATTTTCAGATATTGATTATATTCTTCACTATTATTTGGCTGATGACACTATTGAAATCAAAGAAATCAATTCAGCCAATTCAGGAAGAGTTCCATTCCCTATGATGTTGAGAAGATAAAAACTACCCAGAAAATTCTCACTCAATTAACCTGGATAAACATATGCTGAGGATTTTATTAGACCATAAGATATTTAATATGGATAACCTCTTATTATCTATAATCGAAAAGTTCTTATCAAGGGGTGTGATCAATTTACAAGATAATATTATTTTGAAAAATTCAATGTCGATTTCCCTTTAGGTGGTTAAGAAGAATATGTTCATTAAGAAAGATCTAGTATTTTATTATTTTAATATACTTTAGATATTATAATCCCACCACATAATGGTATTGGTGATGAACAAGATTCTCTTGGATATATCTATAGATTATAACCTAAACCTCCCAAAAAAGATTTTTTCAAATGGGTGGATAATCAAGTCAATCTCAGATTCTTGGCTATGTTTAATACTACAAAACCTGAAGATAAGGACAGAGTCTTTGTTATTACATTCTTTTTAAATGATGATAGCCTTTTGATCTATGAACCTACTGTTAGAAATTCAGGTATCTTTATAAATATATAATTTAGGTATTCCTGATGGTAAATTCTTGGAAAAAAGAAAGTATAAGAATGTGAATAATAATAATGAATTCTTTACTCCAGGAGATTTAATTGTAGGGAATGAAGTTTAAATAAATGGATGGAAATTTTAATTATTGGATTGTGATGAATTCACTAAAAAATGGTATTCTGAGAACTTTAAATGAACATATAAATAAATTCATGCCATATTTTATTATTATTATATTCAAACCACTTTGCATTTCATATCTGCCAAATTTCCAATAAAAAACAATACAAATTTCTTATTTTTCTAAAAGAATTATTCAGCACCAGTTTCTCCTCCAAATCCTAATTTTGAACATTTTTTTTTGCTATATTCAATCTTAATATCTTCATATTATAATAAACATTATTTATTTTAGATATCTAATGATAATGTAATATGAGCAGGTCTTTTCTCTTTTAAAGCTCTAAAATTATATGAATATATATTTACTATCTCACAGATTCTCCTATAATCTTGCCTTCTGGTTTCTAAACAGAGAAATTGATTCTGCCAGTATTACTTAATCCAAAATATGCACTACTATTTTATCTATAGAAATAATTATAATTCATTAATTTAGAATGATGAGCAAATCCAACTTATAATTATTAATTTTAACTAGTATCATATTGTTCAATTTATATAGTAAATTAATATTTATTAGGATATGAGAATGTATTTTATGATACAATTACTACTTATTAATCTTATGATGTTATTGTTATTATATTTCCATTTTCAATAGTACTTTTAATTCCCTACAAATTATAAAATTAGATTGATTTCTCTAAGGATAATAATTTAGGTATTTCTTAAAGTGTTTCCAATATATCATTTTATATTTACTATAATAACAATATCAATATACATTTAAATCCTTCTTTTACAACTTTAAGCTTTGTTACAATAAACATTTATATATTGTAAATATTTATTATTTACTTTATTCAATCTCAGGTTTATTAATTATAGCATTTAATTCTTAATTTAATTTTACTTTGTTTATATCACCATTTTAATAGATTTAATACAATTTTACTATTTCTTGGCAATTTGTAACATTTTTAAGTAAATCAAAAAACTCTATCTCTTTTTATTGAATTTCTTTAGGAGTCAATTGATTATAATAAACTTGTAAGTCTTCTCTAAAATAATTTGATATATTATTAATACTAAAAGGTATCAAATTTCAACAATATTTCATTTTGTATTTAAACATATTCTCTATCCACAACACTAATTAAATCTTATTTACTTCTAAGTTTTGTTATAAAATCAATCACTTTAGAGTTTTCCAATTTAATATTATTCTATATTAATGTATAAATATTAATTACATTTAAAATGTCATCTATAAATAAACATTGTTCTGGATGATCAGAATGATCTTCTATTAAACATTAAACACAAGCTAAATGTGATTTGCATGCTGATTCTAAACAAATCAAATCAATTTATTAATCTTTATGTTTTGAACAATTTTGCATTAAATTTAATATATAATATTTATTTGATTATAATCATCTCAATCAATCAATCATTCATTCATTTTTTTAACCAAATGAATTTCCAGCTCTTATTTTTTTAATTAAAAATGCCAAAGCTATCAACAATTAAATTACACCAACAACAATGAAAGCAATTGATAGAAATAAATTCTTTCCTCCAAAAGGTCCTGATGTAGAAAGTACAATATTCTTAGCTCCAGCAAACATTTAAGGATTGTAATTATTTTCAAATTCAAATGTGTATTCACCTTCTTCTAAATCTTATTCTATGCGTCCCCATAATTTTCTAAATGTAGGCAATCCTGCAGTTCTCATCCAAACAATAAAATGTTCATTTTCAGGGTCAATCCATTAAGTACTTTCAGAATTAGGTGCTCTTTTATATTTTTTACCTTTGTCATTAGGCCAACTGATTCCTGTTTAATTTAAAACTATATTTTTCTCCTCTAAACTTAATGTATACGTATCATTGAAGAAACTCTTAGCTATTAATCCACAAGGACTGGCAATATCATCTGGTTTACGTTCTGTTGGAATCAGAATATTTTGTTCTGTTACATATACATCCTATTACCATACTTCCAGATCTTTATTATAAATAATGGGATCACAATATTTCTCTGCATCTGAAAGTGAAATTTCTTCTCCTGATAATTGAGTTGATGATTTTGATTTAACATATCGTCTATGATTTTGATAAAAATTCTCAAGTTCATAATAAAAATAAATGGGAGCTTTCATGTTATCCAATTTGTACATAAAACTACATTTCTTATTATATTCAACAGGTGAACATTTTTGATCATATTTGTATATTGTGACTTCCTATATGTTATTATTAATCACTGTTATCACTATTCCCAAAGCTACAAAAATCACACCAATTATTGAGAACAAAGCAATTGTACTTCCTACTGAAGGTACTGGATGCCATTTCTTGAAAAAAAGCCAATGCAGAAATCCTTTCGAATCACTCATTAATTAATTAAATATCTTTTGATGATTTTGAAATCAGAACCATTATTAACATCAATCCATTATGTAAACATCAACCAATAGAATTTCTGTACAAAATCAATGCAATGTTTCGAATATCAAAAGTGAGAATAAGTAAATAAAATTGATTTGAAAAATGGAAATATAGTTTGTTCATTTATTATATAATTAATCAATTGTTAAAAGTATAGGAACTACTAATATCACATTCATTTTTCATGATATGATTTCAATAACATAAGGGAAATTTATTCCTCTATATATCTTCAAGTATTGAAAAATGAAAATCAATAGAAATATTACAGTAACTACTAAAATTACATCAGATTTGCTATTATACAAGGATGACAAGTATTTTAAATAAAAATTATTATATAAATATATATATATAAATAAATAAATGTATGAAAGTAGAAACAATTCAGTCCCTAGATCATTATAATAGTTGCAATACTTAAAACAATATCATATCATGGATATAACTAATGATAAACAATTGATTGCAAATTATCTTGATATTTTAAATTAGGAAACAGACGTATATTATCTATTTGATTCTTTTCATTCTCTTTTGAATTCTGTTAAATAAGCAGAAGAATCAAAGATAACTAATAAACCTAGATAAAATACAATAGATTGGTGGAAATTAACTAATCAATCTTAGAGTTGGGCAGGTTTGAAAAATATCAAAGGGATTTCGAATACTCCCTCTAAAATAAGAGTAACTAATGATAGCAGTCATGCCAGATAGATTGGATAAGTGGAATTATAAGTTTTCAGTGAAAAGGATCTCGAAAACAATAAACAAGAGAGAACTTTGCTAAGTGTTTATTAACTGTAAAATAAGTATTACAAATGTCATATGGGATTTTGTCAATTATAGAAATAGGAAGGGTAAGTAGTAATCATTAATAAATTATACATAGCCAAATGGTATAGAAAGGTGGGTAATTATTTAGAATTGATACAAGAATTTATTAAATATATCTTAAATGTCTTGTAGGCATTGAGAGTGAAGATCAAAATTAATTCAAGTTAAGGATCACAAATCAAATATCTCTAATAATTAGGATTTAAATTATCCTAAACTATTCCATTAATAAATGATCTCAAAATATTTACTTTAATATTAGATAAATAATGATGATTCATTATTCTTATATTTATTTAATCATATAGAGTATATAAAATATATAAATTAAACTAAAAATGAAAAATTAATTATTTGATTTGTGTATCAAGATTATGATTATTTCTTATAAGCCTATTTTCTCACTTAGCTGAAAAAATCAAACATTGCATTACTAGCTTAATCGGTCTCTTTTTCAGTTTATCCTTATTATTGAGGTGTATTAACTGATTTTTTATTCTATTTTCTTACTTTTTTTGGTGCATCTTAAGTATCACCCTAATTACCTTATTCAGCTAATAAAATTAAATAAAAAATTATTACCTTATGCACCTTAATTTTATATTGATTATTATTACTATCTAGATGCTTTGGTTCTACCGCCACCTCTACGATTTCCACCTTTTTCTCTTTATATAACAACAATTGTAGTTTTCTTATGATAATTATCTTCATAATTAATAGGTATCATATTCTTAAAATCCTAATATGATTTAGCATAAATAGAATCTAATTCTGAAGTATCTGGTTTGAATCTGAGATTAGCATCCAGAAATTGTTAATCGACTTCTTCATCCTCTTAATCTTAATCATATTAATCATATCCACAAACAATTTAATAGTACATACCTTCTTTTAGATATAGTTTAGGATTGAGATGAAACAATCGAAAACAAGGATAAATACAAAGAAATATATTTGTACCTAAAACTTTATTACATCCTAAACATGAAGCAGTAGTTTTGGATAATATACTCTTACTCAAACACACTTAACATCTTGCATTTCCGTTATGTATTGGACAATGATATAATTGATCATTAACTATTCCAACTGTTTAATCTGTTTGACAAGATCTATCTACTTAAAGTGAGCCATCTTTTCTTAATAAAGGTTTAGGATTCTTATAATCTATAATTTTGTTAATTAATTATAGAGCTAATTCAGTTTTGAAAGACTTAATTTCTTATTTTTTTAGGATTCTAATGTTATGTAAGATGGATTCGATAACAAAAATAAATATGATTTTTTAAGTTGAATTGATTGAAGTATTTTCAGGTTCAGATGGTTGGATAGCTATTTTCTCTTCAGCAAATTACATTTGGGACAATTCTTATAAATATTGATTTCTTTATTATAAGGATTGTATTGAAACACATGTACTCCATTGTTAATTCTTAAAGCATAAATAAATAGGTTCTTTATTTTTAGAAGAGTAAAATACTTATTGATCTCCTGTAGGTGGATGTGGTAATAATGAATGTTACATAAGATCAGTGCAAACAAATATTTTCTATTAGTATAATTGTAAGACTGATTCAGCATTGAGTAATCCTTAACTATAAACAATGTGTCTTCCAAGATGATAAGGTTCAAACATCATTCTCAATCGTTTTTACAAATCTCTATGATTATTCAGATCTAATGTCTTATTCATTGGAGTTGCCCAAAAAAATTATTACAAAATTATTCCAGATTCTTTATCTATTAATTGATACCATTGTATTTTTGTTGAATAAATGAGAGTATAAAAATTTGATATTAAGAATAGTTCCTAACCTGGCAATATCAATTTCTTAAATCTATCATTTAATTCCTATGTAAATTAAGGTAGATATTCTTATCTGAAGAAAGTTTAAGCATTGAATTCCAATTTAACTGCTAATTAAGATTCTGTCTATATTTTTGGTTATATAATTTCCACTCTCTAATCAATGTCTTCAAATTATTATTATGTTATTATAGATTTAATTCCACCACCTGCAATCCAATCTTCTCCATAGAAATACTCATTGATATCTGGTAATCTCATATAACCCATGATTAATTTGGTTCCCAAATATAACCAGAATTCAGATTCACTAGTTTGACAAGTTTTCATTAGTTCTTTGAATCTAGTTTCTCCGAACAAGAGTCTTATCATATCTTGTGTATTGTCTTTATATTCCAACATTCTAAATTACCCTGAAAACTTAGGGGCTATCATATTATTTAATTGAGTAAATAGAGTCCAATCTTGATTTTCTATATCCTATACTATACCATCATCTTCTTAAACTATTTCTTCCAATAAGGCTTAATGTTTTCTCTGTTATTAATTTAATGGCTTATTTTATGGAGGAGGAATAGGTTATTATAATAATTAAGTTATTTTTTGTTATTTATCTATTTGATTAGATTAAAAATTTTCATTTTCTCCTATTTCAATAGGTGGTTAGTTTTCAGTAGTTTTTTTTCTGAAAAATGAAGAAGGAGTAGTGTCTTCGATCTTTTGTTTTAAAATGCTAATATTAGAAGTTTGTGGTTATGGTAATTCATCATCAGAATCAATAACAATAGGATTCTTATTCTTTTTTTAGGATGATGTTGTTGTTGTGATTGGTTGTGTAAATGAGAAAAACTCTTTTTATTATTTCTTCAATGCAGGTTCAGGTTTTGTTATGTGTTCAAGTGTGGATGGTTTGTCTTCAGAATTCTTATTTTCAAAGGGTTTCTAGATTTCAAGTTATGGTACATCTTCTGATGATCTCTAAGAAGGTGGAGGTAAAACAACTTCTTATTTTTCTGATTCATTCTATGTAATTGGTAAAGGATCCTATTAAGGAGGAGGAACATTATTTTTTTCATTCTTAGTTGTCTTTTTAGGAGTAGTTAGGTCATCTTAAATATCATCATCATCAATAATAATAGAAGTTTATCTTTATTTTTTATAGAGTAATTTGCAATCTGCTTCTTAACTTTTTTTATCTTCATCATTACTTTCTAATGCAGCCAAAATTACTTAAGAATTGACATCTTATCTATGAGATAGGATTAAGTCTTCTGGTTGTTAATGTTCTTAATTTTGAATTGGTTATGGAGATGAATGATGATTTTAATCTTAGGGATCTTAATTGTCTTCTTAGATAAGTAATTATATTATATGATCAAGATTGTTAGTTTATTATAATTGATCATGTGTTTATTTAATAGGTGGATCAATATTTGCATTTTGAGATTGTTGATTTTGGACATTCGATTATGGTTGTTGCTGATTTACTAATTCATAAAGGAATTGAGACTCAAGCTGAGGTTAATTCGAAGTTATTTCTGACATTATGTATAATATAATTGAAAAAGAGTGTGGTTTATTTTGGAGCTTATATGAAAATTATTTCCTTGATTTTTATTATAATTTGGATGAAGTAATCCTTCTTAATCAAATCTGAATTTCAATAATTAGTATTATTGATTAAGTTAGCATTACTTAAACATTATATTCTTAGTTTTCGATTTTAGTTGGTAATACTTCATTCATAAAGTAATTTTAGAAAAATTAATTTGCAATGAATTCAATGAGTACAGTTGGAGTAGCATGTTTAATAATATTAATGTTGATATTATAAGGAGTCTAAGATAGTTATAATAAATATCAATAAGTGAAATTATAAATGTGGGATATTGCAGAATAAGAGGGATTTAGATCAATAACTAAACCTATTATTGTGTTTATGATAAAGTAGTTTATAGTATATGATACATGAACAGCTTAGATCAAATAAATAATTGAATTGTAGATTTTGATGAGTATACTATTACATCTTTTATAAGCAAATGTTAAAACTAACAATCAAAATAGTATTTGGTAATTAAATTAATATATCAATCAGGGGTGTAAGTACTGAATTACGTGTAACATAATCAGAAGAAAAACATATTCTAAGAGGTCTCTGCTGTGTTGAAATTAATTAAAATCTTAGTTTCACATACTAAAATAGTATCAAGAGACAAGAATCTACATAGAAGATCTATGACTATAACTAAATAAACTATTATTAAGATCCTTTCATCAATAAATTAACAAGATTATACAAAGTAATATCCATATTTGATCAATCCAAATTATAAGTATCAGATGATGAAAGTTAACAAGAAGATATACAAATAAATAACACATCTAATAATTATTAACATTCTCTTAAGATTTTAGAAAACATTCATCTAATCAATGTTGTAAGTGTTCTTTTTGATTATTTATTTATCTTTGTTAATTAATACCAAAAAGATTTAAAAATTTATTTTAAATATAATGCCAAAGGGATAGACAACTACAACCTAAAAAGCTTAAAAGGCAGCAAAAAATACCAGAGTTGCCAAAAAAGTAGTCAGAGCCAGAAAACATTTCTAAAATAGATTCCATACCACTAAACCATTAGCATTAACTAGAAAACCTAAATTTACCAGATTAACAAGATAATTAAAACCAATCAATAAAGGTTTAGATTTCTAAAATGTCCTTAAACATCCACTCATTACAGAAAAGGATATGAAAAAAATGGAAGATGAAAACACTATGGTTTTCTATGTTAATTCAAAATCAACTAAACCATAAATAAAAAGAGCATTTTCTAAAATTTATGATGTTAAAGTTAGAAAAGTCAATGTATACAATCTAAGCTTATCATTAGATCTTAAATACATTTGGTGGAAAGAAGAAGGCATATATAAGATTAGGAGGTGAAAATGATGCACTTAATTTGGCCAACAAAATCGGTATCATTTGAGTGATAATTATATTACATAAGTAAAATATATATATATCCAAATTTATCCAATATTTTTTATCTATTGTAAAACCCTTCAAAAGAAATATCTACCTAATTATAAATAAATCAAAAGCTTTATAAAACTATTGCTACCAAAAAATATTAATAAACTATTAACCATATATAAACTTTTCTAACTCTAATCATTCATTTAATATTTTAGAATAAATTAATCATTAATGAGATAATTATCATCAGATGTATAATTTAAATAATTTCTTGATTTTCATAATATTCCTCTCATGTAATTTAAATTATTTATTAACTATCTGAGATCATCAAAATAATTACAATTCTCAGTCAAATTCTTTTATGGAAAATTAATAACAAAATAATAAATGTTAAGAATTAAGGAGAAGTTTGATAAAATAAATTAAAGAGGTAATTTAATTTTTTAATTCATATAGGTTTTCATTCAGCATTTATCAATATAATTTTTTGAATAAAAATGAATTGATGTAATTTAATCACTATTTTACTAATCATTTTAATAATTTTTATCAAATAAAAATGCTTTAAATTACTTCTTTTTTGAGTATGAGGTTTTTATAAATTTCTTATAATATAATATAATAAAATGTCATTTTGGTTGATTAATTTGGAATCAGACATAATGTTAGGTTTCTTACCATAATCCCCAAAACTCTCAATTGTTGTTGGTGTCATCTTTTGGATAATAAACATACTCACTATAATAGTTGAAGAATCTTATATAATTGATAATGACAAATAGGGAATATTTTGTTATGAAACATTAGCAGCAGTATTTGTTGTCTATGGGATTTTAGGGTTGAGTTAATATTTTATTGTTCAAGTAAACTATTTTAATGATGAATATAGAAAAGAATACGTGATTCCTCTGTCTAAATAGCACCAGAAGAATAATTGACTCCTTAAAAAACTGGTTAATCTACAATGAAATCTCCTTTGAGAACTGTTATCACTTAAAATTCTCATAGAAAATAATCTCGGCTTTTACCATTAGCTACTAATTTTTAGAAACGTTATTATAAAGGCTTGTTGTTATTTATTACAATCTTTGTCATTCATTCCTTATTATTTATTCATCAAACTACTGCACTTATTACCTTCAAAGCTGCTCTATCATTACATATAATATTACTCACTTAATTATTTTCATCTGTACTTATTAATTTTTTTACCATTATATCTGTAGGTAACTTGCTGATAAATTTATACTCGATGAATGTTTTTGTCAAATATTATGGAAATAATACATTCTATTCAGCCTTTATGAATTATCTGACCAATACAACAGAAATATATATATTTTCATTAAATTTGGCTCTGATTATGTCTTCAATTATAGGATTACTATTTGTTAACGATTTAGTTAGTTAAATTTTATTCTACTTTTATCTCTCCATTTTTGGAGTAGCCTTTTTAATCAAAGTTTATCAAAAAGTAAAGGGTGAATGAATATTTATATCATGTTATTATTTTTTTTTATATAATTATTTTCTAAACTTTAAAGTATTCAACAGGATCATTTAAAAATAATTTAATATTTTGTACATAAAATTATTTTATAATGAACTTTAAGGTTATTATCATGATTATTTTAAAATAAATTAATATTTTTGATTCTGACCATGATTCATTGTATTTTAATTTTACTTACGATAATCTTCTTAAATTACAATAATCCTCTTATGCAAAATAATTATTTTTTTATTTTTTTTGAGATAGTTAAATACCATATATATTTCTATTAAAAAATTTTTATTAGAATTAGACGTTATTTATCATTTTACAATAGTGTGATAATTTTATTTAATATTAAAAATTAAACCCTTTTAAGAATGAATTTTGAAACAATTGAAAAACCTATGCTTATTTTTAGTTGCTTCAATTATAAAGATTTGGAATTAGAACCTTCATATAAGACCAATTAGGAAATAATGGCATTCAAAAACGCTATGCATTTTATAGAATAATAGACTAATGATATTGCAGAGTTTTTATATTAGGATCCCGTTGATGCATATAAGAAGTCGTGATTATATATAAATATCCACACCAAATGAAATAAGTTCGAATTGAGAAATAACTAATATTTCATAAATTGTTACTTATTTTGCTATTAAAGCAATCATAACCATTGCCCTGTAACAATGGTTTTTTGTAAGATGAATAAAAATTGAACAGTAAAAATCTTTTATTTGAATTGCTTTACTTATTGAGAAGATAAACAGGAAAGAAATAGAAAAATAGAAAATTATAAAAATAGAATGGAGATATTGTTTAATATGATTTTCCATTTTAAAGAATCGTTAATCTTGGTCACATGAAAGTAAAAAATAAAGATTTGGATGTTATTAAAATAAAGGATTTGATCTCAAAAAAAAAAACAGAAATTAACAAACTGAATCAAAGAAAGCCAAAACCTCAAAAAAAAAACAAAAATTTCTTGGAAAAAGAGAATTAAAAATCAGGTTTTGTAAGAAACTCCTATTCGCCTTCTAGAATAGCCTAAAATTATTTTAGAGAAAAAAATAAATGAAAATAGAATTTACTCATAGAATATAAATAACAATAAGAAAAAGAGGAGTAAGAAAAGAGTTTGCTAGAAAAAACAAAAAATAAAAAAAAATAATAATACTAAAAGAATAAATTTTTGAGATTATGGATATTGATATTTCTTATTTATTCTATTAATGAAGCAAAAAAAGGGTATAAATTGCAAAAGAAAATTTCAAAAAGCCCTATTAGATTTATTAGAATAAAATTCAATGAACCCAATCAATAAATCTAATGAGAAAAAAAAACCTAAAAGATTTAATGAAATGAATAGTAATTTAAAAGTATAAAGAGCAGATAAAAATGCATTATTAAAAGGTGGGCATAAGTAGCAGAAATTAGATGTGGCTAAATCTACAGTTGATAATACTTTGACAAGTTTATAATACTTGAAAAACTTTTTTAGAGCGAACCATAAATTAGCTAATTAATCATATCTAGAAATAAGATTGATGTTGATCCTTTCTTAAATGCTTTGATCAATCTAGAAAAAGAATAAGATAAACTAATTGAATTAAAAAAGCTAGTAATTAATTTTCTTATTTTTGAATTAATTCCAACTTTAGGGATTTCAATTTTATTTTAAAAGAAAAAAAATAATTAAATTTCAGCATTTAATAAATAAAAGAATAATAGGAAATTCAGATTGTTTCTTATAAAGAAGTAGAAATTGGACAAGAGGGGAGTAGGCTTTACAATTAAACTAAGTTTTATTAGAGAAAATTCTAAAATTCCTGTATAATACTTAAGATTTGAATATATAATTTATTTAAAACATTAAATTATTTGAAATAATTATGTAAATACCTTAAAGTTTATTATATAATTATTTTATATACAAAATATTATATGATTTTAAATGAATTACTTTAAGATTTATTAAATAGTAATTTAAATATATACAAATTATTATATTATTTTTAAATGATCTAGTTAAATACTTTTATATACAAAAGAATAATCAAAATAAATACGTGAACCTTATAATAGTGAAACAATATATAAATATTTTAATTTAATTGCAAAAAGAGGAAGAAGCCTTTTTATATTTTAATTACGTATATCAATAAATTAATTATACTAATTATTCTCTTTCAAACACATCTTTATTAATTATATAGTTCATTATTTTTAAATGGGCAAACTCTTATTGAATAATAATTCATCAAAATATTAATTAACATATAATCAATAATAATTATAGAATATTATATCATAAATATTAATGATATTAATACTTATTTTCCATTATCTATTAATTTAAATATCAATTTTTTTGAAAATTTAATTTTAATGGTATTATTTTAGTTTTAATAAAAATATTAATCATAATAATCTGAAAATGTAAACTTATAATAAATTACTCAAACTTATGTAATTGGATTTAATAGCTCTTATGAATGCTTACTTGCAAATTGATAATCATAATAATTCCAAATAATTTTATAATTTTTAATTTATGTAATAAAAATAAATACAATATTACTTTAAATTCTTCAGAAGTTTTTTACATATATATTTAAAAAATGTATTTAATGAGCAGGTTAGATTATAATATTCTTAAAAATAAAATGAATATTTATATCATAAAAATAAAGTTTCATTGTTTTTTATATAATAGGGTACAATTTATGCAATTCTTTAAAGCCATGTATGATTGTACGCTTGTTGTGAGGTAAATCGATCTCGAGAAAGTCGTTTCATAAGATTCTCAATAAAATCTTTTAAATCTCTGGAAGCAGTATAAGGAATCATAAAGCAAGCCTCTAATAGCGAAAAGAATTACAGTTTTCATTAATTCTTATTAGTTCTCTTTCCAAGGTGGTTTCCCAAAACATAATTCATAGGTCAATACTCCTAATCCCCAGATGTCGCTTTTCTTATCATAGGTTTCGCCCTCTAAAATTTAAGGAGAAGCATAAATAATGGTTCCACACTAAGTTTATCTGTCTTCATCTGGAGAATAAACGCAAAAAGAGAAATCAGCTAATTTAACCTGCCCAAAACTTAGAAGGATATTATCAGGTTTGATATCCCGATGAATAACATCTTAATTATGAATATACATTAATGCCAAAGTAATTTGTTATACATATTAAGCTGCTATTCTCTCTTAAAACTTTTTCATAGGTTGAATTTATTAAAGAGCATTTAATTATCCGTGTGAGCAATATTCTAATACAAGCACAATTTCAGTTGCTATAATATTTAAAATAATATACGAGTTTAAAAAAAGGTGTATAATTTAGTAATATTTGGATGTTCGAGAAGGTATTATATTTTGATTTCCCAGGCTAATTAGGCTTGCATATTCTCTTTAATTATTTAAGATTTTTGAATGACTTTCAAGGCAACCAAAAAGCCTGTTTGTGTGTGCTTTGCTAGAAACACTTCGCTATATTGTCCATCTCCAAGTTTTTTGATGATGGAGAAATTCTTATATTTCTCTTTTGGTTTTTCTGGTTTTTTTATTGGAGAACTTGTTTAACTAACAGGTGTTGAAACTTATTTCTTATTGATGAATAAATTATATACTTTAGAATATTCTTCTCTAACATTAGACATCAAAGGAATAAGTGGAATTGTAGAAATGATCTCTGATTAAAAGGATGGTGATTCCATTTATTTTGGAGATTGGTATTCTTATTTAGATTTTAAAGTAGGTTAAATAACCATTGATTTTTGTGTTAAAATTAGGGGAGAATTGGTTGCGATTTTTAAATCTGTATCGGTTTTAATTGTATTAGTCTAGTATGTTTAATACTTTGGTTATGAGTCTAATTGAACAGAAGTGTAATTATTTCTAGATTTTGAGAGTACTGAATCAACATAAGAGATAATATTAGGGTTATGTACTGAAGTATTTGGTACTCTTGAATATGGCCTATATGGCTGATAAGGATAATTCATTAAATTTATTTACACATCTATTAAATTTACAAAATATTTATAAGCCAAATGGCTTTATCATGAATATATCATAATTTATTATTAGATTATTGCTATTATTAAATGTTCTCACGTTATATAGATTATTTATTGTATTATATAATAAAATGATCTTAAATGGAAACTTATTAGCTAAAGAAACCATCTCTAGAATAGCCTAGCTTATAAATTATCACACCTTGAGTATTCAATAATAAAATTAAGGAACACCCTGCTTTAATGAGACCTGGTCTGGCCATTATTTAGGTTGGAAATAATCCATCATCTTTAACATATGTTCGTAAGAAGATTGCTCTTTGTGAAGAGAATGAAGTACATCATGAACTCCATCATTTCCCAGAGAGCATATCTCAGCAAGAGATTGTTCATTAAATTAGAACTTTAAATTAGTAAGGATCCATTGATGGAATCCTTGTTCAAGTATGTCCTATAATTATATAAAGCTTCCTTTGCCACCTCATTTATCAAGATTAGAAATTTCTAATGAAATTAAACCAAGTAAAGATGTAGATTGTTTACACATGGCCAATTTTCAAAATCTTCTTCAAAATGGGGAGGATAACGACATAATACCTTGTACACCAGCTGCAGTGCTTCACATCTTGGACTCCTAGGAAATAGATGTGAGAAATCAAAATGTTACTGTGATTGGTAGAAGTCAGTTAGTTGGATTCCCATTATCAGTATTGCTTCTTAGAAGAAATGCAAAAGTCACTATTTGTCATTCCGAAACCACTGTCTAAGAACATGTAGAAAAAGTATATATATGTATAAATCATTCATTAGGCAGACATTGTGATTTCATGTGCAGGTCATAAAGAATTGGTCAAAGGAGAATGGATCAAAAATGGGGCAAAAGTTATTGATGTTGGAATTACTAGGATTCCAGGAACCAATAAAATTGTAGGAGATATTGAATTTCATAAAGTTTAAAATATTCCTTTATTTTAGGCTCTGACTAAAGTCAGTTTCATTACACCTGTCCCAGGGGGAGTTGGTCCTTTGACTGTTTCTATGTTATTTAAAAATCTATATCGAGTTTGGTGTCGATCCAATGGATTACAGCTTAATATTGATGAATAAGATGAAGAATTGGATTATGCTTAAAACTACTAATTCTGATTTATTTTATAATTTTATCACTTTTAAATTAAAATTAAAAATACAATTTATGTATGTGCAACTGCTTAATCAAAATGGATTATAATCAAGATCTTTAGAATTTTCATAAAAATTATTCAAAAGTCTTAATTCCAATAAAAAATATTGATTGAAAATAAATCTTAATAATTTGATTATGAAGTCATCCTTGATATCTAAGAAATAGTTACACAAAAGTATATCACAATATGAAATTCTAATTACAAGTTTGATTCTTTGTTTTAGTAAATAATAGTATTAACAATTTTATTCCTGCAATAAGTTGTTTTTCCTCTTTAATTAAAAGTAAAATGTGTTTTAAATGAAATTTATAATTGTTTCTATTGATTATAAAAGGAAATGTTTAGTCTATAATGTTGATTGAAGGTTTAGAATTTTATGAATAGTTAATAAATGATTTAAATTGTCATATTTTAATTAAAACTAGAGGATAAATGTATAAAATCTTCTAATATTCAAGTAATTCTGCTATATATTGTTATCATTTTCTTTGGATATTTTTTCTTTCTTTTTGTATTCAAGTAAATCATTTCCAAAATCAATTAAAATATTTTAAATCTATTAACTTTTTATTCTTGAAATTAGATTAATAATTTAGGGGTTTAGAAGAAAGCTCAAAAGATTACAAAAAGGAAGAAGAATTTAGAAAATAAAAGAAAGAAAATAATACGACATCAACAAAAAGAAGGTAACTTAATAATGATGAATTATTGATAATGTTTTATTGCATTAACTCATGCTTTAGCAATTCTTCCATTTAAGAAATCTAAGAATGGTGGAGTTTGAACCACTTATAATGCTTTAGCTAAGACTGCTAATTCTTATTAAACAGATGACTATATAAATTTGATATGAATACCACAATATCATCATGTATTTTAAGATTGGCTGAATAATTATTATTTTCAGTTCTTAATCTATCTTAATAAGCTTTAAGATCAGCTTCTCTNCCATTATCAGTATTGCTTCTTAGAAGAAATGCAAAAGTCACTATTTGTCATTCCGAAACCACTGTCTAAGAACATGTAGAAAAAGTATATATATGTATAAATCATTCATTAGGCAGACATTGTGATTTCATGTGCAGGTCATAAAGAATTGGTCAAAGGAGAATGGATCAAAAATGGGGCAAAAGTTATTGATGTTGGAATTACTAGGATTCCAGGAACCAATAAAATTGTAGGAGATATTGAATTTCATAAAGTTTAAAATATTCCTTTATTTTAGGCTCTGACTAAAGTCAGTTTCATTACACCTGTCCCAGGGGGAGTTGGTCCTTTGACTGTTTCTATGTTATTTAAAAATCTATATCGAGTTTGGTGTCGATCCAATGGATTACAGCTTAATATTGATGAATAAGATGAAGAATTGGATTATGCTTAAAACTACTAATTCTGATTTATTTTATAATTTTATCACTTTTAAATTAAAATTAAAAATACAATTTATGTATGTGCAACTGCTTAATCAAAATGGATTATAATCAAGATCTTTAGAATTTTCATAAAAATTATTCAAAAGTCTTAATTCCAATAAAAAATATTGATTGAAAATAAATCTTAATAATTTGATTATGAAGTCATCCTTGATATCTAAGAAATAGTTACACAAAAGTATATCACAATATGAAATTCTAATTACAAGTTTGATTCTTTGTTTTAGTAAATAATAGTATTAACAATTTTATTCCTGCAATAAGTTGTTTTTCCTCTTTAATTAAAAGTAAAATGTGTTTTAAATGAAATTTATAATTGTTTCTATTGATTATAAAAGGAAATGTTTAGTCTATAATGTTGATTGAAGGTTTAGAATTTTATGAATAGTTAATAAATGATTTAAATTGTCATATTTTAATTAAAACTAGAGGATAAATGTATAAAATCTTCTAATATTCAAGTAATTCTGCTATATATTGTTATCATTTTCTTTGGATATTTTTTCTTTCTTTTTGTATTCAAGTAAATCATTTCCAAAATCAATTAAAATATTTTAAATCTATTAACTTTTTATTCTTGAAATTAGATTAATAATTTAGGGGTTTAGAAGAAAGCTCAAAAGATTACAAAAAGGAAGAAGAATTTAGAAAATAAAAGAAAGAAAATAATACGACATCAACAAAAAGAAGGTAACTTAATAATGATGAATTATTGATAATGTTTTATTGCATTAACTCATGCTTTAGCAATTCTTCCATTTAAGAAATCTAAGAATGGTGGAGTTTGAACCACTTATAATGCTTTAGCTAAGACTGCTAATTCTTATTAAACAGATGACTATATAAATTTGATATGAATACCACAATATCATCATGTATTTTAAGATTGGCTGAATAATTATTATTTTCAGTTCTTAATCTATCTTAATAAGCTTTAAGATCAGCTTCTCTTGTTGATATCATAGTTTAAACATCAGATATTCTAACAGTTTTATCTTCTCTTTCTTAATAGAAATCAGCATATTATTAATCAAATACAGCTTTTTCAGATGTTAATTATTATCTTCTTAATTCATCTTATTATTTTTAACTGTCTTCATCTTTATAAGCTTTAGTTAAAGCATCAAATATATTTAATCTTAAACTATTTAAGAAATCACACATTTCCTTTAAAACTTATCTATCTTTAAAATTAATTCCTTCAGTTAAATTAGTTAATGCTTAAATAAATGAAGAATATTAATGACCAAAATTTTCAGTATTAGCTTTAACTTATCTTAATGCTTTATTAACTTTATGTTTTTATTCATCTGTAATTTCAATAAATGCAGCTCTTACTTCTCCACTTTTAAATAAATCAGTTAATAAATCTAATGCTTCATCAATATTTCTTAATGCATCTGTAAATTCAGTTGTTGTTAATACAAATGAATCATGTTATGAATTTCTAGCAGCTTCAGCTTCTTTAAATGATTATGCATTATCTGTTTATTTAGCTTTAAGTCCTAATAAAATCTAATAATATTTATTAATATAATATATATACATCATCTAATTCATGAAGTCTTGGAATCAATTCAGAATTTAATACTTTCTTTTCTCTATTAATATCAAATTCAGCTTAATTAGCTTATGAACTAAGTGAAATAACTTTAGCATTATGTTCACTTTCAACAACTTCCCATTGTGTATTTTCTAAATTCAATCTTTCTTCAATTTGACGACCAAAGGCTTTGACTCCTTCTACTAATGAATCTACAGCTCCAGTAACTCTCATAGTAACTTCAGCTAAATCAATAACCATATGTCCTATCTTTGATTATGTTAATTCATCTATTGAAGATTACAGTCCTGGATTTACATATGAATCCATTACACCTTAATTACTTTATTAGTTAACTAATCAATATCTTACTTTGTAACTGTAGTTGCTGAAACTAAACAAATCAGGGCGAAGAGAACAATCTTATGATGTACCATAGATGAATTCGTTTTTTATATAATATAATATTTGAGTGTTTAGTATAATTTGAATGTGAATACTCATATTTAATGAGAGGACTAAAAAATAACATAAAAGAAATTATAGATTTAAGTATAACTATTAGTTTATTCTTGCGATTAGAAGGGGAATAGGATTTTATCATTTTAAATTTGTTGTTTTTTAAGAATTTCATGATAGATAGGAATCAGGTTTATAAAAATGGAAGTTTATGGGTTATTAAGGTATAATAATTGAGTACAATTAGAAGTAAGTGAAATTCAGGAGTATAATTTGAATAAAAATAAAAAATCTCTTGGGGAGATGTAAAAATTTGAATTATAGTTTATTGATAATATTGAGTATATAAGAGTAATATATATAATATGAAACCCNTTTTTCAGATGTTAATTATTATCTTCTTAATTCATCTTATTATTTTTAACTGTCTTCATCTTTATAAGCTTTAGTTAAAGCATCAAATATATTTAATCTTAAACTATTTAAGAAATCACACATTTCCTTTAAAACTTATCTATCTTTAAAATTAATTCCTTCAGTTAAATTAGTTAATGCTTAAATAAATGAAGAATATTAATGACCAAAATTTTCAGTATTAGCTTTAACTTATCTTAATGCTTTATTAACTTTATGTTTTTATTCATCTGTAATTTCAATAAATGCAGCTCTTACTTCTCCACTTTTAAATAAATCAGTTAATAAATCTAATGCTTCATCAATATTTCTTAATGCATCTGTAAATTCAGTTGTTGTTAATACAAATGAATCATGTTATGAATTTCTAGCAGCTTCAGCTTCTTTAAATGATTATGCATTATCTGTTTATTTAGCTTTAAGTCCTAATAAGATCTATTAATTTGTTTAAGATTATAATAAATACATCATCTAATTCATGAAGTCTTGGAATCAATTCAGAATTTAATACTTTCTTTTCTCTATTAATATCAAATTCAGCTTAATTAGCTTATGAACTAAGTGAAATAACTTTAGCATTATGTTCACTTTCAACAACTTCCCATTGTGTATTTTCTAAATTCAATCTTTCTTCAATTTGACGACCAAAGGCTTTGACTCCTTCTACTAATGAATCTACAGCTCCAGTAACTCTCATAGTAACTTCAGCTAAATCAATAACCATATGTCCTATCTTTGATTATGTTAATTCATCTATTGAAGATTACAGTCCTGGATTTACATATGAATCCATTACACCTTAATTACTTTATTAGTTAACTAATCAATATCTTACTTTGTAACTGTAGTTGCTGAAACTAAACAAATCAGGGCGAAGAGAACAATCTTATGATGTACCATAGATGAATTCGTTTTTTATATAATATAATATTTGAGTGTTTAGTATAATTTGAATGTGAATACTCATATTTAATGAGAGGACTAAAAAATAACATAAAAGAAATTATAGATTTAAGTATAACTATTAGTTTATTCTTGCGATTAGAAGGGGAATAGGATTTTATCATTTTAAATTTGTTGTTTTTTAAGAATTTCATGATAGATAGGAATCAGGTTTATAAAAATGGAAGTTTATGGGTTATTAAGGTATAATAATTGAGTACAATTAGAAGTAAGTGAAATTCAGGAGTATAATTTGAATAAAAATAAAAAATCTCTTGGGGAGATGTAAAAATTTGAATTATAGTTTATTGATAATATTGAGTATATAAGAGTAATATATATAATATGAAACCCTTTTTATTAGTTTTACTACTTGCTAGTAGTGGATTGATTGGCAAGGAGATATATGTTGGGAGTGATTATGAATGCTAATGCTTGCAAATGATGGTGCAGGATGATTGCTTGAAATAAGGATGTTAGTGGTAGAATGGTGAATGCAGAGTAAAGTTAAGATAAGGAGCTATACATGAAGGAGAGAGTGAATCCTTTTGTTCTTAATTTGATGGAAAGAATTGCAGTAGTCAATCAGGATGTGCATTTTTGGTGGACAAATGTGTTGAATTTAGTGCATGTAGTAGTTATTTATAGAGTACGAACGAATTGTGTTAAAGCATATCTAAAAAGTGTATTACAGATGGAGAGAAATGTGTAGAGATTAGTGTGTGTTCTGATTATAAGACAGCTATATCATGCAGAGAAGATACAGAAAAGAACTATTGTTATTGGGAGAATGGGAGTTGTTCAAAGAGTTTAGATTGTGGATAATTGCCAAAAACATTGAAGAATGATGGAGAGTGCAGAAGTGTGAATAGTGATTGCACAGTATCATCATAAGGTGGATGTTAATTAAGTGGATTGAATTGTTAAAATTAAGAAGGTGAATAATAATGTGTTTGGGATAGATTTATGTAGGTTAGATGTAATTGGAATGGCATAAGTTGTGTTGATAGATCATGTTAATCTGCTCCAATAAGTATAAAGAATAATGAGGAATGTAACTCTTATTTAAAAGGATGTATACTAACGGTAGGTGGAGGATGTGTTGAACTTAGAAATTGTATTGATATCACAACTAGTGAAGCATGTGTTGTTGATAAGAATGGTAAATAGTGTTATTGGAAGAATGAAGAATGTGTAGAAAGAGTTTGTAGTAATGCATCTGAATTAATAAGAACATTTGAGGAATGTTAAATATTTTTAAATGGATGTGTACCTAGTTTGAAGGGTGGTTGTCAGACTTTTAACAAATGTGAAGATTTTATTGATAAAACTAGTTGTTAGAGTGGATTGTTAAATTGTTTTTGGAATACTAAATCCTGTGTTTAATATAGTTGTAATAATGCAGGCAAAAATTATAATACTCATTAGAAATGTTCTGAATACAAAGCTGATTGCACAGTAAATGTATCAAAAGATGGTTGTCAAGATAGAACTTGTGATAATGCTCCAAAATAATTAAAAAGTAATTATGATTGTGAATTATATAAATCTGGTTGTATAACTAAATTTAATGGGGGATGTGTTAAAAATTAAGAATGTTCAAATATTACAATAAAAGAGGCTTGTTTATTAGATTAATAAGGTAGAGAATGCTTTTGGTATTTAAATTCATGTAAATTAAAAACATGTAATAATGCTCCAAATGTATACAATTCTCATGAGTAATGTCAAACTTATTCAAAATTATGTACTGTAAAGAAGACTTTAAATGGATGTGTAGATATGTCTTGTGAAGCAATATTCTAAAAAGATAATTGTATTGTAGATAAATTAGGAAATAATTGTAATTGGATTGGGTTGTGTTTTGATAAAACTTGTGAAAATGCTCCAGTAAATAACAATTTTGTGACTGATGCATAATGTAAGGCATATTTAAGTAAATGTACAGTCAGAAATACTGGAATGGGATGTATGGATAGACCTTATTAATGTAGTGAAATGAAAATACCAGAATAATGTTTCACAAATGCTTATAATGTTCAATGTGAATGGTTTGAAAATTCATGTAAAAAGAAGGAATGTTATACTGCTCCAAATTCACTTACAACATTTGAAGAATGTAATACTTATTTAATTGGTTGTACTACTACTGGAAATGGTTGTTAAACATTAAATACTTGTGATTAATATTAAAACTCAAATAGTTGTAGATTTGATATTAATAATGATATTTGTTAATGGAATAATGGAATATGTGCTAATAAGAGTTGTTAAACTGCTAACAATACATATACAACTAATGATTTATGTAACACATATCTTTCAGGTTGTATTGTTAATGGTGCTGGAGCTGGTTGTATTCCAAAACCATCAAGTTGTTCAGAAATGACTACTGCAACTTAATGTACTGCTACTTCAACAAATTCATCTGGTGGTCCTTGTGCTTGGATTGGATCTTGTGTTGACAGAACATGCAGTAATGCACCTGCAAGTACAGATTATGATACATTTACAAAATGTAATAATTTCTTAAATACTTGTACTGTTGTTGCTACAGGCACAGGAGGATGTATGACTATGTTAACAAGTTGTAGTTCTTATACATCTTAAAGATAATGTGAATAGATTGTAAATGGAAATAAGTGTTCATGGTATTTAACATCTTGTTTAGACAGATAATGTATATATTCACCAGATACTAGTAGTTATGATGATAAAAATGAATGTCATAGTTATGATAATAGATGCAATGTAGTACGTAGAATAGGTGGTAATGGTTGTACAATAAGAAAAGCAACTTGTAATGAATTATCATAACATTAATGTGTGAAAGATAGTGCTGGTACTATTTGTACTTGGAATACAACTGCAGATCCTCCATATTGTTTAAATAGAACTTGTAGTTTGACTATAGGTATTACTAACTTTACTCCAACAAATTGTGCTAATTGGTTATCTACATGTGTTGTTAATAATGTATCAGTTCCTACTGGTTGTTTGGCATTATAATTATCATGTTCCTCTTATTTATATTCAGATAATTGTACTTATACATCTTCAAATGTCTAATGTTATTGGAATGGATCTAGTTGTGTAAATAGGACATGTACAACCACAGAAGGAATAACAGATTTTGATCATTCATCATGTTATACATGGATGAATTCATGTACAGTAAATAAACCAACAACTTGTGCAGATAAACCTACTAATTGTTCTGATGCTATAAATTATGATCAATGTTATAAAAATATATCAGATTAATTATGTGCTTGGGTTGGTACTTCATGTGTAGATAGAACATGTAATAATCATGGATATGCTGTTACTGAATTTAATGATATTAATTGTTCAGGATGGATGCCAGGATGTTCAGGTAATCCTGATTAAACTGCCTGTGAAATTACTAGAACATGTACTAATCATGGTTCAAATGTGACTACATTTACACATAATGATTGTTCTAATTGGTCTCCTCTTTGTACAGTAAACTCTACTAATGATGCATGTATAGAAAGAACTTGTAAGAATTATGAATCTAATGTTACTGATTTTACTGATAGTAATTGTAGTAATTGGTTATTCAAGTGTGGTTCAAATGATGATCATACTGCTTGTATAAGTAGTAGAACATGTAGTAATCATGGTTCAGCAATAACAGTATTCAATCACAATAATTGTAATGCTTGGTGGGATGAATGTACAGTATCAGGAACTAGTTGTACTTAAAAGACATGTTATAATCATTCAATAACAGTATTTAATCATAATAATTGTAATGATTGGTATTATCAATGTACTGTATCTGTTGATTAATTAAGTTGTTAACCAAAGACATGTGCAAATGCTAAATTAGTATCTTATACTTCAAATAATTGTTATTAATGGTTAAATACTTGCACTGCTAATTCTAATAATACAGCATGTATATCCAAAAGAACATGTTCCTTGACTGATTTAACTACTTTTAATTATTAAAATTGTGTAAATTGGTTTAATGAATGTACATATACAAATGCAGGATAATGTAATGATAAGACTTGTACTAATCATAGTTCTAATGTGACTGTATATTCTCATATTAATTGTGAAGCTTGGTTATAGAGATGCACATTTGTTTCAGGTTCATAATGTTCAGATAAGAATTGTTATAATTACAATGATTTTATTTATATTCAAGATCATATTAGTTGTAATAATTGGTTGGGAATTTGCACATCTAATGGAACTACTTGTGAGCCTAAAACTTGTACAAATCATGGAAGCAATGTAACTGTTTTTAGTAATTCAAATTGTAAATAATGGTTGAGTTATTGTTAAGTAAATGTGAGTGGAACAGCATGTGAAAATATGAGAGGATGTTCACCATCATTATCAACTTATACTCATATTACATGTGAGAGTTACAATTATCTATGTACTAATAATGGTTCTGGTGCATGTAAATTAAAATCTTGTCTTGACACTTAACTTATTAATTATACTCATGAATTTTGTTAAGGTTATTTATATGAATGTACAGTCAAATCTTAATTCAATGGATGTGAATAAAAGACTTGTTACAATCATGGTATTTAAGTTAGTTAATTGAGTCATGCTAATTGTGAAACTTGGTTATCCAATTGTACATATACAGGATCATATAAAACATGTATACCTAAATCTTGTACAAATCATGGATCTAATGTAACTGTATTCAATAATACAAATTGTTAAACTTGGTGGAGTGCTTGTGTTGCTAATTCTTTTGGTACTGCTTGTGTTAATATTCGTACTTGTTCTAATACTTCATTAACAACATACACTCATTAATCATGTGAAAATTGGTTATCAACATGCACATATTCAAATACAACAAGTTGTTAAGATAAAACTTGTACTTTAGCTTCAACTAATAGTAATTTGATAGCATTTGATCCTATTTCATGTGAAATTTGGATGAATACATGTACTAGTAAT